TTAATTATCTTTTCTGGCTTATCCTAGTATTAATTATTTTATATAAGTTAGAATATCCGTACACATTATATTTGTTTCCATCTGGTTTCAGGAATTATTCTGTTCGACTTAAGTATAATACAGTTGCTGATGTATTTTATCGCGATGGATGAAATTGATATTTCCAGAGGTGAATTTTTAACATTTTATTTTTTTGACTCAAAATCTTAAGTTTTTTGTCAAAATTTACAATTTTATGTAAAAATGATTCTTACAAACTACAAATAATGTGAAAAATCTAAAGGGAATATTCATACATTCTCAGCATGGATACCTAAATCATATGTAGATTTTGCTTCTAGCATTTCGTGTTTGTGATCGGCCTTATATTAGGAATAAAATGTAGACACCTATTTCAGGCCATATTACACAAAACAAATCAATTGCGACCTTTTTTGCAATCAAAAAAACGAAGTACTCATGGAATTAGGGTAAAGTTAAAGTAATTTTATAACGTAATGCTATGTTCGATTCTAAATTAATATGTATTATACTTATTCTATGCTAAAGGAAAATTAAATAAAATTAACGAATAGGAATTAGTGATGCAGTTGTTCATTGAAAACTGTATTAATATCAACTGAATGAAGATATTTCTTTTCCTGAGTATTAGAGTTGTCATCATTCGAATAAAAATCAGTATTAGGCGTAGATCCGCCTTCGATATTAGCGAGATTGTTTGATTTCTGATTAGGTCCCCAGGACATTGTAGTATTATTTCTTGAAGCTTTGGCAATCGATGGTGATGAATGATTATTTTCTTTATTTTGGAACATGCTATTATCATTCACCAAGTTGTTCATTTCATTGTCGAGGTCCGAAAAATTATTCAGTTTATGATGAGCATCAGAATTTAAGAAGGTGTTAAGATCTTCGTCATGCTTTTCTAGGTTTGATATAATCAATGGAGAGGAAGGCATGTTTGCAGCCAGAGATTGCTTGCTTTTGGAATTATTGGGAGATGACTTATTATGCGTAGTGAATGTTCTTAATTTAGGCAAATGAGGATGACTTTGATTATTCTCTTCTTTTTCGCTTTCAGTATCATCGTTATTTGAACTTCTCAAATGCTTTAATTCGTTGGGCGTCTCATATTTAGCAGAGTGCTTGCCAGTTTCATTTTCAACTGTGTTACCATCTCTAGGGGTTTGGTCCCTTGGAGTAGGCTCTCCAAAAAGATTATTGATCCATTCACTTTGTGCACCATTTGGGCTGGTATTAGTATTCTGATTGAATGATTTAACCATCATATTTTCAATTTCCTGATAGTTATTCTTGTTAGGAGATGATGAATTTGATCCTCTTTGGTCATCAGATGACATTGGTGGACAGTTTTCTTTATCCTCACCATCATCATATAGATTAATAACTCTTGTATTTGATTTTGTTGCCATCATAGGGGGAGTTATACCCTGTTGTTGATCCTGAGGCAAAGGATCAATATCCGTAAGCGGTCCTCCAAATGAATTTAGCTGGTTCATGAAATCATTCAAATCATTGTAATTAGGGGTTAGCCTGTTATTTCCATTATTTGTATTATTGAGAGTATTGTGATTATTATTCTGTATGACTTGATTTATAGCGGAAGGGGTATGCAGAGGTGTAGGAAATTTATGCGGTTGAGAAACAACTGGTGATGATCCAAATTGATTGGAATTTCTCATTGCAACACTGGTTAAGCTATTCAGACGACCCTTATAATTATGAGAATAAGAGTTTGACATTTCATTGATCTTATCATCCTCTTCTTTTTGTTTTAATTCCTTCTTGTATTTTTGCTGTTGCAAGTACTTTTTGACAACTCCTTCAGGTCTCATGAAGCCTTTATTTCTTAAAAACAAGTAGCATGCGTTACACAATGGACCAAACATACCTTCATAATGCTTTTTGTCAAACTCTGTAGCCCTATGAATACCAAGATAATTAGGGTGGAATCCAGTTTCAAAATATCTCCAAGTAATTGACGAGCTAGTAGCACAGTTACTATTTGTACAAACCAATCCGTGGTTCTTTGGTAACTTGTTATGTGGAATTGTATGTGTTTTTCTACTGTCCAAATCTTCTAAATCTGGCAATGCATGAAATTGAGAATTTGATGTATTATGGTTTGAAAGTGGATTTGCCTTATAAGGTGGCTGTTGTGGAGTGTATGGTGATGTATCGTTATCTTCAAATGCACCATCATCTTCTTCATCATCTTCGTCTTCATCATCTTCATCAATGGGTGGATGGTTATCATTATAATCAGTATCATCGGTCGCATCAGAAGGGCTATCTTCTTGGATCGGCATGGAAATAGATAATGGCATTCTGCTAGTGACCATGGACCTTGTACGCATTGCTCTCTGAGGTTCTGGAGTGCTTTCTTTGCTCGTATGTGGATTATGCTGATTACTAGTGTGATGATTCCTGGACTTGCGTGTTGGATTATCAATTATCTTAGCCTGTAAGAAAGGGGCCAGTTTAAATCTTTCTTGCACACTTTTACTATCATATTTCGACGGAGCATTAGATTTATCGGCATTCATTATATTGAAAATCTGCTGATTTGGTGGATGGTAAAATATAGGCAATGATTTGGTTCTTGTGGCCTTAACTGCAGTATTCGAAAAAGCCATAGGCTTGGTTCTTTGTCGCTTTTGTACAAAGTTCACATTATCATTGGGCCTCTTAGAACTCATCTGACTCTGCAGTTGCTGATGACTAGACTCTTGTTTTTCGATTGTATGTAACTTCAATCTAATCTCTAGGGTCAATGAGGAAGAACTACTCTTGTCACCAAACAAGTAACTAGCAGATAAGTTTTGACATACTCTTCCGGGTATTAAATGACTTTTGGATGAATTTATCAAATTTGATAAGACACCGTTCGAAACAAACGGCTCATCAGGCTGTTCTGTAATATCCTTATAATACACTGCATAATCTTCTGTTTCCAACCTAAAATTCTCGGGTGAATTCCTTAATACCTGTTGTGTACATTGCTTTAAATCGAAGGCACCTAATGTGATCATCTCTTCTTCCAGCAGCTCGGTGTTACTATAAATGGGTATTTGAGCAATTTTCACAGAATGTTGTGCCTTTGATCGAGATAAAAACACGGTTGGATTATTATTAAATGAATATAATACTTTTACTTGCATACGCTTGTAAGCGGCGGACTCGTCTGAACTCATGTTTCCAAAGTAGAGTTAAGTTAGTATATTTAGTAGCAGTAGTAAAATTAGTGATTAGGTTCTTTGTATGATGATGTTTTGATCCTTTTTTATGTTGTTTTTGCGTCTGCCTTAGTTTCAAATCAACGAACGGATGGTACAATAAATAATACTCTAGTAACGAAAGAAGATTCGCAGATGGAATGAATAATAGAACCGGCTGTTAAAAAATTCAATTTCCAAGAAAAATGCAACTAATAAGAACAAACAGCTACTTATTAAAAGGATTGTAGGATAATAAAAGAACTTCTTTCTCTAGGAACTTCGGGAACTTCTCAATTTCACTGATGTATAAGCACTCTCAAAGGTTTATTGTCAATGTTTACAAATCATCATGATTTTGAGATTTTGCGTGTTCTAAAAACGCGACGCGATTTTATCAACGAGTAGCTATAGAAATAAAGGTTGAAATTGAGAACAAGATTGCTAGGGTAATTAAGTTATTGTGTCATTATGTAGTTCTAAATATATTCTATTTACAGGTGAGATTGTATATATAAGAGGTATTGTTCAAGATTTTGCGTATACAGAATTGGTGGACTAGTCCAAACCTAGTCCAAACCCACGAGTTTTTTGATGTCTTGAATATTGATCTGGGTGATTTCTCTGGCTTTTGTAGTACCCGTTTTACAGATAAGATCAAGATAGGAGAAGTCAGTCATAAGTTCATTGTATAAATGTCTCTTATTAGAAAATTCTTCTACAATAAACTCGGTGACGTGATCCTTCAACTGTTTGTGATCTTTGATCCACAGTAAGTCTTCCACAGTATCTGTTACAGACTTCCTAGAGAGACCAGAGATAATGTTGATCAAGTTGGACACACCGGGTCTGTTTTCAGGGTCGTAGTAAATCTTTCCCTGAATAGAGTCAGTGGTGGCTTTCTTAATTTTTTTGGCGATAACATCGGGCGATTCTGTCACATAGATACACGAATTCTGGTCTGCATCTGACTTAGACATCTTTTTGGTGGGGTTTCTAAGTGAGAGGACCTTTTTTGCCGGCGTCAATAAGGTGCTGGGAAGGGCGAAGTAGTTTGTTTTAAAGGTGTGATTGAATGTAGATGCGATATTGCGGCATAGTTCTAAGTGCTGGGATTGATCGTCTCCTACTGGAACATGCGTCGATTTGAATATAAGGATATCAGCTGCTTGTAGTACTGGGTAACATAATAAACCGGCTTTCGTCTTCCCAAGCACTTTTTCATCAAATATCGAGCTTGTCTCTATCTGCTGTGATTTCAGTTTCCACTGTGTCATTCTGTTTAAGCTCCCCATGCTGGTAATACATGTCAATATCCAATTTAACTCTGTGTGCTCTGGTACGGATGACTGGTGATATAAAATACATGCATCTGGATCAATCCCTGCTGATAGTAAACTTGCGATGGCTTCGTATCTATTTTCTTTTAACTTTCCAGGATTTTGAGGTACAGTAATGGCATGCAAGTCTGCTATACCAAAAATATACTTTGTACCAGGACTCCGTGATTCAGAAAGATCTTTCCAATTGCGTATGGCTCCTAAATAATTCCCAAGATGGATCTTTCCTGTTGGTTGAATCAAGGAAAATATAGTGGAGTTTGGAGGGAATTTGGGAACAGATTCAATTACATTTACACTAGGTTGTGAGTAGTTGCGGCTGAACCTACTTGTTCCTATTAGACATCTGATCGTGCCCCGTTTCATTACCATTTGAAATATGTTATAATTAATTAGGTTAAATAATGAAAAATCATATCGCACTAGTAAAATATTAGTTAGTAGTAGTGCCCTACACGCAATCTTATGCCAATACAGATAATGATAATATATATAAGAACCAAATAAATGGTCAGTTAAGAGATCAATATGTTAGCTGAAACTAATATACACGTAATTTAAGATGTGAGTAACGGTGGAGGATAAATTTTGGCAAAGCGTTAGGCCTCGGCCTCTTTTTTGTCACTCTGCTTATTAGAGATAAAGCCTCCTACAACGTTATCAATTTTTATACCATCTTTAGCTAATCTTTTCTCTAACTTAACTCGTTGTAACTCCCGCCATCTGTTCAATTTGGAATAATCGTGCAATTTGAAGCCAAAAACCTTTGGCACATATGTTTCTTTGACATGCGTAGGTATTACTTGGGGAAAGTTCTGGAAAAACATTGCAGGGAACGATGTACCAAAGTACGCTCCATCTACCACAGAATGTCTTCCAGACTTAGGGTTATACAAGTCCTCACATTTAGCGCAATATAACTTGACTGACGCCAATCTAGGCTGGTCATTCAATCCGACCGGTAACAAAGGGTGTAACTGACAGTGAACTCTAGGACAATATCCAAAGTCACCATTTCTGTACTTTTCGAACATCTTATTCAAGCCTCTGGATGTCAAAATATATCTAGCATGAATCAACCCGTACAATATTCTGGCATTGAGCTCCAAAGCATCCTTATGTTCCTCTGGTTGTTGTTCTATATCAACCAAGTCCGTTATTATATCAATCAACGTAGGCAATTTACTCACTTCCTGGTTCAATCCTGTTAAATTAAATCTGTCACGGATATATTCTTCGTCAATATCACAGAAGTATTCATTCCCCTTTATACCTAAGAATAAATCTATCCAATACTCAGTAAAATCAGAAGAAGAATCACTGATGTATTCTTCATTTGTGTTGACGTTGGCCATTATATATCAACCTGCTATTTGTCGAGTATATCTAATTTCACTATGCAATTTGGTTCTAACCTCCTTTTTGATGAGTTTCACAAATTTTTACCATGTCGCACAATGTTGATTGAAGCGCTTATACAGAAATGAAATAAAAACATTATTCAATTGGACTGGTATTACATTAAATATACACATATGCGTGTTCTAGTACTTCCCTCCGTGTTACACAGTGGGCAAATCCATTCCATAGACGTCAACAAGAATAATAGCAAAATATTGACCAGTGGACTAGACAAAGAGATCAATGTATGGAGTTTACAAGAATTTATACGATTAAATACGGAAGAAAATGATAAGATCAAAGAGAATTTAGGAAAGATCGAACCGCTAGCACGTATTACAGTCCATGAAGATCTTGTTAACATTGTCAAATGGTGTCCTCAAAATGAGCATGTATTTGCTTCTGGGGATGTTCAAGGGAAGGTGTACATGCATGATATTTCAAAAGATACAAATGAGTTGATTTTTCCATTTGGACTGAAAGAAGAAAGAACCTCAAGAGTGGTGGATTTATCCTGGTCGAATGACGGTAGGTTGTTGGCGTGGAGTACTGCTGATAGTAAGATACATATATATGATACGGAGAAAGCCACGTACCAAGACCTTACATCTTTATCGAACCTCGAAAAGCTAACTGTACAAAGAAGCATTGCTTTTGATCCTACTAATAGTTATTTAATTTCTATGGGAGATGACACACTGATATACTTATATCAATATCAATACGAGGCGACAACTGGAAATTATCAATTTCGCTTGATCAATAGAATATCGAAATTGATCAATAAGACTTCCTTGAATGTTGATTACAAGCGCATTTCATGGTCGCCTGATGGAGAGTATGTTTCGGTACCAACAGCATCCAAAAACCAGACATCGCTTATTTCGTTGTTGTCACGTTCTAATGGATGGAATAACATATTAAGTTTGGTAGGCCATAACTTGGACTGTGAAGTTGTACAATACAGTCCAAAAATTTATAATTATAGCGATAATACTGAAAATCCAAAATTATTTAATGTGATTGCTACAGCAGGTTCTGATATGACATTAGTGGTATGGAATACTACTAAAGATAAGCCAATATTTATACTAAAAGAAGTATCCAAGAAACCAATAGTAGATCTTTGTTGGGATAAAACGGGTAGCTCTTTGTTTGTAGCATCCTTGGATGGCCACTTAAGTATTATTTCTTTTCAACCGCAAGAATTGGGTAATACTATTTCGGATGAGTTATGGGAAAAATTATTTGAGATGGGTAAAGGAAGCATCAAGCCATTTAATGAAAAGTCCGAGCAAGATTCAACAGCTAGTACTAAGAAGGGTAGTCATAATACAATAGATATCCTCGATCAAAAGAACTCCGTTAATGTGGAAGAAGCGAAAGCAAAAATCATAACCGATGGTGCTAACGACTCGTCTAGTGTAACTCCAGAAGAGGATCATATTGATACAGAAACATCAAAGCAAGATTCACAGATAAATGATAAACAAGTTACAAATTTTGTACCTGATATTATACCCGCAATCATTGAGGATGCACCTAAAACCCAGGACATATTACATTCAGCGATGAATACAACTAGAATCTCCAAACCTCAAAAAAATGTCAAAGAAAAGTCAACAAAAGTGGCGCTGGAGAAAGCAAAAATAACAACTAAGAATGGGAAGAAAAGAATTCAACCAATGCTAATTTCTTCTACGAATGAAAATAATAGCAATATTGCTGTAAAAAAAGCAGTAATACCAGAGTCAAATGGATCATCTAGCTTGATGTCTTCAGGGAAGGTATTGATGGAATTTGATAAACCGTCGTATTCTGTATCGGATGATTTATACAAACAAAACAAAAGAACTAAAGTTCAAGATGAAAACTCCACGAAAAAGCTTAAGCGTGAATTGGAACCTGTAAAGTTTATTGGGTCAGTAATTGTGAATCCTAGTACTACTTTTGCAAGAATAAGACTTTCTATTCCAAAAGTTCGCTTAAATTTTCAATTATCAAGCACCGGAGAAGAGAATTGTGTTTTTGATGTTAAAAACGGTTTGGGAAATGAAACAAAACCATCTCGTATAACATTCTTCAAGAAGGAGAAACAAATTTGGTGTGATTTTATTCCACGTTTCGTTCAACTTGTCACAGAGGGATCGGTATTTTGGGCAGTTAGTACTGCTGATGGCCAAATCCTTACTTACTCTCGTACTTCTGGTAAGAAGTTATTACCTCCAATTATACTTGGATCCCCTTTATCATTTTTGGAAAGTCATGGGAAGTTTTTAATGGCTGTTACTTCGATTGGTGAACTATTTGTTTGGGACATTGAGCAGAGAAAGATTCATTTACAATCAAACCTGTCTTTAAGCGCATTACTCGATTTATCGAATAAATATCAAGAGGATGGTTTATCCAAATCTGACAATATAACAATGTGTTCAATAACTAACAATGGTATACCTTTGCTCACATTATCTAATGGCACAGGCTATTTATTTAATAGAGATTTGGGTGTTTGGCAAACTATTTCTGAGTCTTGGTGGGCTTTTGGGTCTCATTATTGGGATTCTTTAGGTAACGATGATGGATCAAAACCTCAATCATATGGTCTCTTTGGTGACAGTAATGATTCTTCTATAGTCGGACTATTAGAACAGAAAACAAATGAACTGATTTTGAGGAAGACAAGGGCTGGAAGAGGTAAATATTTTAATAAAATTTCTAAAAATATGCTTATGAAAGAAGGATTTGAAAACTTAGAAAATACTATTTCGTTAAGTCATTTGGAAAACAGAATATTATGCTGTGAGTTATTGGGCGAATTCAAAGATTTTCATGATTTTTTTATAATCTATGTTAAAAGAATATGTGAGTTGGGATTTAAAGCTAAATTATTTGAAGTCTGTGACCAATTACTTGGTCCTTCAGAATTAAATAGTACCATTACTGGAGAAAGTGAAATGAAATGGAGTCCGGAAATTTGTGGGCTCAAAAAGCATGATTTATTAAAAGAAGTGATACTTTCTTGCGCAAAAAATAGAGACTGTCAAAGAATTTTGATACATTTTGGCAAGAAAATAGGTGTGGTTGATATTGAGGAGTTTGATTAACTAAATCTTATATTTACAAGTACATAGATAAATAATTAAGTTCATAACTTATATGTATTATCATTATCCCAACCCTTCTCACCTAGTAAACCTTTGATTGGCCCTTGTTCATTGACCTCAGCATGTTTACTGCCTGCAACATAGTCAATATATCCATCAGGACCACAAACTAAACTCAAACTAGCCGGTTTCTTCGGTTCTTTACTGGTAACAATAGCCTGTTCAATAGCGTTTTCATAACGATGCACTCTTTGGTCATCATTTGTAGGTTGAGTTTTATGGTTTTTTTTGTCACCATTCAAAATTTGCATTCTTAATTCATATGCTTCTTCCGGAGATAGTTGATGACTTTTATCTCCTTTCTCTTCAAGATGTAAAGGACTTGTATATTCTGAAGGTTCAGGTTTAGTAACATCTTTAGAGTTCAACCTTGAATTTGGAATATTATCATAATGTGTGTGCAATTTAATTCTATCTAACTTTTCTAAGAAGAATAAAAATCTTTCTAACGGTTTTAACTCACCTTGTTTCTGTGCTGAATAATGTATGTCAACAAATCCTCTATAAGGGTTACGAGATAACAATACTTGCAAAATTGGAGTGATTCCTGTTCCAGCCGCATAGAATACTAAATTATCAAATTCAGCCAATTTATTAACTTTCTTGATTTTTTCAACTAAATTTTCAGGCTCGATCTTAGAGGGTAAGTCTCTAAAAATGGGTCTTTCGTGGAATTGTTTCAACGGATGGTATGGAAATTTATATTCTATGTTTGGGCCTCTTAATTCTAGTTCTTCGCCAATTTTCTTATTAGCAATATATCTAGAAACTTCACCATCATTATATTTCTTCACGTAAAGACACATGCTTCCTTGTTTATCATAATCATCTGCGTCGTTGTTAATAACTTTCAATAATGGCTTTCTATCACCAGATCTAGTATATTCGGATTTCATAAAATATAATGGTAATGGAGTATAAGCCCTCACAACCATAATGTCAGGTTGTTTGACATCAACGGACCAAATTTTGTCACCATTCCAGATACTTTTGCTTTCGTAATTGCTGTAAAAGCTGTATTGCCAGTGGTTGAATTTTGGAACCAACTCTATAAGAAAATGCTGATCGTCAATTTCCTCTTTATGTGTGATTATGAATCTATGGAATTCTCTAGGATCTAATAATTCTTGACTATCCGAACCAGGCTCTGGCAGGTATACCCATACCTTAATTGCATACGCACCCCACAATACAACAACACCAGTAATTATCTTTGGAAAGTATCTGGACCAACGGTTAACGACTTTTGGCTTTTTTTCATTTGTATGCTTGGTGAAATCGTCTTGATTTGGTAGTCCCGGATATTCAAAGCTCAATCTTTCGTGCTTAAGTTTAGGAATATAGGGCTTATTATCCTTCTTTAAATAATGACTTATTCCTGAATTAGGATCCATAGGGGCTGGCGATGCTGGCGAGGAAGTTGACTTCACCTTAAAATCGCTAACTTTATTGTTATTTGCATCGTTTGAAGTCAATTCCTTATCGTTTTTTTATGTGACTTGTCAGTCTTAGACTTGCATCTGACGAAAGCTTGATTCGCAAGTCTAGCTCCAAAAAACCGGTTCCGTAGTAAACTACTCCGTATTGTGCTAGTTCCTATCATCATATAGTATGGATCAGGATGAATATGACGGGTACATGCTAGAATTTTTCAGTCGTACAGATAATTTTCAGTGACACAAAAATTTAATATTTATGAATGCATAAAGAATACCTTCCAATAGATTTTATTAAGGTCAGTAAGTAATGGTTAATCTTATCAAGTCCATAAAGGCACATAATGATAAGGCTTGGTGTGCTAAATCACACCCAACTTTACCTTTGTTAGCAACAGCTTCCACAGATAAAACATCTCATATTTATAATTTGTCAGCTAAGAAGAACTTCCCATTGTTGGCGAAGTTAGAAGACACACATAAGAGATCCATTAGGTCAGTTGATTTCAAACCTCCTCTAGGTGGGGCTGAGACACCAATTAGTGATTTTTTAGATTTACCTGCTTTGGCTGCTGGATCGTTTGATTCAACTATATCAATTTGGGGAATTGATGAGCCAGAAGAACGTGATAGTATGGATGAAGACGATAATGAAGAAGAAACAAATGATAGACAAGTTCAGTTATTAACGAGCGCTAATAATGAATGGAACTTAATGGCTATAATTGAAGGGCATGAGAATGAAGTTAAGTCGGTAGCATGGAACTACCAAGGAAATTTATTGGCATCTTGTTCTAGAGATAAGACAATTTGGATATGGGAAACAGATCCAGAGACATTAGAAGAGTTCGAATGTATATCAGTTCTCAGTGATCATCAGCACGATGTTAAGCATATTACTTGGCACCCATCACAAAACTTATTGGCAAGTTCATCCTATGATGATACTATAAGATTGTATAAGCAAGACGAAGATGATGATGATTGGTCTTGTGTCGGAGTATTAAACGGTCATGGGGGAACTGTATGGTGCTCGTCATTTGAAAATCCGAATAGCCCAACTTTTGAGGCCAATAAGATTAGATTGGTTTCTGCATCTGACGATTTGAGTGTTCGTATCTGGTCCAGCGTTGTAGAGCAGCCTGAGCAAACTGAAAACACTACCGAAAGATTGCCTACTTCAATTAAGAGTAATGATAATGAAATGGTTTGGGAAGAAGAAGCCATTTTACCTACTGTTCATAAATACCCTGTATATTCTGTATCTTGGTCAGCGAAAAGTGGAAGAATCAGTAGTGCTGGATCAGATGGAAAATTGGTTATTTATAAACAGGCAGAATCTAATAAATGGGAAATCGAATCTGTATACGAATCTGCCCACGGTGTTTATGAGATTAATAGTGTATCTTGGTGTACGTTAGACGATAAGAGTGAGGTGCTTGTAACCGCTGGAGACGATGGAGCTATTAACATATGGGAACCTTAATTTATAGAATGTATTTAATAATCTTATTCATAGAATTAAAGTGAAGATGCTATATGACGCCTATGTAAGCAAGTGAAGTAAATATAATCACCCAAGTGATAACTAAAATATAATCCCGATTAAAATAACACTACCGACAACCCCCAATAAAATTATGAGGCAACAAAACATCCTACCTCCGGATCTTCTTTGATATCTTTCTGCTTTTCTCAATTCGTTGGACGCTCCATGTACATCACCACTATATCTCAAGATGTTATCCTCTATATTGTCAATTGAAAATTGTTGCTCATTGACGATATCATGTAAGTTCAGAAAAATATCATTAATTTCAGAAATGTCCTGGGATATTTGGTGTATTTCTCTTTCTCTTTCTTCAACTAACAATGATTGTTGTTCCAATTCTTCTGCATTAATAGGCTCATAATCGATCTGCATCTGTAACTGTTGCAGCTGCTGTTCCAGGTTAGAATCCTCTGTAGCACCTCTAGAAGCTGTAGCATCAGGATCATTATTTATGCCATATTTCGCAACTGTTACTTGCTGCAAAGATTCAAACTTCCTTTGGTACTTCTGAAATTGGTTCATGCTCGATTTAATTAACTCTATCAATATCGACTCCTTTCGTCTCAAATAGTGTAATGTATCTTCATCCTCGTGGTTAGACTCGCAATCATTGAGATAACCATTCAATTTCTTCGTTATATCATTTACTGACTTGAAATTTTCTGTCGTCTTATTCAATATTTTCGAAAGTTTGATCGATATTTTTTGCAACTTAACTGATAAATTCGGCTCATCTCCTTTGTTATGCAAGCTTTCGTATTGCTGTAACAAGTTTTTTATAGAAATCAATTGGTTATTGTTTATATTATACAAATTATTGTCAAGACTCTGTGATAGGCTATCAAATTCTGGAAAATCTCTATAATGTGTAATAGCAGAGTCTGCTCCTGACGATTCCAAATCATTGGAAAATGACTTACTTAAGTTAAATGACATTGTTTAGCTAAATGATGAACCTTAGTCACTGTTAAAAGGACAATTAATCATGTTCTGATAGCTGTACATACTTGTGGTGATCGCACGACCATAGTATATGATCTCTGTGGAGATGAATGGTACTCTCCAACCCTATGGATAAGCCTAATTCCCACAAATAACTGTATTATCGATATGAGAGGAGAGATAGTCAGCCTATTTATGAGAGACCAAGAGCACGTATTTTAGTTGTGATTTCGACTACAAAATTCAAAATGGTTTAAAATCCGAAATCGGATATGGATTAGCATCTATCTCTCAATTAAAGCAAAATATACAGTCTATGAATAAATATCTACGTATGAATCTAGTTGACTTCTTCTTCAGATAAGAACTTTTCACAGTCTAATGCAGCCATACAACCGGTACCGGCGGAGGTGATAGCTTGTCTATAACGTTTATCTTGTACATCACCTGCTGCGAAAACACCTGGAATAGAGGTTTCGGCAGTACCTGGGGTGGTCAAGATGTAGTTTTGGTCATCGGTTTTAAGTTGATCGGCGAAAATTTGGGTAGCTGGAATATGACCGATAGCGTAGAACAAACCGTTAACTTGTAAATCTTTGGTTTCCTTGGTCTTGTTGTTGTAGATCGACAAGTTCTGTAAGAGCTTACCGTCACCCTTAGCTTCCTTAGCTTCAGTATTCCATAAGATTTCCAACTTATCGTTGTTTTGGACTCTCTTTTGCATAATATTGGAGGCTCTTAATTGATCTCTTCTGACCAATAAGTACACCTTAGACCCGTATTTAGTCAAGAATAAAGCTTCTTCACACGCAGAATCACCTCCTCCAACAACAGCTAAAGGCTTGTTTCTGAAAATAGGAACTGCACCATCACAAACAGCACATGCGGAAATACCTTGTTGCCAGTAGGTTTCTTCACCTGGTAAGTGCATTCTCTTGGCAGATGCTCCGGTAGCAATAACAACGGCATCGGTAGTGATTGGTTCACTGTCTTCGTTCCATTCAGTCCATAACTTGAATGGTCTGGATGACAAATCACACTTGGAAATAGTTTCAGTGATAATGTCGGTACCAAATCTGACAGATTGTTCTCTCATTTGTTCCATTAAAGTAGTACCGTTAATACCTTGTGGGAAACCTGGGAAATTTTCAACATCTGTAGTAGTGGTTAATTGTCCACCTGCTGCAGTACCGTTAGCTAACATCCCTTCATATAATGTTGGCTTAATTTCAGCACGAGATAAGTAAATAGCAGCAGTGTGAGCAGCTGGGCCTGACCCAATAATTGTGACTTTATGGTGAACCATTCTTTTGATTTGTATAATGTTATTTCTAAATTTATTTAGCATAAATCGATGATATACTATAAGGTGAATTTTCCATTATATTTATATTCATGGAATAATAACGAAATTCGAGTCTAGGTCCGAGGTATTTCTAATGAGCTTTACACGACTCTTCTCCAGATCTTCTAGATTAGACTAGATTGATAAGAATCGAAGACCACGATTGTTGATCAATCCTGTAGACTAGACATGCTTAGTGATTGTATAGAAGATCGAAAGGTCTTTAATTGGTAATCTTTTAACTTGATTTTTTAATTAGTGAGCGCTTGGTAATGTCAAATTATATAATACAATATATCTATAAATCATAATGTAAGACCAGTTGGCATGAGTATTAGAAATGAAGTAGATGCAAACGGCTTTTGTGGGCCATGACACGAATCTGGGGTGTTAGTCCGGGTTGTTTTATAGATGCGGATCCAAGAAATAGAAAAATGAAAAAATTTGGATGAAGTTGAATTCGAAGACGTTCAGAGCGATTTCAGGACCCGGAGAACATCATTGTTGAATTTTCAAGCATTCTATGGCGGTACAGACATGAAAATACAAGAATTAGGATATTGGTTTGGCTGATGCATCAAAACGGTATCGGACAGAGATCCCAGAGTGCATAATGTGGGTGGGCAGCATATGACTGCCAAATCAAGTTAACGGCTTCGTATTGAGTCTTCATATTGAGTCTTCTCGTATGTGGCAGGCAAGTTTTGGAGCTTTGAACAATTACTTTAGAATGAAATCGGTTATCACTGGTGAATGTTGGTGTTTGGGGTTCAACAAGACATTCGTCATGAACCACTGGAGTCCCTTGCGTCGATTTTCTAACCAGTAGTCGGACATCAGCAATCTCTGCAAGCTGAAGTTATCTTTAGGGGGTAATTGAGGAATTTCGCTTCCAGGATAATGTTTGATAAGTGTCTCTCTGAATCTTTGAATATCGCTATATCTTTTATATATTACCATCGATGAGTAAACAGATTCATCTACTATAATCCTTATTGACCATACCACATACGAGGAGCCTCCTTCTCCTTGTATTACATGGTAGTCACCCACTAGAACGTCAGTTATATGAGATGAGGAGTTGAAATGCTCCGAATTCGTTTCGTCCTCTAATTGTATAGGAACAGGTAATATCTTATTTAATTGAGTCACTGAGTTTCTATGCGTGCTGCCCTTTCTATTTGATGCAGTCATTGCACTATATGGTGTATTATACTTCCAATAGAATATATATTCCTTAGTATGTTTAATATAGAATTTCTTAATTTTTGTGTCACCATGATTATTACAAAATTTCTGTTACGAAATCTATGAATTTGCTATTTATAATAATACAAAATGGATCCTAGAAACAAGTATACGCCTTTGCAAAGGTTGATTCATCAATGGAAGGCTCGTCGAGATATTCCATTTCGTAAGAAGTTTTTTGTTGGTTACGATTTACATGGAAATACATATTGGGAATTCACAGTCGATGGTAATATGCAAAGGCTTAGAAGAAAGTCAGAGCCTTACAAACCTCAACTTTTCAAAGCAGACTACTTTTCCACTATACCACCCCAGTGGTTACAGTGGTTAAGAAGAACCAGGCAACAAGCACCAAGTTTGGAAGAGTTAATCAATGATCAGGTTAGACAACAAAGAATGAGGATTTTGGCACAACAGGCTGATGAAAAATGGCATTTTGAAAAGGCAAGATTGGAAGAAGAGCATAGACTCAAATTAGCTGGAGAGTTGGCCAAAGTCGAAAAAGAAAACCAAGAATTCCAAAGTAAGCATGAATCCGCAAAACAAGAGAATCCTTGGGCAAAAGCGGATGAAGAATCGAAATCTAGTTCAAACCCAATACAAGCAGCTACAATTAATCCTAAAGCAAAACGTGCAGATGATCTGAAATAAATATTTTCATTCTGTCTAATATATGTACATAGTTAAGCATCAATCAACGTCATTATCATAAGTTTTAGATGAATAGAGATTCGCAAATATGCCATTTTTACTATTCAGGTCCTTGTCCTTTATCTTTTCTTGGAATATCTGCATTAGTTTTTCACTATAGTTTTCTAATAATTTTTCCTCGTAATGCATTTTATTATTATCGTCAATTCTTAAGTTTACAAATCCGTTTACAACTTGATTTTCCTTATCTATCTGAGCATTATCGCCTTCTAGTATGTTAGATATTTCAGTAATTTCTTTTTTGAGGATCTCTTTGTTACTTGCAGAAACCGCCTCCTTCAAGATTTGCGATTTAATCATTGCCAAGTGGGCAATGGATCTTTCCATGAATTCGGCCTCTCTATTACCATTGAGCTTGACGGGCGATGAAAGGATATTCATCGAGGTTGAGTTCAAAGGCTTTCTTGGGGATCCTTTCAAATCTATGATTCTTTTGTTATTTGGTGATGAATAAGATCTAGTAGGAGAACTTTTAAGTGGCAGTAATGATGTATTGGATTTAGTCAAATTTTTCACAACGGGTGATGCTTTTACTGACCTTACTGAATTAGATCTCACGGGGCTAGTTTTTTCGCCGGCATTTTTCTTTGCCTCTATCCTCTTCAATGTAGCATTAGAAAGTCTTGAAGTTGGTGTAGGTGATGTACTAGTGTCTGTTTCGCCTGCTTCAATTTCCTGTGGGCCTGAATGATCAGAATTTAACCTGGCCAACAGGGGCTTGAATGGCGAAATCTGATTTACTCCTGAAGTGGTTGGAGTATGTATAATTTTTCTGGTAACTTTGCTGTATAATGGTATCGACTCAAACTTGATAGCCGTTGAAGGGTTTGAATCAGAAGCGGAAATTGACTTTTTCGTGCTAGATTCGTTTAGATTCCATCTAAACAAACAACCATCCATACTAATAGAAATCAATTCATTAGTATTTGGTTTCAATATTAAGCTTATTATAGCATCCAGATGACCCCAGCTGACGCTTAATGGTTTTCCCAGAGTATAGTTAAAAACTCTTATCGATTTATCGGATGATGCAACAATAATCAAGTTCTTATAAATGGTAAAGTTTTCCACCAACAATGATTCATTTGTTTTATCGTTAAATAATTTAATTGATCGTTGATACTCCAAATTTTCTTTAATGCTATATATAAGCATATTTCGGTCGTTTGTACTGATGATCAAATCATCGCTAATAATCTTCATATTAATGGGACTATTCTTCATGGAAATTACTTTGTCTTGGTATATCTTAAACCCCTCTCCATTTGTTTCAAATCTATGTACCGATATTGTTCTATCTGAAGAACAGACATAAAGCCTTCTATCATAATAGAGTACTCTAAGTAGGTTACCGGTATGTAGCGGCAAGGTCTGTAGTATATCCCACTTTGAGTCTTCATCATCTGCTCTATAGAAAACTTGAATCATCCTATCTCTTGAAATGCTCGAGAAAAATTCTGTGTTGCCTATTTTGAAATATACTATATCATTGATTGTAGATGAATGAGCTTTTGTTTGGAAAATAACTTCGTACAATCCATTGGTTTTAGGTTTTGATATATATATATTCCCATATTTGTCTCCCAATATCAAATGCACTCCATTCGAATCAACGGCTGTTAATGAATTGGAAATTAATTCATTCGACGGTAAATCAAATTTAATTATGGTCTTCAAATTGTCTTGTTCGTTTGCTTCGGAGTCGAGCACTTGCTTTATTGATCCATTCTTGGAAAATACTAATAAATCATTCAGGAAAGTATCCTTAATCCCCGATAAATCTTTCATTAATGAGCTGACCAAGCTTTTTTCTGCCTTGAGGTTTGTCTTGCTATAGATGATTATTTCTTCAGATTCAGACAAATAAACAAGGTTTTCCGTATTAAAATTAGATAATTTCAATATTGACAGGTTCGACCTAAATTCATATTTAGTTGGACTCAAAGATGTTGTTCCAAACATCGTGTTGATTTTACTCATTGGAGATTGACTAGATGGAGGAATAACGGTAGCAGTCAACTCTGAAAAGTCTAAAGACTTTATGGTGAAATCGTCTGAACCTATCCAAACTTTTCCTAACTCATAGTCCACTAATAAACATCTTAGCAGAAATTTAGGAGTTTCTAGACAAACTAATTTAAGGTTATCATAAGTAAGTTTTAGCATCAATAATTGATCAGTATTCGCAATTAATAATAATTCATCGTTGTTGAGGATGTTACCTGATATAAAGTTGGAATTGATCAACAGGCCAAGAAGGACGCTTTTCCCTTTTAGCACCGATGGCTTCTGTAGAACTTTTTCATTTTCGTTCGGCACATCCTGGACAAATCTCCACACTTTAATTAGTCTTAACCCCAAAGTGATAATAAAGTTTTCATGCCATATAACTTGGTTGATTATCGAAGAGCATCTATTGCTTGCTTGTAGTTGAACTGAATTACTGCCAAGTTTCCAGACATTGAGGAACCCGTCATTAATAAGACCTAATGAACAGAAGTATTTCAGATCAGGGGAGAACGTTATCGAATTAATACCGAACGAATGCTCATAAATTAATGCAATTGGCGAATTATTCAGATCGGGTGCTAAAGAAAATAGAAGAATCCTTGGTTGATAACCCGTTTCTCCTATAGCAAGTACCATATTATTTGGTGAGAGACTTAAGCAGTTTATTGACCGGACTCTTTCCTTCAACTTGGATGGAGAAGATAAGTCAATTGCATCTGTTCCTTTTGGACTATTTTTATTATCTCCATTTACATTTATACCATTTCTTGCAATAATCATGGGCTCTGCACTTATAGGGAACCCATATGAATCCCTTAGCGTTTCTGTTGGGCCAGAGACTTCTTGATTTGATACTTCTGCATACGCCATGTTCAAATATGCATTAGCCGAACTTGGCGTCGAACTAGTATTACTCAGTCCACTTGTATTAGCACAAAAGAATCTTTGGGAAATTATTCGTTTGTTCTGTAAATCCAATTGGCAAACAACTACTCCCCCACTTGCAGTGTATGCCATTAGGTTTCCTTCTATTACGAAATTACTTGGAGACTTAGCTGACGTACCGAGAATGCCTTCGATCGTCAATTGCAGTTGCGACAGCGACTGTGAAGAAGGCTCTATGTCTATCATACTATGTATGTATAAGCTATCAGTAGTTTAAAGAAGTTAAACTTGCAATACACCAGTTTGTGTTGATGTATTTGAATGTAAACAAAAACTCCATGCTGCATCACATGACTAATCAATACATCACCGATAAAGCGATGCCTTTAAGACCATACTGATTGTATAAATTAGAGATTAGAAGGCCATGACGGAAGAAATATCATTATCAATCGAAGAAACGAATAAGCTACGTGCTAGTATAGGTCTTGCCCCAATTCCTCTACCGGATGATGAAAAAAATGATGTGAGAACTCAACAGGAAAGAGCAAAGCAGGCACCAAAGACGGCTAAAGCAGTGGAAGAAATATCTATCGAGGAGACTAACAAACTCAGGTTATCTTTAGGGCTTAAGCCAATACCAGTGGATGATAATTCAGTGACAAGTAGAGAAGAAAACGAAGTTCAGAATTTTCAGAGACATCAATCAGATATTAGAGGTAAAGAGAGAGATGACGAGATAAAGCAAAGAATAGATGATGTTAAGGCAAGAAATCTAACACGCAAAAGGTTGGCAACGGGAAAGACGTTATTGGAAGATGATAAAACTGAATCTACTGACGATTGGTTGAAAAAGTTAGGCCAACCAAAGGTGCCGGTCAAGAAGCAAAAAGTACAAGCCAGCGAATCCGACGAACTGGATGGGTTGCGGGTGGGACATAATTCAAAAGAATTATCTACTTTGAAGAATAACGAGATTCTCACTTTGAAAGATACTGACATATTAGGAGAGAAAGAAGAAGACGAGCTTACCAACGAATCACTCGTACGTGATGCGAGATTCAAGAAAGACTTGCAAGATAAACTCGGAGCTGAGCGTGTGAAAAATAATGTAAGGGGGTTTCAAATGGACGAAGATTACAATGAAAATGACGAAGCTGACGACAATTTGATGATAACAGGTGCAACAATAAAATTGACAACCAAGAATCAAGGGGGAAACGAGCCTACAGAAGTAGAATCATCTAAGGGACATGTTAAGATATCGAATTTATTTTCAGATATTGAAGATTCAGATCTTCAGCCTGCAAATGATTACCTTAAACCAAAAAAACCTATGAAAATGAAAAAGATAAAGAAAAAGGCATCTCAGAAATCGAGGAATAAAACAGAAATTACTGAAGATACAAAAGATGAAGATGAAATAATCCCAATCAAATCAGTTGAGCTCGAGACACTTGATCCGGCAGACTTACTTGCGGAAGATGCCGAATTGAATTCCGCCCTTTCGATGAAAAGAACATTGAAGCAAAAAAATAGGAAGCATATGACACCGGAACAAATAGCTGAGGAAGTCAGACTTTCTAAGAGGTGGAATGAAGAGAATGATCTTGATAATTTTTCAGTGGACGCCCAGAAATACCAAGGAGGAATTGTGTATGATGACACAAGTGACTTTTTAAACTCATTAAGCGCAAATGTTCTTGAAGATAAAGTCATTGCAAAGAATAATATAAACAATATAAAATACGAGCCTGATATTAAATCAGAGCTGGAGATTAAATTAGAGGAAGATGATGAAGTACTTTCAAACAATAATACGACGAAAATGGAACCACTGGGCGCTGCATCGGTCAAAAACGAAGATGAAAGCGTCAACCATGAGGACACTAGCTCCCCTGCATTTAACGGTGGTCTTGCCTCTACGTTGAAGTTCCTCCAATCAAGGCAAATTCTTCAGAAACAAACTGACGACGAATACGAAAAGTCCAAACAACAACGGGAAGCATTGAAACATGCAGAGCTTCTCAAATTGAAGATCTCAATCGAATCAAGAATGCTTAGGGAATACTTAGAATCTGATAAATCCTATATGAACTTACCGAAGGAAGAAAGGGAAGAAATTTTTGACTCGCATCTTGATCAAGTCTTGAAAGAAAAAAATATCATCTCTAATACCCCTAACTCGCGTAGTAATGGCACTTATAGGAAAACAAATCAACCTCAACTGAGCAAAGTGCTTGACACTTCCAACTACAATCCTGATGTCAAACTTTCCTATAGAGATGAATCAGGTACCGAACTAAATACGAAAGAGGCGTTCAAATACTTATCGCATAAATTTCACGGAGTTGGCCCTGGAAAGGGTAAAATAGACAAAAAGTTGAAAAAGATGCAACAGCTAAGAGACAAAAACTCTTCAAATAGTGAAGGCATAATTTAAGTGTATAACTATATATACGAACTGGGTTCAACCCATTTAATTTAGTATACTTAACTCTACTATAAACGATAATGATTATACAGTGACCTGCATGCAGGTGCCTGAAAATTCCGCTTTCGGGATAGATCGAAAAGATAAATTTTTCATCATATATAAGCATTTTTCTTATTATATATAAAATACGTCAAGTATTTATCGACATTAATGCAAAAGAAATGAGTTCTATTGCTTTATTTCATGTGTCTGGAATGACATGTGGTGCGTGTACTGCGTCAGTAACAGAAGCATTGACAAATAAGACCGGAGTCGAGAATGCGTCTGTATCTTTGATAACAGAAGAAGCTAAGATAAAGTATGATGAAAATAAAATCAATAGCTCAGAATTGAAAGAAGCCATAGAAGACTGTGGATTTGATGCGATATTAACCAAAAACAATATTTCCAGCGATTCCGGAGTATCATTGTATATAACAAAAGTTTCTATTCAGGGTATGACTTGCGGTTCATGCTCAGCATCAATAACTGAAGCAATAGAGAAATTGGAAGGTGTCGAAAAGGTATCGATATCATTGATGACAAGTGAGGGGTCTATTACTCATTCCGGTGTTAGCGATGCCAGTATCATCGAAACTATAGAGAATTGCGGATTTGATATCCAGGTCACTTCAACGATACCAGTTGACAGCGGGTCAGAGAAGAGCCCGATAATTATCACAAATCTTTCTATTTCAGGAATGACGTGTGGTGCTTGTAGTGCATCAATTACAAATGCTTTAGAAAACAATGAAAATATCTTGGAAGTGTCTGTTTCATTGCTCACAGAACAAGCTGTAGTTAAACATAGAGATACTATTGCCACCACAAACATTAAAGAAATCATTGAAGATTGTGGATTTGAGTGTACTGTCGAGTCATCAGAAATTGAACATCTGTCTTTAGGAAAGCATGAGGAGTACGAAGAGGAGCAGATTACTATGCAAATTTTCGGAATTAATGAGCATACTGACTTGACGGATTTACAATACAATATAGAAGCTCTTTTAGCAAATTATCCTGCTGTTACTGACTTTCAATTAGCATTCAAAGATAGTTTTAATAATAATACCAATGGTCCTATAATCTCTGATGCCAATACATCTACAATACAAGCTATAAGGTCTCGCGATAACCTAGAAATCTACGAAGAGAATGGCAATTTCATAGATGAACTATCTGTTGTTTATAACTCATCATTACTTGGTATTAGAGAATTGGTTGATGCTTTAAATAACTTAACTGATGAAATCAAATTTATAGTGGTTAATTCGGTTGACCAGTCATCAGCTTCGCAATTAAGATTGTTATCTCGAGTCAAAGATATTCAATACTGGAAATCCAATTTAACGCATTGTTTGATCTTTGGAGTTCCAGTGATATTAATCAGTTATTCTCAGAACTTAGAAATATGGCGTAAGCTAGTGATCTTCCCAGGCTTATACTTAATATCAATTATACAATTTGCATTGACTAGTCATGTCCAGTTTTATCTGGGTGCTGTCTTTAATAAAAAATTTATTCAATTCATTAAAAATAAAGGTAAGAATGCCACAATGGATGTTTTGGTTTGTATTTCTACCCTGATTTCCTTCATTTTTTCACTATTTTCAATTGTTATGAGTGTTTGGTCGGGACAAACAAATAAACCTCCAAAACTCTTGTTTGACACCACTTGTATGTTGTTTACATTTATTTCTTTTGGAAAATGGTTAGAAAATAAGGCAAAAGGCTCTACCTCGACAGCATTATCAAAATTATTGTCGTTAACTCCAACTAATTGTACCATAGTTATTGATGTTGATAAATATGAAGAATTTCTTAAATCACAAAATGTCGAATCAGACAATAAATTAAATTCTGATGCTATTATTGACTTGCCAACTAGAAATATTGCTATCGACTTAATCGAAGAAAATGATATTGCGATAGTCTTACCAGGTGGAAAAGTTCCAGCAGATGGTGTCATTGTCTTAGGAGAGACTGAAATTGATGAATCTCTCATAACTGGAGAATCATTACCGGTGATTAAGAATAAAGGTGATCAAGTCATTGGTGGATCTATCAATGGGCCTGATTTGATCCACATCAGGGTGTTAAGAACAGGTAAGAAATCACAGTTACAACAAATTATTAACTTAGTCAAAGAATCACAAGTTAATAAGGCACCTGTTCAACGATTTGCAGATTATATTGCTGCTAGGTTTGTTCCTACAGTTTTAATCTTAGCAACAATTACTTTTTCGTTTTGGATAATTGTTTGTTACGTCACTCATAAAGAAACAGCAACATTGCCAAGTATTTTCCAAAAGGAAATGAATGGAAAATTCTTCGTTTGCTTAAAGCTAGGGATTTCTGTTGTCGTCGTGGCATGTCCTTGTGCATTAGGATTGGCTGCTCCTACAGCCGTTATGGTTGGCACAGGGGTCGGGGCAACAAATGGAGTATTAATCAAAGGTGGTGACGTATTGGAAAAAGCAAACGATATCAATATTATTCTTTTTGATAAAACCGGTACCTTGACTACAGGTGATATGAGTGTCAGTAATAGCAAACAAATATTGAGTGGATCACTCACCTTATCTGATTGGTGGAATTTAGTAGGGTCGGTTGAGGCCAATTCAGAACATCCAGTGGGAAAAGGTATTGTAAATGCAGCTAAAAGGAATTTGAATCTAACTTTTGAAGGAGATGCATTTAATACAACCATTCATGATTTTAAAGTTTTAACCGGCTTAGGTATTAGAGCAACTATAAAGCTCCCAAATATTCAGGACAACAGCTTTACCGTTTATATTGGCAATGGTCGGATGATTGAAAGAGAATTTACTGACCTAAAGCCTACCTTAAACGAGCATTTGTCCAGTACTCTAGAAAATTCAACCAATACTCTAGCACATGTGATTATTAATAATAAGTATAGTGGATATATGGAATTGAGTGATACGCTAGAACCACATACCAGGGAAGTTATTGATTATTTACAATTCCAGAAGAATTATAAGGTAGGTATAATAACTGGTGATCAAAAAGGTGCAGCCATGAAAGTAGGAAAAGAGTTAGGAATTCCACCTTGCAATATTTTCAGTGAGGTTTTGCCAATCCATAAAGATAAGGTAATAGTTGATTTGAAGAAAAAATTCGGCGGTGATGGCAATGTAGGTATTGCTTTCATTGGCGATGGTATTAATGATGCGCCAGCTTTAGCTCAGGCAGATATTGGCATGGCAATCAGTTCAGGAACAGACATAGCTATTGAGTCGGCTGATATTGTTTTGATTGGCAACGGCCAAGGTCAACGCTCTCACTTATTTGGAGTCCCGACTGCATTAGATATATCTCATGCAACATTTACAAGAATTAAAATGAATTTCTTGTGGGCTGCTATCTACAATATCATTATGTTACCATTTGCTATGGGATGTTTCCTACCATTAAATATCATGTTACCACCTGCTGCTGCTGCCTGTGCCATGGCTTTAAGTTCTGTTAGTGTGGTTATAAGCTCATTATTGTTAAAAAAATGGAAACCTCCTAAAATCATAAATCATGATGCACAATACAAATCAGATATTGAAAATGAAATCGGAACTGGGTTTAGCTTGAAAGATTCAACTATAGAAGAATTTAATAGAACTAAAAGGACTGGCAATATTACCCGATTCCTGAGAATGCTAAATAAACTTAAGAGAAGGAATCCATCGAATGCCTATACTTATGAAATGCTTCCTACTGCCTAATTTTGTCTTACTATAATATGTATATAATATATTTATTCGTAATTATTAATGCTTATTTATTAACATAGCATGTATTGTTCGTCCCCATCCCAACTTCTGCATAAATATGTCATTTTGACATCGTCTCCTGTATAAATTTTGTTCCTTACACAAAATCATCAAATATCCAATTTTGCAATAATAAATTTTCAATATGAACACTTGAAGTGATGAAGTTAGACTTGGCCCTTTGTAGCTAATTTTGTTAGCTTATACCTTTTTGTCTTGAAATTACTCATTATGTGGCATAAAATATATTCATTTTTCATTATAAACATTATTTTGATAAATCGCATAAATTAATGAAAGTTAGAATAATATAATGCTCACAAAATAGTATCAGTGATCTAGAGATACCCTTTGGGAATGTGTTGCAGCCTTAACTTAGGATAAAATGAGCAGTATAACGGACGAAGAAGAAACATACTACGTCTCGTTGTTAGAATATATATATGTTATGCTTAGCTGTAAACATATAAATAAGCTTAGATAGTTAGCTTTCAACATAAAATATTGATTTCTAAGAAAGAAAATGAAATTAACCTTAATTACATTTGCGACATTGATAACTACTTGTTTTGCAGCAAGTATTCCTCAAGACACCAATCATGAAATGAATTTATTCCAAGAATTGGGTCTTAATATGAGTGATGCCAATGCGTTGGAGCTCGAGAAAGCTGCTGCAACCGGACTTACAGATTTAATCAATAAGGGTAAAAAAGCATTTTCGTTGGTGAACGTATTGAAAGATGTTTTGGGTACGATTAGTAACATCAATGAAATCCAAGAAAGTGAAGAAATGGGCCTTGAAAAAAGAGACTTGGTAGAGGATTTGTTAGTTAAGGTCTTTGTCGCCTTAAAAAAATCAGGGCTTGTGAATTCAATTGTCAAAATGGCTTTGACGGATTGCGATGTGCGTCCAGCAATCATCGAAATTCTTATCGAATTACTCGAGGCGGACGTTATTCCTTGGGAAGACATTTTTGTCGCCTTGAAAGATTCAGGCTTAGCTGTTGACGTCATTAACGAGCTTTTCACTGACCCAGAAACAAGAGAAGGTCTCGTACAATTCACAACAGAACTAATTCCCGACTTATTAGCATCTGGAGCTCTCAGTGGAAAAGACTTTTGCGTAGTACCATCAGCTCGTATACAATTGATCAATGCTACAATTCCAAATTTTAAATAGTTTCTATATTTAAGGTATCACGTTATATCTCATAAGACTAAATAATTATTTTAAATAACATGCTTATAAAGCTAATAAAGCACCGGCAGCTAAAGCAGCGACACCGGCAGCGTATTGACCCTTAGCAGCAGCACCTTCGTAAGTGGAGACACCAGCAATGGTAGAGTTAGCTGGAGCAGCAGAAGAAGAAACTGGAGCAGAAGTTTCACGGGCTGGACAGTCAGTGACGGTAGATTCACAGCTAGTGATGGTGACTAAGGTAGATTCGGTGTCAACTTCAGTGACAACACTGGCGTTGACAGAAGCAGCGACAACAGCGAATAAGGCGACGGTGGAGAATTGCATTTTAATATTAAACGAAAGACTGGTAGTTAGATTACTATAGAGAAAAAAATAAAGAATGTAAATTGTCTGGGTGTCGCGAGTCTTTTATACTTTTTGCCAACCTATTTTTAAAGCATGAATTGCTGGTGAGAATTTTTACATACCATTTGAAAACTTCGCAGCTAAATGTGTCAACATAAACAAAATTCTACCGAGTCCTTCAACACGATAAAAAAAATCCGCGCTTTCTACTTTCGGTAACCAACTTACTAATTTGGGAACAGATGGTGTGATCAAACGCACTCTTGGAAAGTGTCGCGGAAGACACTGCAGGTTCCAGAATCTCGTACGAGGAAAGTTAAGAAAAATGTCGCGTTCTGCTCCAAATATTTACTACGAATATTGCGTATATTTGAGAATGCCTTTGTGAGGCGGAAATTCTAATATAAAACGGCGAGAAATAAGACGCTTTTGGTGGGATGCTGATAATTACGCATAAATATATAACTGTTTTTATTATTTTTCACACCCGGAAGAAGTGCCGCTTTTGAAGCATCGTAGATATATATTTAGAAGGTGAAAGTATACGGTTCTATAAACTGTGATTACGCGACTGTGGAGTAGATATTTCTGTGGAATTCCTAGCATAACTTTAAGCTATCGATAACTCTTACGTTTATGCCAGTTTGTTCTTTCTGTTCTTGGTGCTGATAATTCTTGCTACTATTATCGCAAAAAATATTGCATATGGTCTTATCTTTTAAAAGATAACAATTTCGTGACGTTGTAGATTAGAATTCCGCCCTGGGAGTGACATTTTTTCTAGAATACCAATTAACAAAGTCTCTGAGCGAGGACCTAATCCTTCTGTTATCTTTATTTGGTAATGCAACACTAACAGTATTGATAAGTTTTTCTACTTCTTTTTCATTCACATTAGGTAAGCTTTTAACTACGTTCGTTAACCAGCTTATGGCAATAGAGTAGTCGGGCACCACAATTAAGATTTTTAATAGCAAATCATTTGCATCCTGTTGAATATCGTTATGGAAAGTGAATATAAGTCCATCTAGCACAACTTTAATTAAATTACCTCCATTATCATTCATAACCAAAAATTGTTTAACTGTATCTTGGATATGTTGTGGATTCTCGTCGAAAAATGATATAGGTGGACTAGGCAATCCCCATGAAATAAAGTCAATGAGGAAATGTAAACACGACACAAGTGGTTCAAATTGTTCGAGAGAGCTAAGTGTGGCGATACTGGCTTCTATTGTTGATTTGAGTAAATCCATGTTCGGTATTATCTTGAATGGATAGAACATTAATAAATCATTCATCATTCTAAAGAAATCCTCAACAACATCAGGAATATTCTTCAAATCATTCTCGCATTTTATTAACTCAAAAAATAGAGAGCACTGGGATAAACCGAATTGATAAACTGATTCCTTGATATCGTCTGAAGAGTACTCATCACCGAATTCTCTAATTAATATTCCCGATACCCATAAATAACACCCGAACTTAGTTTGCTTGAAACCATGGTGTAAAATATTAGCAATATCCGATAAAACTGGAGTTAAATAAGTGCTGAATGATTGAATTGCACTTTTAATTAGCTTTAATATTCTTTCGCTGACTTTTAAAGAGTTCCCATAGTTCAGTAATATACTTGAAGCCGCAGGCCAAACCTCTTTTATGAATAAAGTACAGATAGGATAATCAGGCTTTTCATAATCAGAGCACCTTAATACTCCAATGAAAGTTGTTAAAATTTCTACCTGGTCAGCAATTAACACATTGACACTTTCATCGTTAGTATTACCGCTACCTGATAACGTGGATAAATTAGATAAAGTAGGTTTCCAAAACATTTCGCAAGTCTGATACAAATTCTCTGATGGAATTTGTTTTATGACATGTGCCAACCCATCTACTAATTCATACGCTGACTCAATGTCTAACTGTTCTCTAACCTGTCCGTATAACATGTATAATTGTTCCAAATAATTAACCAATAAGGAGGAACAATCTTGACAGAAATACATCAAAGCGTGAGAAGCAGCGATGATAATATCTTTGTTATTAGTATTATTCGCTACTTCAAAACCCTTAATAATGTAGTTTAATTGAGGTTCTAAAAATTCTGGATTCTTCGATGTCCACTCAGTGTAACGACCTAATACCAAAGTGGCTGCATATCTTATCTTGGCATGTTCTGGCAATTGGATCAAAAAATTCATTATTGTTGGTAAAATAGTTTTTTCTTTTAAGGGAACCTCTTTCGCCATTGCTCTCATTGAGAATAACGGTGCCTCCAAATATTGCCATCTAGTTTCATTAGCATTGGAGCTCAAAATAGTTTGAATTTGTTGAAATGGAATGTTCAACGAAATAGTTGGTCCAGCTACCGCACAACAATCCTTCAAGACATCACCCATTTCGTAACGGAATTCTTTAAACTTGTCTTCTTGTTCTCTGTCACCGTCAAATAAGTTATCATCATCTGCCACAATAGGGTATGTTAGGTGCTTAATTATAATTGAAATTAGCTTGCTGTAAACATCTTGAAATTCCAATTTCGAGTCCTGAAATTTAGGTATAGTGATTATTTGCTTTAAAAGATGCCAGAAGTAAAATGTATACTTTACCACATCAAGATCTTCTTCATATTTACAGCATTCGAGTAAGATCTCAACCAATGGTTTGAAATGCTTAGGGTTTTTTGCAATTAATACATGCCACGATTCACTTGCTTCAACATAAAGTCTTGTTAAGCCACTGAAAGTTTCAGGGTCTTCTAATTTTTCCTTATTTGAAGTCATGTATGTATTCAATTGTATAAGTTGTTGATACAATGCGTCAATCAATTCGTGATTCTCGATGTCTCTTGTTTCTCTCATTATTGTACAAAGACATTCAATTGATTGGTCAAAGGTTTGATCGTCAGTTAAAGATTGGAAAATCAAATTCGTCAATGAATTGATTTGTAAGATGGTTTCGATAGGACATTCCTTAATCCAACTATTCAAGCAGTCCAAGATCAAAGTGTTCACTTCCTTTGAGTTCGATGATTCCGTCAATTTTTGCAAAATCAATAACACTTGTTCCACATTACTGGTTATCAACTCTTGAGTTCTTACATTGAATTCTTCATCGGTCAATGAAGTTTTCTTAACGTCTGATAATTCCTCTGGTAAGATCTTTAAAAAGTCCAATAAGCATGGAATGGTAGTCTGATCCGCAGATAACTTCGAAATGATCTCCGTCATTGCACCCTTCCACGTTAAGTATTGTAACGCAAGCTGCGACAACGAAATACACAACTGTGTTCTTACTATTCTTCCCGAGTGGTCTGGATATTTCGTAATTAGCTCGATGATCGAGTCCTTTAATTGCTCCAAGTTAGCTTCAGAAACTTGATGCAAATCGTACGTAATCTTTGACCTTAACGTCTGTGCCGCAAAGAGCCTGAACTGTATCGATTCCCCACTATTGCTTATGATTTGATGGGTTAATTCCCATGCTTCTTGCGATTTTTGAAATGATTCTAAAAACCTGGTGGCTTGCTTTTTGTCTGCATGCGACGCATTTGAATACATCGTGCTCAAGGCATGTTGAACTTGGTTTAGTGATTCAGTTCCAGACATCCTATAATGTCACTTTAGCTTATTTACTAGTCTTTTGTTACCTTCTTTAACTTAATGATATGCTTCGTAGAACCGTCTTTCCACCAAAATTCAATGCTTGGCAATATGCAGGATAAAAAGATTTTTGTGTCACCATCGAATTCATGCAGGACGGACATAAATGAAGTGTTCCATCGACTCTATGAGTACAGTAAGGCTGATGACGATATTCACTCGCTGAACATTGAGCAACACGGCTAAGAGCTTGTAAATTCTATTGGATATAGAATGATTTTTGAGGAAATATATGGTGGTATTTGGTATATAATTGGTTAAGTAGGAAGTTATAAACGATGTCTTGGGTTACGGATTGTTTCAATTGTACCGGCACACTACCTCGATGGGTCGACATAATACACGGTTTAAAAACATAAATATTAGATGATTTGGTGTCAAAACAAGCAAATACGCATATACTTGGCTTAAATTATATATAGACATTATGAGCAGACCTATCGTTATCTCAGGACCATCAGGAACCGGAAAATCTACTTTATTAAAGAAGTTATTCGCTGAATTTCCAGACAGATTTGGATTCTCTGTGTCGAACACAACCAGACAGCCTAGAGCTGGAGAGACAGATGGTGTTGAGTACAACTTCAGCACTGTTGAGGGATTCAAGAAGGCTATCGAAGAAAAGAAATTTATTGAATGGACCCAGTTTTCTGGTAATTACTACGGTACTTCATTCAAAGCCGTTGACGACGTCACCAAGAAAGGTAGAACCTGTATTTTAGATATCGAAATGGACGGAGTAAAGGCTGTAAAAGCTTCTGATTTGAATGCTAGATTTTTGTTCTTGAGTCCTCCATCTATCGAAATCTTAAGACAAAGATTAGAGGGAAGAGGTACTGAAACCCAAGATTCCATCGAAAAGAGAATCAGTGCTGCTAAGGCTGAAATGGATTTTGCCAAGACTGGGGCCCATGATAGAATTATTGTCAATGATGACTTAGACAAGGCCTACGTTGAATTCAAAGAGTTTATTTTGGCTGAAAACTAAGGGAGTAGAGCATGTTTATAAATGGAGATCAAGGAGCAGGATACCAATCTTAACTGCAATATGCTATATAGATTTTCCATATAATTATGAATCTCCACTGTTTTTACTGTAGGTTTTTTGGCATCTGGATGCTCTTTTTCAAGACTTGCTTTTTATGAGTATTTTATCGCTAGACTTCAGTCCTTCAATAGAGAAAGTATACAATGATGGATATGGGAGGTTGGCAATTAGAAGAAAGTCCGTCTTCTAAGGATAATACCTAGTAAAGAATTCAAGTTGTAGTTGCAATAGACCGTACGATTTTACGAAGAGTCACATGATCGAGATAATTTCTAGCAAATATCAGATACTTCGGCACTGTTAATATAGTACGATATAGTAGTAACTAAAAGTAATTGTAACATGAGTAGAGAACTTCCATCGTCCTTTGATGGGTCAGATAAGTTTGATGAAGAGTATGTTTAATGGCTTTATATATTGTTATGAATTGGGTACTAACCTTTGGTAGTGAAATGGACATCTTAGAAAAAATGGCTTTCAAATGCCAGCAGCAACCGTTAGTCCCACTCGGAGTGCTCGCTACAACCGGGGCTATTATTTTAGCTACTAAGTCAATTAGAAAGGGTGATAGAGTAAACACACAAAAGTATTTCCGTTACAGAGTTGGGTTCCAATTGGCCACATTGATTGCCCTTGTCGCAGGTGGATATATGTTCCAAGTTGAATCACCAGAACAAAAGGCATCAAGAGAAGAAATATTGAGAGCCAAAGCAAAAGTTAGAGAAAGGATATGGATTGAAGAATTAGAAAGAAGAGATGCTGCGGTCAAGGAACGTAAGAAGAGATTGGAAGAATCAAGAGCAGAGTTGATTCAAGCGGCCAAAGAAGGATTCGAAGAAGAAAAGAAATTGACTGATGCTATTGAAAAGGCAAAGGAAAATAAATCTACCAAAGGTCAGAGTAGTACAGATGTTTCCAATTAATTTAACCCTCATAGGTTACCCGTATATAGTAAAAAAAATCTTGCAAATATTTAATGTCTATGAAAATTTATTAAAATCTATTTTGAGAATAGTGTAACTTCATTTACAGTTGGCCAAACATTTCTGGATGATTTTAATTACCTTGTCCACATCAATATCATTACCAGAAAACCTAAAGCCTGCATGCTCTATGCTTATATATTCCGATGCAATTCTTGGATGAGTGCCGTTGATTAAACAAATATCACATTCTTCGCTTAGTGTTCTTAATAATTCAGAAGATTCTATAGTTTTGGGGAAGTATACTACTGTCATCCCATTGCTGCAATTGGACCAGTCTTCTGAGATTGTGGTTATTCCATTTTCTTCATTAACCAAAGTCTTACGTAGTTTTCTGGCTGCTAATTTATAGTCCGAAAAACGGGATAGTAACTTAGATTGTAATGTACTCGATATAGTAAATGAAATATCTTGCTGATCATCTATTCCGAAAAGCCGTTGAAGAGAGTCATTCAATGTAGTAAGAAGTTGAAAAATTTCCTCTGAATACGTTAGTTGTATTTTGTTATTATTTGATGACCTAGAATCATTTACGAGAACTTCAGGAATCTTTAAAACTGCTCGTGAAGATAGTAAAATATATGATAAGACTTCAGTAGTGAAAATAGAGCTTTGGTATGTACTCAAAGTAAAATCTATGCCCCAATTATCAACCTGTATTTCTTCAACTCCTGCTGAATATACAGTATCCACAACAATTAAAGTACTTGGAGAAATTTGTTTTACTAGCTGTGAAACTTCCTCTATGTTCGTCACCACTCCTGTTGAATTATCAGTGTGAGTTAAGACAATAATTCCGTATCTTTTTTTCGTTAATTCATTCTTGATTAATTCTAAGGAAACAGTGTGCCCTATTTTCGCCTCTAGAACTGTAACTTTTCTTTCTTCAGACTCCACGTATTTTTGCAAGTGTTCAGCAAATTGTTTTGAGTAGAAACCTGTACTAATGCATAGTATATCATCGTCTAATGATTTTACTATATTTGAACCCAAAAAATCCCAACCCAAACTTTCTTTTCCAGAAAGTATATAAGAGTCACAGGGACTGTTATTTCCTAGCAATAGCCTTAACTTTTTATCCACATTAGTACAAATTTCATCAAATTCCAGATTTGAGAATGACTTTGTTGTCGAAGAAATAGATTTAGAGGCATTGATTTCACTATTATCTTGCTGAGAACTGCATTGAAATACACGATTGTTACTTTTTAGTGAAGAAATAGACATCACAGGTTTATTTGTTTGTCTCATGACCGATGATGCAAAATATGACGAGTTTGCATTTCCAGGAACAGATTGAAAGTTACTATTCAAATATTGCTGCCTTTCACTTTGAACTAACATTGGAAACTCAGCCAGTAATCTTATATTGGAATTGTCCTTGATATGTGAATGCAACATTGCCAATCTTTCTCTGGCTGATGTCATGTTGTAGGCTGCTAAAACTTTTTGTTTATACCAGGTGAGTTCTATTTACCTCTAAATTTCGGAAAGTTCTATATGTTTCACAACAATATACAAAATGTCACAACTTTCAAATATCTAACTATCCAACTTCCTTATCAGCATATATATGGAATGTGATCTTGATTTAAAAGTGAAAAATCTAGTGGCAGACATAATCGCAAAAAAAAAAAAAACGCACAATCCATCGTGACTATTTACTATTCATTAGGTAATGTTCAAGATAGTAATATTATTATAAAAAAGATAATACAAATAAACTCTGGGGAAAAATAGTTATTACGACAAAGATCTATATCACTAATTATCAGCACCATTAATTTCATATTCCTTGAAAAAATTGTAAATATCTTCCATCATATCCGTGATGCCATGGTTTCCGTTATCGTTAGAAGCAGTAGCGTTAATATTATTAGAATATACTGCTTGGACTAATGATTGAATTTTGATCAAACCATCTTTCGACACCAAGTCACTAAGTATATTTATTAATGAGGGTGAAAAGTCACAGTACCATCTGTGATTCCATACAAGCAATTTGATACAACATTCCAATATTTTCTCATTTAATTGATTCACAACCTTCGTAAAGTTATGCGTGTAAGAATTATTTGAATTGTTTGCATTACCTGAATTTTTGGATAATATTTTGCTTCTTTCCATTTGGTAATATCTTAGCATTTCTCTAGTTGATTTGGCTGAAAATCTTCCGCTTAATGCATTCGCAAATGCTACAGAACCTTCCTTAAAATGCTTTAATCTGTAAGCAATCAAACCTAAGATTTCCCATTCTAAAGTAGTTTTCTTGTATTCCATTTGTTGTGCTTGAAAATGAACGTATTCAGCTTGCCACATCGTGTAGGCTCTCAAGTCTTCGTATAATAACATGAATAAGTTATCCAACCATCTTTCACATAATCTTTTTTTCTTGAATTCGTTTTCTAACGATTCATCCATATCTTCGATATTTGTTTGATCATCCTTCTTAGGAGATTTCATGGCAAGTGTGGAGGATGCATCATTTTCCATACCATTTGAAGTTCCATTCTCCACAGTAGACTCGCCATTCAAGTCAGAATTAGTAGAATTTTTTCTTGTGTGACCATTGCTAGAATTATTGGCATTACTATTTCTATCTTTACGATATTCTTCTTCCATGACGAAAACTTTAGCACGATATTTTAATAGCGCTTCCCAACCAGTTTTATTTACAATTTCAGTTAATAAATCATAAGCCTTGGCAAATGTTGATTTCAAATTAGCGGCTGGCAAATTAATTAACTGAGGATCTAAATTCCTTTGTTCATAACCTATCTCATTACTTTGTAAATTAGACACCTCATCTAACGTAACATCAACAGGGGAAGGTAAATGTAAGTCTTCATTACCACCCTTTAGTGGAACAATTCTCTTTAGATAATATTTCTCTTTATGTGAATTCATCGGACACGAGTTCAAAGTAAGCAAGGCATTCTCGAAGTCATTTAATTTAGTATAAACCTTGACTAACATAGCCCATGTTTTGAAATCAGATGGCGATGATTTCACAGCTTGTTTAGAGATATTCAATGCCAAATCATATCTTTTTTTATCGACACAAAATTGTGCTTGTAACAATAACAAGTCAGCATCACGGTTATTACTAATAACACCATCATTCATGACTTGGACTGCTTTAATTTCTTCGTCTTTCAATAATAAGACTTGCGCAATTAATGTAACTACGCCTGGCTCTTTCTCTTTTAATCTTTCTAATATTTCCAATGCTTCTTCGTAATTTTGAGTCAACTCAACACACTTGATGAAACCATCAACCAAATAATTAGATATTATAGTTGGCTGAGGAATTTCAATACCACATCCTAATTTAGGACCATCCCAGAATAACGTCTCAAACCCTTTCATGAAATAATCCAATAATTCTTTCGATGTCTTCCCGTTATTAAAAGGGTTGAGTTTACGTACTTCAACCAATCCTCCAACTTTGTTGGCATCATCATCATCAGAATCAATCAAACACCTAATAATTGATGTCACAAAGGTTTCAAGCCATAATTTCTCAGATTCGTTATCACTAACTTTATCATGAATTAATTTTCCATCGCTGTTGATAATAGAACTCTCAAATTTCCCTGGAATATGGACAGTCACTCTCATATCAACTTTTGAAAATGCATTATAAGTACAGTACGTCAATTCTGGCACCTTCCAATGTTTCTTCTCTCCAAACCAGTATTGAGATTTTGAGCCTATCAAATTAGCCAATCCTTGCAAATGTGCTGCAATTGAAGCAGAATTCGACGTATCGACACCAGTATAGTATAAAAATGTTCCAATTTCAGAATTCTTTTTGGATGTTACTGATTGCTTATGAATATTACATAAATCCGCAGGGCCTAAATCAGTAAAAGTATGCAAACGACTTGTCCTTTCAATTAATGAAGAATCAAGATATTCCTCCTTAGCTCTGTAAAGTTAATGTTAGTATTCATTATTGAAAACTCCCCAGGTCCAAATTCAAGTACTCTTAAATATGGACCCTTCTGGTATATCTAAAAATAACATACTCAGGAATCGAAGCTAATGTAGTGAGAAGCATATTCAATTAGTTTATGTATTCTTTAACTATTGATAGCGTTGTATTCTAAATTTCAGAAGTTAATGTTTTATATAAGGTGTTATTATTTGTTACTGCCTCCGACTAGAAATCTCAAAACGTGCTTACATAAACATTTACAAGTCCCAGGCATTAATTATGATAATAAGATTCGTTTATACGTATATAAGTATATATATTGATATATAGGAAAGAATAATAATGTACAGAGGAGGTCAATTATTGAAAGATGATTGAAGAAAGCTGTTGAAAACCTGGATAACTGAGCCAAATGCCTAAATATACATTGTATTTGACGAATTATCAATCTCGTAATTTGAAGGTCGAGTACGATTTGCCCAGTTATCTTAGTCTCAGCTTCTTATTAGCAGACTCAGATGGTTCTTTTTCACCTTCGGTGAATTCGTCTTCCAAGTTTTCCCAGTCTCTAGCGGTCAAGCAGTATTTTTCAGGTGGTAAATTCAATCCCCATTTAGGGATGACTGGTGGCAAAGGCTTTGAATTTCTCTCGTGGGCTAACTCTAGTAACAATTCCTTAGGGGGTGTAGGTTTGAATTGATAGTTTGTCCTTGCAGCTATGGCCAACCTTATGTCATCGGTATTTACTGTAGAATTGGCACTCGAATTAATGTTGGTGTTCGAGTTCAAAGGTTTGGCATGATCGTTGTATATAAGTGCATCTTTCAAGACAGACGTCGTATATCCTGTATTCGTTAGTATTCATATATTATGAAGTAAAATGTGTAAAAAAATTAAAACGTACTATGAGCAAAATCCATCAACTGTAAAGGTACGTGATCCTGGTAATTTTGGATTCCTTGTGTGGCAAATATCAAGTGCAACAACCTGACATCTCGTGGGACAATATTATTCTGATTATTGGTTGGATTAATAGGGTCCGTTGAGTTGGCCGGTGCTGACCCCGAAGTCTGCTTATTAGTTGAGCTCATACTTTAAATTTCCCACAACTAATTAATTAATAAACTAGTCGCCTTTAAAAAATATCTTATAACTAACAATGACTCTATAGGTTCCCTAATAGTTACTTTGCTTGTATTATATAGGTAGCAGAATTAGTTCTTTTTGATAATAATATATGGTCTATCAATTCGCACAAGCATAAAAATTGTTCACAGGAATATTTGGTATCATATAAAAGGGAAGCAATAGTTTTGGTGAAATATGCCCGAAAATGAAGACTCAATGGTAGTTGAACGTCCTAATGATATAGAAATACCACCTCCATCTGAGCCCTATACTTTAATTGAACCATTTGAGTTCTTTAATAATTCTTCAGAGAGTTCTAAGAAATGTCTCATTATACTAAACCAATCAATACGGGATATGAATTTAGAAAGATTGTGGCCTAATACCCGATTACACATATGTGCCGATGGAGGTGCAAATCAATTATATAATTACTTTGAGGAAGAAAGTGATAGAAGCAAATTCGTGCCCGAATTTATCACTGGAGACTGTGACTCTGTCACCGACGAAGTAAAACAATACTACATGCTGAAAGGAACAGTGGTGATCCCTCAGTATTCACAGTACTCTACGGATCTAACAAAATCAATATTGTTATCAAAAATATACTTTCATTCGGAATCGCTGAGGCAAAAGTTGTACAATGAGATCGAACCTAATAATGGCCTTGCTGAGCTAGGAGAACCTTTGAATACTTCAAATCCAGAAAGAGTATTCATATACATGTTGGGTGGTATTGGAGGCAGATTTGATCAAACTATACATTCAATCAACCAGCTCTACAAACTCAATAAATCTGATCCCCATTTGCAAATATTCTTTATCTCACATTCAGACATGATTTTTTGATCAAAAAGGGTTAAACTACATCCAGTACGAGCGCAAGTCGCTCTTCAATACGACAAGCAAGACCCCTATATGTGGATTGCTTCCATTAAGCAATACACCTATTACATTAAATACCCACGGCCTAAAGTACGATGTTACGAATTGGACGAGTAGTATGGTCGGAAATGTAAGCTCCAGCAATGGAATTTGTGGCATTAATGGCTTCATGGTAAACACCACGGACGACATTGTTATGAATGCATCAATAGATCATTATTAGACCATCTAAACGTTATATAATAGTCATAAATACTCTTAGTATATATACACGTGATTATAGATGATTACATAAGCATTTTAATTTTTCACTACCTCTTGAACTCTGAAAAATCGTACTTCGAAGAAGCCAGAACCAATACTTTCGTGAATAACATAGATTAGAAGGCATAAAATAGAAAGGGACGATGTTCAGATCATCTATTATATTCAGAAGTATCCCATTCTTGCGCAATAGGGTTCAGTCATCTATACCAAGCTTCATTTCGCCAGCTAGACATTTATCATTATATTCATTATCATCGTCACCAAATGTACAACCTAGCATTTTAAACAAAATCGGCATGCTTAGAGCATCCGGTAGTCCAAGTTCTATTATTCAAAAGGAGTATATAAATCCTACTATTCAAAATGATCCACTCGCACCATTAAGTGACATTGAGGTTGAAGATAATACCATGCATATGGACTCAGTATTAAGAAAAAGAAGATTGAAGATGAAGAAACATAAGTTGAGAAAGAGAAGAAGGGCACAGAGATCTTTGAAGAAGAGGTTAGGTAAATTATAGAGCAGTAAGAGGGAATCTTGAGATTCTTGAAGATTGTTGATTTTATCTTCCGACTTGCATCACTGACTTGATTTCAATATCCTTTGGAAATACCTTACACTTAATTCTCAATTCAATATATGGAAATTTATTTGACCGAAGTGTTCGGTTATAGTTTTTCATTTTGTAAATTTGTCGTATGGACATCCACTCTGTATATACTTTAATTGAATAAAATTGTTGACATATATATTGGTGTAGACATTGATAATGAGCGATAAGTAGCCCGAAGGATGTTTCTTGGTTGACTGTACAAAGGGGGATTGAGTTATGACTAATACTTCAACTCAAATGACTAATGGATGTAACTGAAAAAACGAGCTCAGTCGAAAAATTACATATGAAGAGAGCATTGAGAGGTTTAGCATATATATATTCATTCATATTAAGTTATCATAATGTCTGAAAATACAATTACGTTTGTTACAGGTAATGCCAATAAATTGAAGGAAGTTATTGCTATCCTTTCAACATCTGAATCTCAAAATGGCACATCAAAAGTTGGAAAATATTCCATTACCAATAAGTCTTTAGATTTGGATGAGGTTCAAGGTACAATCGAAGAGGTGACCATTAACAAAGCCAAGGCTGCTGCCAAAATACTCGATGGACCAGTCCTTGTTGAAGATACATGTTTGGGTTTTGAAGCCTTTAATAATTTACCAGGGCCTTATATCAAATGGTTTGTCAAATCGATTGGTTTATCAGGATTAGTCGATATGTTATATAAGTTTGAAAATAAAGGTGCTAATGCTATTTGCACTTTTGGATACTGTGAGGGACCAGATGCTGAAGTCAAGTTATTCCAAGGTATTACTAAGGGTAATATTGTTGACAGCAGAGGTCCTACAGACTTCGGTTGGGATTCAGTTTTTGAACCAGAAGGATTCGACCAGACTTACGCAGAAATGGATAAGAAAACTAAGAATACAATCTCTCATAGATTTAGAGCTTTAGATAAATTGAGAGACTTTTTGACTTCCCAATAATTTATAATTACTGTTATATAGTAATAAAGTAATATACACAAATTAACTCAAGTTAATCTAAATTCATGCATTAAAGGAATTAAATATATATATATATATGGAAACAGAAAATTCATATCATACGTAAAGAGAGTTCTTCAGCGAGGTGACGTATAAAGCACCGTAGATTTGTCTAACCATCACTAGTGAAAATACCCTTCAATTTACCAAAGAAACTCTTCTTAGGTTGTTCCTCTTTCAAAGTTTCACCATAGCTACTTATAGCCATCAAAGCAGGCTTATCTTGACTGGACTGGCTATTACTAGACCTTTGATGTGACATAACATTTCCAAATCCGCCTCTACCTATGGAAAATGACTTATTAGAGGCAACCGCATACAACTCGCTTTCCTTAGACGAATTTGATGGTCCATCCACATCTTGAACTTTGCGTGTTAATTCAGGATCATCATTTTTCATCATATTACCATACCCACCTCTACCAGTAGAAACTTTGTTTGTATGTAATTGTGGAGTATTGGATCCCTGAGGAACTAATTTTGGAGAAGGTAACGATGTAGATGATTGTATATTGCCAGCTCCTCCGCGACCTGTAGAGTAATAAACCTTTTCTCCCTTAGAATTAACGTGTTCCGATGGCTGTTGTGGATTTTGCTGATGATTTTTTTGGACTTTAGGATTTTGATGTGATCCTTGATTTGATGCAACTGGTTGGATGTGATTATTTTCAGATGTTATGTTTTTTGAGTATTGCATGTTACCAGCACCACCTCTTCCAGTGGAGAATGTCATGTTAACGTTGCTACTCACTCTAATTTCCCTATTAGACCTCTTATCTCTAATATATTGTGGAAGCTAAATCCGAACGAACTCAAAATTCATCATCAACATCTTGTGTCACGCGGACTTCCAAATTGGGCCATATAGGGAATTATAGATAACGAATTTCAGTCTTTTGAATTTGCATCTTGCAACAAATCTTTTATACTCAAGGAAGAAAAGCCTGGGATATACCCAGGGTAGCTGGGACTATTAGCCGAATCTTTCAAGTCAGAGTTGGGTGAAAATATTTGCTCTTTGTGAGCCAAATATGCCGTTTGATTAGATTTTTCAACAAAATCAATGGCTTTAGCCTGCTTGGTAACACGCTTGACGTAGTGAATATTAGGTTTACCGCAATTAGATGGCGAACCAGGTAATTGAGTTTGATTTTTTTCTTTGAAATCTGGTACTAGTATTTTCTGGGGTAAAATATCGCAATCACTTTTAATAAGCGATTGCACAGCTGGGTTCTTTTCTACGTCAGAACTGTGATGTATTCTTGCCGGTATTTTAAAGCGTTTGTCCTTTTCAGGAAGAGCTAGGGAAGATGTTCCGGATGCAGTAAATTCTTTTTCGCTTTCTAACTGTGTTCTTTTTTGAAATATATTCAGCCATCGCTTATTCGAATGAGTAATAACTCGATTCAATTTCACTTGCAATTTATTGCGATGAGCATGAACAACATCATCAACAATACACAGATCTTTGTCGTAAAAGTCACAATAGCTTTTGTCCAGTAGGGAACTACTGTTGGTAGATTTACCTGACCGAATAACCGCGGGAATTCTTTTAACAAAACTAGATATGGAATCTGATACTGAATGTGGCATTGAATTCACCGTTACAGTAGATCCCGCATTTGACGACCCGCTGGGTAAGAAACTGTAAGACTCCCAATCTTCGAGTACAGGTGACTTTGTAGAAGGAGTTTTGGGTGGTTTGGCTGACGGAATGTAGTTATTTTTTGACAAGTCAATGGTCAATCCAGATGAGCCATTCATACTAGATTTTGACTCACAATTGGAACCAAAATGAATATGTGATACATCTGTTTTATTAATTGACTCGTTATCCGTTACAATGTTACCTTTGGAATCATGAACCTCCAAGCTTGTCAAATTTCCATTTAGATTCTTACTTGATTCATCATCATATTTGAAGGATATTGACTCTAAATTGCGTCTCTTTCTTTTAAGCGATAACTGCTTGCTTAAAGTGCTGGTTGAAATAGTGTTTGATTTATTCGAATTCATGGAAACCACACTTCGGGATCTCTTTAAGGATATTCTATTTTTCCTTTTTATTTCAATATCTGTTGTATTATATTTATTATGAGTCATTATATATATCTTGATGTAGAGTGATACTAGTTATATTACAAAGTTTGGTCTTGCAACATATTTGTTTTAAAGGAACACATTTTTTTCACAACCATTTTCAATTCAATATACACTACGCATATAAACTGATAACTAATTCTAGAGTACATTTACTATCTTTAAAAAAACTACTAGTTGTCAGAGTGGTCGTCTGTGAATAGAGGGTGTAATGACTAGGTAGGTTCCCAAATGTGATTTTGCTAGGTTTCGCCCTTGAAAGTAAATCCGGTGCTGCAGCTTGCATGAGATAGTTCAAATACAAATTTATGTATTGCTGAATAGTAATCTATATTGATATATGTTAGCCATCAATTGTATCCGACTCACTATTTAGAGAGTCGGAGAGGTTCAAGCTTTCGTCAATATTATCTAACTTTTCTTGTTTAGTAATCCTATTTGTGGAGTTAAACTCCTTCCAGTCACTATCAACTGTTTGATTGCAGCTGGGGACCTCTTGAATCGAAGTCAAGTTTGTATTCTCCAATCGTTTCTGCATTCTATCTATCACCACAGATTTCTTTATATTGAAAATATTTATTGCTTTTTGCATCTCATTGACCTTCGTCATTAGTAAATGGTTTGTTTCTACTAATTCGAGAAATTGGGGTATGGAATAGTTACCAACAGCACGATTTTTAGTTTCGATATTCGGAATTTCTAGGCTCAGAAGTTCTGCTATGTCTGTTAATAGTAGCTTAAAAATGTCCAGCTCGTCTCGGGCATCATACAGCTCTTTCAATTTCCTGATACTGTGATCAACTAAAGTGTTATTTCGATTTTCTTTGTTGGGTCCATTTAAGGTTTCTCTTAAGATTTTATTTAGTTCTTTATCCAAACTAGTTTCCCAAGCATGGATACATTCAGCCGGCAGAATGTCCCTCCTTATTGAAGGATTTGAACAAATACTTGAAAACTTAGAATAGTTTTCTTTATTATTATTCAGCCCGTAAGGGGTGTTAAAATGACGCGAAGATGACGGCTTGAGAAATGGAGATTGGCTTATATGATTTGATTGGAAAGAATTCATAATTTGTATTGATAAAAAAGTTAACTAATTTCGTTTGTGAAATGGGTGCAAGTGCACTGAAGTATTACAAAAGTTTTCTTAATTTACAAGATATTATATTGCAATTTGTAACACAGGCTTGTCACCCGATCTTATATAAAGAATAATATATAGCTTAAATCAAATAGACATATCAATACCTAGAATCCCTGTTTCCGTAGCAAGTATATACGATATGCCAAACGCGATTATGATATTAAGCTGTGCCTTTCATGCAACGATAATATAGTTCGCTTTTCCTATTCAATTTAGAAAACGTCAGGTAATCTTTCTATAACATAAGAGTGCCCACCAACACTCATTATAGGAACACCAGGGACTTTCCGTATTCTTCTTTTTAAATCGGCATCATTAGTTGCGACAATATAACACTTATGTTGAATAACTCTATTCACAAGGCAGTCATCAGCATATGTTCCCTTATGAGAGCAGCTCAAACGTTGGATTCTAGGATCTTTAGCTAACTTCAAAGCAATTCTATATTTAGGGCCTAACTTCTCTAATTCAGCCATTACACAGTCAGTTATAATAGGAATACACTTAGCATATAATGTATCCATCATTCCTTTAGTTATATCAATTTTCTTTTGAATACTGAAGTTAATGAAATTTGTATCTATTAATATCTGATATGGTGGTTTGATAGACTTATTGAATTGGAAAAATAATGCTGATGATACTTGTGGAACACTTTTGGTTAATTCTGGATCGTTGTCATCCTTCTTCGCTACGGTTTTATTTTTATTTATACGTGGATCTTTTGCATTAAGCGTACGCTTAACTAAAGCAAACTTTCTAGTCTTCTTAGCCTTTCCCATATTGATTATTATATAACAAGTAATAAAGAATAAGAAATGTGTTTAAGCTAAACTAATAAAAATTTCTAGTGCGCGATGACCATCTTTATAAAAATTATTTCCTTATAACAGAAGTATGATTTTACAGCGACTCTAATACATACTACATAGATGAATAGTTAGCGGAGTAGACGCTCTCTAATCTGCTTGAACTTGCTCTAAATATATTTTAAAGATTTTTAATATGAATTATACAAATTGGTGAATTATTTGATAGTCAAAACCTATACCCTGGATCATACTTTTCTTCCAGCTGATCAATCTTTTGTTATCGAATAATATTTCAAACACTCTTATTTTTCGATCAAAGTCTTGATTTAACTTAGTTACACCGGAGTCACCAGTGATTCCACTGTAGCAAAGCCATATTTCATTCAAGCTCTCTTTTGTTTCGGGGTGGTACTTCTCACTAAGTACACAAGCGTCATTTTCATGTTCATGTCCTACAGAGATAACATTATAGCCACAATTGACAATGTCATCTCTATAGTTATGACTTGTTTTCGCATTCAACTGATGCTTTTCATTGTAGGATCCAACTAATTTGAACTTACCAGTAGGTCTAAAATTAGGCAAAGGATAGTGAAAAAATAAGAGTTTGAACAAATTCTGTGGTAAGTCTCGGTTTAGTCTATAGAGACTATTAATCTGAGAAGCATCGATCTTTTGGTTTTCTGAATCAAGAATTGTTAGGATGGCACTTGGCTTGGAGTCCAGATTACGTAAAAGTTTAAGATTGTAATTAGTTAAGCCATGTATATGATTATCTTGGTTTGGAACATAATTATAGCAGTTGGGTAAAGATGATAAGAATTGCAAAATTTGAAATTTAATAAGGCTTGCGTTTTTATTATGAAACTCGTTGAAATCCAGCTCACCGAATGTGAAGATAAATGGAATATTTTTGCGTAATATTGGAGATAGTCCCTTTAATATTACAGATTTAAAGTCCTTCACTTTAATCTGATCTATGAGATCGCCTGTTATCACGACAAAATCAATATTGTCCGATTCAAGAGAATCTTCGATGAATTTTAAAGTCTTAGTATCCAGTTTGCAACCACTATCGTTACAGATTTCGTAATCAGAACTGAAGTGAAGGTCACTTATTTGCATAATTCTAAAATTTGATTTATCTGTAATTATATTTCCTTCTCGTTTTCTGACGCTAAAATCTGTATAGTTTTGTATATATTCCTGCTCCTCTGACCTTGAAAGTTTAAATAGTGATAGATGCACTGGTAATAGCGTCCCGAACGGCATGGGTGATTCCTGGTATTGGAAATCCCACTGTATTCTCGAATCGTGTAAGTCCTTGTCTCCAAACAAAATGTTGACCTCTCGAATTAGCTGGGCAGATTCAAACTCTGCAGAATTGGTATTCGTATATTGTTTCCACAATATCAAATTTTTGTAGGATTCTTGTACCCAACCATCGCCTTTTGGAGCAACTGGACCCGATGTTATTTGGAAATCTGTCATTATTCTTGTGGCTTGGTTAATTTGTTCACGTTTTACGATTAGATGTGTGTCAAATATTGTAAATGACCTTGAGAACATATTTAATGGCTTAGAAAGCCTATGCCAACCTAGAGCAGTATTACACTCTCGAAATTTAAAGCATTTCTGTACCTTAATATCCACAATTACTTTATTAGTGTCAACATTATCATTATCAAATAATTCAAGTGGAAGTGAGTTATGATTTAAAAAATTGAAAAATTGTAAAGAAACGATAAATAAAAGCGTCCCCATTACAATGAGGGAAATCTTACGAAACCTGATGTACCTTTGAATAGCCCGTTTCATAGTTCATAATACACTGGATTCAAACAAGTAATAATTAGACAGCTTATACCAATATCTTCGAAGTTTGTCATTAGAATTATGCGCGCTTGGTTCTTTTTTTGTAGCCTAGGCTTTGTTTGAAATAAGCCAATATCGTAATACTAGCTCTTGGTCCGTAATATGATTAATACTTCTCCCCGAAAACAATGTTCTTTTTGAATTCACTAGATAATAGTTTTAATTTTCATATTGGATCAAAATTAATCAAATAATCAAGAAGTACTGATTTGTTCCACACAGCTGCATACGAGATTATACGATGCGCATAATTTACAGATCTATTGTTACATTAATGTTTTGGTGATATTATAAATCAATATATTACAGAACAGTCATATATGAAACTACGTAAGCCCAGTGATGCATACCTCTATTAATAACAACCAACATACTTTATTAGTTAATGCATAGCGTGGACAAGTAGACTATAAGTCAATCAATGCATCCTCACTGGGATTTTGGTTTGCTTCTTGATCTGGGCTGTTCAGTTTACTCAAGTCACCTGTGTCTTGGTTCAGATCTTCGCGAATATCCATATCATTGTCCTTTCTTGAATCTTCAGCTTCGGATAATTGACTGCTGTATTTGGAATTGTCTGCCTTAAAAAAGGCGTTTAGTTTGTTGTTGTCGAGATTAAAGCTTCTGTCAAGAATATCAACTGCAGCATATATTAACAGCATAGGTTTGGCTCCAACTGAGGTATACTGTAAGATATCTTGCTGAATAGTCGCAAAATCAAGCTCATCAATTTCGTAATCGGTAATAATGTTGTTTGAAGAATAAATACCTTTCTGATATATCCAGCAGCTGGTTCCCTTGTATTTGTAATAATACTCAGTATCAGATAGTACTATACCAATTAAAGTATATTTGGTAGGAGGCTTGATATTTTTGCTACGAATTTTCTCTAATACATTCTCATAGTTTCTGACATCTAACTTTGAATACAGCTCATTCAAGCCATCCAAGTTATCACTTAACTTAACTTTTTGGTTACCAATTTGATCGCTTAATTCTTGTAAATCACGAACATCGCTATTTTGGCCCTTTAAATATTCGATTGTTGTCTGCAAAAATCCTTTAACTTTTTTCCCTTCGAAGGAATTGAGCTGCATGATTTCATTACTAATCTTCATTCTTTGTTTAATTATTTCATTCCTTTTGTTGTTCATCTCACTGACAATTGGATAGTATTCTGAACTATATAATTCTGGATAAAAGATTTCGTCTACTTGGAAATTAGTATCAGCATACGAGTCCTCATCTCCGACCAATTGAATTGTTAATATTTTCGATGTGTCAATCAATCTAACGTTTCCAAGCATTTCCAATTCGGTACCCCAGAATAATTCATTAAAACTTTCATAGAGCGATTTATGTCTATATTCAACATCAACATCAAATGTAAAAATATTATTGATTAATTCTTCATTGACACTTTCTACACTTGATTTAAATAATCTGTCAACAACGACATCGTTTCCAAACATAGTATCATAATTATTTTTCAAGCTTTCATACAACTTAGGTAATAATTCATCTACAGTTTCAATTCTGTTGTTCACTAATCGTTTCTTCATGTCATTAGGTAAATTAGCAATCAAATTATCACCACTTATAAAAGATCTTTCACTTTGGCCCTCTAAGAAACCAATAACTTTCTGTAATTCAATAAAAAATTTGTACGACGATTCCTTCAGCTCATCCAAGTTAGAAGGAATACTAATATTCTGAGGTTTACCAACCGCCCAATTACTATCATACTCTAAGTCATATTCAAGAGGTTTTAAAAATGCTGATTTAACTTCACCTAATTGCGCTAATATCGTAATTATTGGGATATAATAGTTTTCCAAAAATCCCGATCTTTTATTCAAAATAACTGGTGGTTCATCGTCTCTCTGTATACTTTCAATGTTATCTAATATGCACGTTTCTACTGGTTTTTCAAAATATTCATAATGTTCAAAGTCTATATCCTCGTGTTGTTCTTCCGTTCTTTCTTCATCATATTGCACGTTTTCTGATACAGATCCATACGCCTGAGGCACTGACTGATACAGTGAAAGATCTGGAATATCGTTAGGATTCAGTACATTTACACTATCATTATATGGTACTAATTGATCGTTAGTGCTTGGGGTATCAATTTCAATAGGATCTTCGAAAAGATAAGCAATTGCCGATTCCACATCATTTTTAGTGATGTTTAATGCATTAACTGCTTGCTCCTCACTAAACCCCATTTCGGTGAGTTTCTTAATATTATCATCCGATTTCATATTGTTGTATATGGTAAAGAATACATATTATTCCTTGGTACTGATTCTCAATAGAAATCCATTTTTAATAGTGCGCTTGATTACAACGCCAAATTATAAAAGGACCAAACCAAATTATCCCGCTACACAATAATAATTGTATATATATATAGTATATGATCTTATGAAATGCTATGAAGAACATGGTTATTTTCTCTTCCTAGTGGATAGTATGTCGAAATCATATCGTACCTATAAGAATAGCTAATTCCTACTTGTTAAAAACCTGCCATTAATTCCTTCAAGAAATTCCAAAGATACAAATCATTAGATAATAGAGATAATTGCTAGACATAGATACTATCCTGTACTCAAATGCAAGTATATCTTTCGTTCTAATCTTAGTGGATATTTTGCCGTCGGGTATTATAATTTGCAACTTAGTTTAAGAAATTCAATTTACTTAAGATATCAAGCCAAAAGTTGAATTACCCTGCTTAAAGGGATTGTATATACCCTAAACATCGTTATCATGAAGTCTATAAGATATGTGATTGAATACATCTACGTACTGGTAGATCAATACATTTGCGTGTGTTAACCAGATATATGGCATCTTGACTCACCGAATTTTTTTCATCGATACTACCGTTCTCCTGCAATGCTACAACCCTTTAATGAGATATTTGAAACGTCTATTTTCAAACTATAGATTCATTAAACATAATACTATAAGGAGGATGTCGAGTGCTCAAGAAGTGAAGTCAATTAGTGAAGGCTTAAGCAAGTTGGGCTTAACACAACCTGAGAGTTTAAAAGACTCATACCCAGAAGCCAACGTAACTGATGTATTGAGAAACTATATTACTAATGAATTACACAGAATATCCAACGTAGACAGGGAACTTATTTTTGTGTCGTTAGACTCACCAAACACCTTAGACAAAGGTGATTTGATCATTCCAATTCCAAGATTGAGATTGAAGGGTATTAATCCAAAGGAAAAGGCTGCTGAATGGTGCGAAAGCTTTGAAAAAGGCAAATATTTGTCAGAAGTTAGGGCCGAAGGTCCATTCCTCCAGTTCTTCTTTAGTAAAGAATTGTTATTTAACTTGGTTATTAAGGACACCTTAGTTAGAACCGATAATTACGGTTCATTACCAATTGGTCTTAACAAGAAAGCAGTTATTGAATTTTCATCTCCTAACATTGCCAAACCATTCCATGCTGGTCATTTGAGATCTACGATTATTGGAGGTTTCTTAGCTAATTTGTATGAAAAAGGTGGATGGGACGTTACCAGAATTAACTACTTAGGTGATTGGGGTAAACAATTTGGTTTGTTAGCAGTTGGTTTTGAAAAATATGGTTCTGAAGAAAGCTTAGCAAAGGACCCAATCAACCACTTATTCGAAGTTTATGTCAAGGTTAACAGAGATGTCACCGACGAAGGTGAAGATGCTGTTGACGGTACAAATGATAAAGCAAGGGCTTATTTCAAGAGAATGGAAGACGGTGATGAAGAAGCTTTAAAGATTTGGAAGAGATTCAGAGAATTATCCATTCATAAGTATATTGACACTTACGCTCGTCTTAATATTAAATACGATGTTTATTCTGGTGAGTCTCAAGTTTCGAAGGAAAGTATGAAAGCAGCCACGGATATGTTCGATAAGAAGGGATTACTTCACGAGGACAGAGGTGCAAAATTAATTGATTTAACTAAATTCAACAAAAAGTTGGGTAAATGTTTAGTTGAGAAATCTGACGGTACCTCTTTATACTTAACTCGTGATGTTGGTGAAGCTGTCAAGCGTTACAACACGTATAAGTTTGACAAGATGATTTATGTTATCGCTTCGCAACAAGATTTGCATGTTGCCCAATTCTTTGAAATCTTAAAACAAATGGGATTTGAATGGGCTAAAAACTTGGAACATGTCAATTTTGGTATGGTTCAAGGTATGTCTACTAGAAAGGGTACTGTCGTCTTCTTAGATAATATTTTAGAGGAAACTAAAGACAAAATGCATGAAGTCATGAAGAAGAATGAAACCAAATATGCTCAAATTGAAAACCCTGACGTGATTGCTGACTTAGTCGGTATTTCTGCAGTTATGATTCAAGACATGCAATCTAAACGTATCAACAACTACGAATTCAAATGGGATAGAATGACTTCCTTTGAAGGTGACACTGGTCCATATTTACAATATGCCCACTCGCGTTTGAGATCTGTTCAAAGAAAATCCAACATCTCCGAAGAAGAATTGTTACATGCAAATTATGATTTATTGACTGAACCATGCGCAGAGAACTTGATCAGAACCCTTGCTCAATATCCTGACATCATAAAGAAAGCATTGAAGACCCATGAGCCATCTACTATTGTTACATACTTATTCAACTTGACTCATATTGTCTCTCAATGTTACGATATTTTATGGGTTGCCGGTCAAGAGAAAGACTTAGCCGTTGCTAGATTGGCTTTGTACGCTTCAGCTAGACAAGTTTTACATAATGGTATGACTTTGTTAGGTTTGACTCCTGTTGATAGAATGTAAGAGTGTATTTGTATTTATACATGTATTTATTCATGTATTTATTCATCTTAATTACGTGTTTATATAGTTTGATAAATAAATTATTCATATCGAATTTTTGGTACAATGCGTGTGAAGAAAAAAAAATTATTGATAGAGTTGATATTTATTATATTTTATACATACCTATAACAAACTACTATCATTTCAATACTGTTATATGGTACTAGACTTAGGCAGAATCAGTAAGCTACTCGGAATACGTTATTGAGTATGAGTGGTATTGGCAATCAAGCAGTTTTGTCAGATGAAGAATATACTGATACAATAGGATGTCTAAATCGATTAAAGGTACCTCAGATAAAGGATATTGCAAGATGCCTTTCGTTGCCACTTTCAGGAAAAAAGCAAGATCTCATTGATCGAGTAGTAGGCTATTTGGAACAAGGTAAGAGATTCGACGATAATGTGAGGTTACTCGCCGTCAGAACAATTGTACTTAAAGTAAGAAATAATGATCCTATTCCCAACTTCACAGCATTGTATGATGCTCTAAGGACTGGTGCATACAACTTCGTCGAAGGCGTAAGTCAGTATTCTAATTATAAAAAGCAATCATCATCTTCTGCATCACAGAATAAATCTAAGACTGAATCGTATCCTTACAAAGGGCACGTATTGTACTTTAAAGAAAGCCCGTTCTATAATTTGAAACGGCTAGTTCATGGTAGTCCCCAAATAGCCATACCTAGTAAGGTCAAGGCTATTTGCAGGTATCAGTTTATTTTGAATGAAGAAGAGAATAAATTATTTCAACTTTCAGGTGAAAAAATAAGGTTTTACCTTCTTTGTGGTGTATCTAATAGCTCTACAGCGTCCACTTCTTCAGCACTTTTACAATTTCCCATACCAATAGAGATCCATGTAAACGGAACGCATATTAAAGAAAACGTTCGAGGAATCAAAGGTAAACCAGGAACAGCGAGACCTGCAAATATAACGCCTTACATTTTACCTGATCAACAGTTAAATAAAATTGAAATGGCATATGCTGGAACAACAGAAACGTTCCTTCTTTACTTATATATTGTGGAATATATTTCTTGTGAAGAAATCATCCAAACTATTGTACAGCAACCTCATATTCACAAGAATTCTACTATCTTGGATATTAAAAAAGAATACTCTAATGACGATGGTGAAGACGATGACATTATTGTTTCTACCTCATCAATATCTTTAAAATGCCCTTTGACATACGCTAGGATGAAATACCCCACAAAATCAATATATTGTCAACATATTCAATGCTTTGATGGCTTATCGTATCTTCAATTACAAGAACAGGTACCTAGTTGGATATGCCCTGTATGTTCAAACAAAATTGATATTTCTCATTTAGCTATTTCAGATTATTATTGTGATATTTTAGAAAATACTAATCATGAAATCGAGAACGTTACGATCAATGATGATGGAACGTGGGAAGCTATAAGTGAAGCATCGAACAATAGCAACGTTAGTGGAAATAATAATAATAATACTAGTAATAAAAGCAATAATCTAAAAGGTAATGAAGACTCCTACAATGAAAGTATACTGACTCAAATAAAACATAGTCCCCTGTCTAGAGTTTATTCAGAAGAGGCAACACAACGCACACCAAGTGCACAGCCCGAAGTAATTGAGGTTATATCTATTGATAGTGATTCAGATGATGATGTGGATATGAATGAACCAACTAAATCTTATGTACCTAGTGGAATAGCAGCAGAAATGCTTACCCTACTGGATGCAAAGAGGGCGAAACAACAAAATATACAACGTTCTGAGGTAATTCATAACCTGTCCTCAGTCAGGAGTGATACCAATAATCATACTATGAATCATCGTACTATTGAAAATAGTATAAATCGTCCTAGCACTAACAACGTTAATGTAAGTTTGCCACCTATAGCTCAACAAGTCACTGCTAACAACGATGAACATATTGTGACTCAAAATCAAGATAGTCCTGTCAGTACAGGAAACACACCAACTTTAGCTGGATCTAATAATTATCATTCTGAAATTGCAGCAAAGAAATCTACAGTCGCTCAGGATGCCTCTAAAGATAAATCTAATTCAAACATATCTAATGAACAGAATCAATATGGAGCAATGAATCAGTATAACCCGGTTAATGATACGAATTTGCAACAAATGGTCACAAATAACACAAGCTTATTAAATTCTATAAACAGCAATAAAGAGGATATTTCAGCTCGAAATAATTCCAGCTCGGACCCGAATATTAACGAGCTGTTACTTACACATTCATCAACACCGCAAAGTCATCATTCAATTAGAGCTTCACTGCATAACAGACAACTCGTGGATGACCAACTTAAAAATACCTCTTCGAGACCTGGTGACGAACGTATGAGCTTGGAACGAATTTATGGGATGCCTGTAAATTCTACAAATAATAGGACTATAGAAGATCAAAGAAAACAAGCCAATATCAATCCGATATCTTCAACTCCTGAACTTACTTCTCTAACACGATCTGTGCCATTATTAGATGAGCAGCCGCAAGTTCAAGTTACTTCAAACTCAAGAAGTATATCTGCTCCATTACCTTTTCTTCTGAGAGCAAATGAACCAAATGTGAGAGACAACAATGAAAAATATGGTGATTTACCCATATTATCAGGAACAAAACTCAGACCGTTAAAAAAACTCCCGATGGATGATAATTCTAATAATCCTGGGATTCTTCCTAACATTCACCAACTCGAGAGTCAGCTAAAGGTTCGAAATCACGATAATAGACAGCCATATCAGTTACCATCTCAAATCCCTAACCAAGCAATCGATCAAAGATCACCAGTATCAAACGTATATGATGCCACCCGAGAAACTAGTAAACATAGCCGACCTTTGGCTACTAGCATATCAATGACTCAAAATTCATCTCGCCCATCACCCCTGGTGTTCTATGGTAGAGACTCGCTTGGTGATATCTATCATTCACATAATTCTTCCCCACGAGATGCAAGTCACCAAACGAGGAGTGTCAACTTGAGTGATTATCAAATAAACCAAACCCACAAATCTCGGCACCTGTCACCAGCAACATCGTATGACCTAGATACCAGTGAAGGACACCCAATTCAAAACCAGAATCAACGCTCATACAATGTGAAAGAAACATCTCATATCGAAACTCCAAACGACGCTAATCAGAACAGAGCTTCAAATTTTAACGGAACTGAAAATGGGCCTAATCACGATCGTATCCATTCTTCAGAAGGAAGATACATCTCGGGCTCTTCTGAGCCTAATTCATTAAGGTACTCTCGCTCAGCTTTTGATCTAGCAAATAAGAATCATCCCCAAGCTGAGAATCCAGACAAAGAGGAAGGCATAGTTGGATTACTAGGAATTGTTCTCAGTGAAGATTCTATGCATATGAATCAACCATCAACTCAACCACCTCCGTCACAGAGAAGTGATTTAACTCCTCTTAAGGGAAAGATCGATAATATGCGACTTGGTTCTGATAAAAAAAGAAGCTTGTCAGGTTCTAGTACAGGTAGAACCTGGAATAAAAAAATGAATCCAGATCATGAAGGATCAAGACAGGTAGAAGTTAGTAATCATGACTCAACTCCATCGAAACCAGTATATGATGCGTTAAATAATCAACAGTTGCATGGTTAATTAAATTTGTACAAAGGAAACGCAAAAATATAGAGTCATTTATATATTTATAATTTAAATCGTAATAGGTTTTATCGGCTATGTATAACATAAGTCTCATAGATAATGTATCATTTTAATTAATTAAGCGATTTAATAATACAGGGGTTTTCAAGAATAGTAAAATAGTTAAGAAGCATGTCTAAATCACATTGGACTTGGGCCCAAATAATCTTCTTTAATACTACCAATAGCATAGATTTCATTCACATCGGTTCTGGTACCAACAATCTTTAATCTCACCCTTGAACCCTTTTCAATATTTTCGTCTGGACTAACGTATGCTGGAGGATTAGCGGAAGGATTGAATTTCATGTCCGATGGAATTAAGTGGGTACTTACAAATACTGATAATGGTCCGACATCAGCAAAGAATCCCATTTTATTCACTGTTGTAACAACAGCATCTACTACTTCTCCCTTAAATGGCTTCCAAACAACAGCCCTATATTTCACTTCAAATTCAGCCACCCCTGAACCTGGTATAACCCTACCCTTTCCAACGTCAATGTTCATACAATCTAAAACACACACTATGTAACCAAATTGACCTGTACATGTCCCTTCCACGTCACTCAATAATTTGTCTCTTAAATATTGGTCCATTTGCGGACCGAAATATGACGGATGTAAAGTTAAATTCAATGATAAATCCTTTAAGAAAAACATTCTGGAATTTATCTTAGATTATGCAATTGATGTTGAGCTTGTGAATATGCGCCTGGATCTGAATTCGATGATACTTCTAGGAATGAATTTAATAAACCACGAGAAAAGAAAAATGATGAGTTTAATTTAAATTAATAATTATACAATGCTTTATTCACTAAGCTTTATATTATATTTCATCTATTCTTACTTTCGATGAAAGTTGGTTGTTGAAAAATCAACATTAGCGCGACATTTGGTGACAAAACTTTTTGCGACATTTGCCGAAGATTCTAACCAAATTTTTCAGTATAGGAAGTGATTTTTAACCTACTTATAACAGACAGTCATTCTATACTAACAAGCAAAATGTCACAAAGAATTGGTAATTCAGCTGTCGCTTTATCTAAAGTATGGCATCACGTTGATGTTGCTGCTGATGAAAGAACATTAGGTCGTCTAGCATCAAGCATAGCATTAACATTACAAGGAAAACATAAGCCAACTTTCTCGCCAAACAGAGACCATGGAGACTACGTTGTCGTCACAAACTGTGCACATTTGAAAGTGACTGGTAATAAATTGCAAGACAAGACATACTGGTCTCACACCACCCGTCCCGGTTCGTTGAAATTAGTGCCTATGGAGAAAATGATCGCTAACAAAGGTTACGGAGAAGTATTGAGAAGAGCAGTGAAAGGGATGATTCCAAAGAACAAATTGAGACTTATTAGAATGGATAGATTGAAAATCTACGATGGAGATGAACATCCATATAAACAAAACTTGATAGCATACGCCGATGAAATGAAGGAAATGAGAAGTAAATTGGCTGAATTAAATAGAAAAGAAAAGGCCATGCAAGAACTTCGTACAAAATATTTGGAAAGTTAATTCTCTGTACATTAAGACTTTCTTTTCTTTAAATAATTCTGCTTAATGGTGTAAATATTTGGGATTTTGTAAATAATTTAAATTGAATAGTATATCATATCGCGATCTGTAAAGTATATACTAAGATAGTTAAAAAGTCAGATTTATTTTTAATTATATAATGTATATATACTACAACTATTAATGTACCCCCAGGGTTTTTTTTTAGTTTTTTACTTATGTTACTTATTCTTTAAATAAAATAATGGATAATTGCTTCTATATTTAAATTATTCCAATGTTCTTGCAATTAGACACGGATTGACACTCCTGATCTTTCTGTGTACAACCTAGGAGAAATATTCATTGCCATTAATTCTTGGAATAACAACTTGGCTGCATATGGTATATGAATTTGGTAAATATTTGTCTTATTCTTACAGGAACGACATTCGAATTGATTCTTCTTTAAATTAGCAATGACAGACATCAAACCACAAATTCCACATACATGAACTCTGAAGGCATCAGAAGCTTCCATTAATCTTTCTTTCAAGAAACCTGCTGCACCATGAGCAATCATACAATCTCTTTCCATTTCCCCGAAACGTAAACCACCATCTCTTGATCTACCTTCAACAGGTTGTCTTGTTAAAACTTGAACTGGACCTCTAGCCCTAGCATGAATCTTGTCATCGACCATATGTCTTAATCTTTGGTAATATGTAGGACCGAAGAATACTTGAGCCATTAACTTCTTACCTGTATGACCGTTATACATAACTTCAAATCCTCTTGATTGATAGCCATGTTCTCTCAACAACTTAGAAACCGCCTCAGCAGTAACATCTGTGAAAGGTGATGCATCACCTTCAAGCCCAGATAATGATGAAACTTTGGATAATAAACACTCAATTAAATGGGCGACTGTCATACGGGATGGAATGGCATGGGGATTGATAATCAAATCGGGAACAATACCTTGAGAAGTAAATGGCATATCTTCATGTCTATACGTAACACCAATAGTACCCTTTTGACCGTGTCTAGAGGCGAATTTATCACCAATTTGTGGAATCTTTGTAGTTCTCATTCTAACCTTAACGAATTTGGCACCATCACCATTAGTAGTCAAAAGAACTTGATCAACAATACCAGATTCTGTACTTCTTAAAGGTGTTGAAGCATCTCTCTTCGTATGATATTGAGTTCTTTGACCTAATTCTTCAGTATCAGGTGGGATTGGAGTTGTCTTACCGATAATAATGTCTTCACCACTTACCCTCACACCAGGAGCGATTAAACCATCGTCATCTAATTTCTCATAAGTACCATGTCTTAATCTCAAAGTATCCGATCTTGTTGGCTTTTCAAAAGTTTCTAAAGCTTTCATTCCTTGCCTCTTTTCTAAGTCCATATAAGATCTAAAGAAAAGGGATCTGAATAAACCTCTGTCAATTGATGACTGGTTCATAATCATCGAATCTTCTTGATTATAACCAGAGTAACATGCAATAGCAACAATCGCATTTTGACCAGCTGGCAATTCACGGAACTTCAAATATTCCATAGATCTCGTGGTAGCCAATGGCTTTTGTGGATAGTATAAGATATTTGCCATAGTATCCATTCTCACTGCATAATTAGTTAAGAAAACACCCATAGCTTGCTTACCCATAGCGGATTGATAAGTATTACGAGGAGATTGATTATGATCTGGGAATGGAATAATAGAGGCCGCAACTCCTAGAATCATTGAAGGATGGATTTCACAATGTGTAAATGTATGCAATCCTAGAGTAGGCTTAATTCTCTTCGCAGGATCAACTTCTTGCTCTTCAAGTTGTATATCCTTCTGTTCTGATTCCGTTAAAGTACTTCTGCTTGTATCCAAATCTTCTGGAGTCATCGCAATCATGATTGTTTCTTCTTCTTCTGCATCAACATATTCTACAATACCGTCATTGACTAATGATGACCAAGAATAACTCAAACTCTCTGGGTCGTCGCCGTAATCATCATATTCGGCATTAATTAATTTATGTACATGCTCTTTCTTTAATTTTAATTCACCCTTGGTTTCAGATTCTGGGTCATCATCGACAATAAATAATGGACGGTAAACACGACCAGCATCAGTAAAAATCTTAAATTCTTTCTCTCTTATATCTCTAATAATAGAAACTTCGGGGGAGATATCACCTCTTCTTCTTAAATTACGCATAGTATCAACCAAATGAGCAGGCTCTCTATGAGTACCAACCCAAACACCATTGACGAAAACTCTAGTTGAATCTGGAGAGTTCGATGGTACATAATCTTCCAAAGGCTCCATACCCCATTCTTCTAAGAAATACAATATTGGTTCTGATGGAGTACCAACAGATATACAAGACATTAAGGACAAATTTTTAACCAAACCACACGCTTGACCTTCTGGAGTTTCTGCTGGGCAGACAAGACCCCAGTGAGTGTTATGCAACTGTCTAGGCTTAGCGATTTTACCATCACGACCAATAGGAGTATTAGTTCTTCTTAAATGTGATAAAGTAGAAGAATATGTATAACGATTCAAAACTTGAGAAACACCCGCACGAGAGCTCATAGCCTTCTTTTGTTCACCCCAGTTACCTGTTGCTAAGGAATAACGCAAACCATCTGTAATAGTTTGTGATTTCACAGCCAATGTCAAGTTAAATTCTTTGTCATTTTCGACACATCTTTGCATATAGTTATAGATATCCTTTGTCAATTTTTTAAATAAAATACGGAACAAGTTGGCTAATAAAGGACCAGCTAAATCTAATCTCTTCTTACCGAAATGATCTCTGTCATCTGGTTCTTTTCTTTCCAAGGCACATAACAATAATCTGTTAACCATGTAACCTAAAAAGAAGGCCTTTCTTGTTTCAAAACCTTCTTCTTGAGTAATATTAGGTAATAATTCTTTTTGTAAAATGTCTTTAGCATATTGAATACGTTTTTCTCTCCTTATACCCAAAACACCTCTTCTACCAATAAAATCAAGAGCCACTTCACGTTCTTGGATTACAAACCCTTCTTCCACACACGGCTTTAACATTTCCAACATTTGCCAATCATTTGCATCGTAACAAATATGTTCCAAAATATCACCATCAGGGACCACACCCAAGGCTCTAAAAACAATAACAATTGGAATATCTTCCTTGATATACGGCAAAGTGGCCTTAATGGTCCTTCCAGACGCACCCTTGTCATCTCTACCGTACAATTTAATTTGCATTGAAGAAATTAAACGAGAACCCTTTTCGATTGCAGATCTGATTTCTGCGATGTGAGAAATTGGTGATGGAGCTGCTTTCTTGAAAACTTGAACAATGTTGGCAGCACTTCTTTCCTGGGCAATTAAAACCTTTTCAGAACCGTTAATGACGAAATACCCACCCATATCGTAAGGACATTCTTTTAATTCATAAAATTCATGTTCTCCTAATCCACGCAACATACAGAACTTGGATCTCAACATGATAGGCACCTTACCCAAGTAAACCTTTGTCTGTGGACCTTCATCCTCGATCTTTTCTTCCACCCATTCCAACTCATTGTCTACCCTATTGTTATCATCGGACTTGAGTACCTTCTTGGTCATATCTACGTACAAAGGTGATGAATAAGTCAAGTTACGCAATCTGGCTTCTTGTGGGAACATTGGGTGTGTCGTACCATCCCCTTCCGTTTGGGTAGGTTTCGAAATATAAATCTTTCCAAATGTAATCTCATAACGTCTATTTTCATGATCATCTTCAGACGTATGCTGTGCCGGTTGATCCAAAATCAAATGAGAGTCTTCCCAGACCAATTCCTGAATGGTTGTTTCAATGAATTCATCGAATGAATCAAGTTGTTGTGACACTAACCCTTTCTCTTGAAAAAACGACGAGATAACCGTCCAACAATTTTCTGGAGTAATACTCTCTGAATCATCGTCATACAAGTATGGATCCTCAACAGCCTGTTCCTGAGACATGATCTATGTAACTATTATAGAATCTTTACACAAGGATTGCTGATTAATCTAAGACTTAACTGTAGGTTTGCCTTTCATAATGTAGCGCCAGACTAGTTCAAAACAAAAAAAGTCAACGAGCGTTGTCACCAGCACACGACCGGATAAATTACACAAAAAGAAATTTTTCATATAGGTTCAAATCAATCTCTTGAAGCACAACACAGAATAAGTTGATCGTAGAAGATAACAACACCATGATGATGAGTAAAAAGATGGGAATTTTCTCATCTATATGGAATACTTCGAAGAGATCTATTCACTACAAGGAGAATCCAAAAAAATATCCTAAAGTTAACGTAAATGATATAACGCTTGACAAACCAAGATATGGGTTTAGAAGAGAAAGAGAGCCGTTACTCTCTCAATCGGTAACAGATACGTTGTTTCCAAGCACAGAAATTAAGAAGAAATATGCTGAATCCGGAAAACCAATTCCTATAAAGTACAGATCAAACAGTGACTCGATTGCCAGAAGAAACTTTGAAAAATACCAAGAAGAAGTAGCCACAGGACAACCACATTTCAGGCTCGGAGAAAAGAAGATTTACTTACCAAAGGCCCGTATTTGCTTGTTGAGACCTAATGCAAAGCATACGCCATATCAAGCGAAATTTTTAGTACCAAGAAACTTCAATAAAATGGATTTGAGAGACTACTTGTGGCACGTTTATGGGTTGAGAGCATTGAATGTGACCGTTCAATTGTTACATGCTAAGTTTACTAGAGGTCCTGATGATCATGCCCGTTACAGAGGTCCACAATTCAAGAAAATGACAATTGATATGGAGGAGCCATTTATCTGGCCAGAATTACCTAGCTCTGTTGTCGAAAAGGCAAAACAGAATTACAATGATCAAATAGAAGCCATTGAGATGAAGACAGCCGTCGGATCTGATAAATTGAAACCAAGTAAAGCATTTAATGGTTTGTATAATAAGCCAGAATTACCAAATAGCTTTGTTCCTTCTAGAGCTAGAAAATTGGGTGAACAAAAGCTTAATTCTCAGAAAGAATACGAAGAATCAAAGAGTGATAAACACATACTTCAACACTACTTAGGATTATAACTGTATAAATTCAATTTCATGTATATAATATAAACTCCTACGATAACCAGCTATGGTATTGCTTATAAAAACATAACATGTGATATAGTTTACCATATTTATTGAAGAAGTAAATATAACGTATAAAATAAAAATATAAATAAATAACCTCCCAAGAAGAAAATCCAAATTAACACGAATACCTCAAATTAATTAATCATAAACGTAACCCTGGTGTACAACCAAGTATCTAATTATATCATTACCAAATCCACCCCTTTCTCTTTTCCATCTTCAGTTCACTTTTGATGTTTCCTGCATTATCTTGAACCTTTGGCTTATCAACAACATCATACTCTTCATATAAGACATTCACCGGAGTAGAGTCTGCTCCAGTCAGACCATCTGTATCCAATGGTATATCCTTTGCTTCGCTAGTTGCTTTATCTGAAAAGAAGTTGTTCACAAACAAATACGAACCAGTTGAATCAACCATCTTTGATTTTACCAAATCAAAGAAATTACTCTCAGGACGATCCTCACCAGACTTGTTCAAATTTAAATACTGTGTAATGTAGTGAATCAATTCGTACTGATTGAGATATCCTAAGATCGATGGCGAAATAAGCTTTGATAAGTCAATTCCTCCAAGCACCTTGAATTCGCCATCTAACCAAGGCTTAATAAAATTGTAATAACATAAACCACACCCACTTTGCAGAAACTGTTCAAACTCCTTCTTTCGGGCTATAATGTTGTTGCTTCTCACGGTGTCACCAACAGGCCCAATTATCATTGGAGATACCAACCAAACCGATATCCCAAATCTTAGAAGCGAGTACATCGGAATGATATACCGCAATAAAAAAACGCTCTCAACAACGTTCAAAGAGGCATATACTATCCAATAAACCATCCACTTTTGTATCGATATTAAATGTCTTTGTAAACTTTCTTCACTATTTCCGGATCCATTAGTTGAGTCCCCCGGTTTCCTTAGCAATGCATTAATTGGAACCTGAAACCCTCCAATATTAACATTTGATAAAGCAATTTCATTTGCGACTTTGTTATAACTTTCGAAAGACTTATAAGATCCAAAAATTGGAAAAATCACTGACACTAAGCTACTGTAACCTGGAGTTAGTATTTTAGTCACATTTGTAACCCTTGGCTTTGTAATCCTTTTTCCAGAGTATACTTAAAATATACTTACTTTAAAATACTGAATAGCCCAAACATAATTCATTAGCTAGCAATTACTGGTATATATCTCTTTAGAAGACGTATATTTCTAAAGATAAACAAATTGTAATAGAAATAAGAAAAAGAATGATATATACGATCGATAAGAAAATGATCAAACCCGGTTATGTAACACTGAGCAATTATTTGATAATTGCAATCTTGATAAGAGATTCATTTAATGAAAGTTTTAATCTAATATAAAAAGACATATCAATACTATTCAAGAAAGTTAATATGCTTTTTAGGTTAGACCTACAACTAATAAGGTTTTATGCCTCAAGTGTTAAGAATCATAATGCTCTTTCTCCCTGGATTAATTATAAGAACTGATCTCTTTAAAAAGCCTAACGTATCTGTATTTAGATCTTGAAGATGAAGTGAAAGCATCAGAAAATCTTGTTCTAAAATTTTGGAGCATCAATACTAAAACCAAGCTTGTTCATGTAATTCAAGTTCCAATTCCAAGTAGTTATAGCATCTTTCTCATTCTGTGCTACTTTGGAAGCAGAGCTTTCGTAACCTCCTGTAACGTAGTATTTACCACTATCTTCTAACAGATTGACTGTTGGATCTAATGCAACTTTCAAAGTGGAAAGACTTCCTTCTTCAATGCGCACACCGATTAATGGAGATATGGTGTACATGGAAGCCGACGACAAATAACCTAGTATCGGCAATTTTTTCCAATAATTAAACAACTCTGTATCAAAAATAATTCCAGGATGAACAGAAGCACACAAGATATCAGGGTTTTCTCTACCTAATAAATTCATGAATTGTATCGACGCTAATTTAGCAGCTCCATAACGGTACCATGTATACAAAAAGTTGGGAAACCTGTTCAAGTTTTCGTCTGGTCGGAAATACCTATATGAAGCCCTATGACCCTCTGATGTAAGCTGGATGATTCTTGGTTGAATACTGCCTTTCAGAGCTACCTTCTTGATCAATGGCATCAACTTAAATGTCAACAAGAAATGGCTTGCAAAATTAACTTGATACTGAACTTCATATCCATCCTTTGTTTCTTCATATGGTACACCCATAATTCCAGCATTATTGATTAAGATATGTAATTCTGGCTCCTTCTTGCTAAATGAATCAGCAGCGGCTTCAACTGTTGATAAGTCTAACAAATCCAAATAAACATAGTCAAGAGAGCCTAATGATCTTGAATTTTGCTCTTCTTTAGTATATTCACTTACTCTCTTCTCGGCTTCACCTTTTATATCCTCGATAGCTTTGCGTACTTTGGATTCAGTTCTTCCTGCAATATAAACTACATACCCATGCAAGTAAAGATGTAAAATTGTAAACCAACCAATACCACTATTTCCACCTGTAATAAAGGCAACTCTGCGGTCAATTGTAGGGTTCAAGTAAGGAGCGGTGCTTGGATCAAAGTATTTCACCATATTTGCAATATATAAGTTAGTTTTTTTGAAATACAATCCATTAAAATAAAGAATAATTTAAAGTTATATGCGAGAAATTTATATGCGAAATTAAACTTGCTATTGCTGCATACTGCTAGGAACTAATCTTGGAGTAAGCTTAGGTCTAAATTTTTATGGAAGAGTAAACTATTTATCCGTTAAATGCTGAATTAAATCATCTAATATTGCAACTGTTTCTCTTGGGCTTGCAATCCATACAGTGCATGCACTTAGCCTTGCTTTAAAATCGTTTGCACCTAAACTTGCGAACTGATCACCAATATGTAAACTTTCACTCTTTAAAATTGGACAAATACTATGCTGATATCTTATATCCTTGCATAAGTATTTTTGAAGTGATTCGACTCCCAAGCTTTTGTCCCCAATATCAACCCAAACATCGGAACCTCCATTAAATGCGCACACTTTAATATCATCATCACTGGCCTTCTGAGTTGATACTGGTGTACTTGTATCCAGCTGATTGACTATTTCCATGGATATTGGCCTTTTGGACGTTCTTGCTAAAATCTCTTGTAGCTTTATAGAGCATGAAAGTACCATCTCCTCTAAGTATTCTCGCAAGATTCTATATCCTGGGTTAGGAATGATACCAATGGATCTTTCCTTTCTTATGATCGTAGTCTTATGCATTTCATCTAATTTGAACTTTCTCTGCAAATGTTGCAAATGTTTATCTGTCGTCAGCATAATATAATCAATCTTCAGCTTATCCCAGTTCATCATTATAGGCAAATACCACTCATCAGCTTCAATAAATTTTAAGTTTCCCAATTCATTATCATATCTGAACAAATAATTAGATTCACCACCCATAACAAGTAAGTTTTCTCTTTGATGATCAGTTAATTCAGTGGTAGTACGAATTCGATCTATCAATCCCTTCAACCTTGCATAATACTGAGGAACTCCCAGTTGGCCAGGATATCCGGCAGCTGTTACTACTCCAATGAATAAATCCATTGATAACAACTTGATTAACTTATCAATAACAGGCGCATCTGGCGTTAATGAACTTCCATCATCATATAATGTAACATCACCATCGAATGTAATCAATTTCAACCTGGATCCAGATTCACCACTATCTTTGTATATTTTGGCTAGTGCCAATACCTGAGCAGTATTCAATATAGTCCTCACATCATTGAACGATGGACTGACCAATCTCCTTTTAGATATCAGTCTTCGTGAATCTTCAACTAAGAACGCTTCGGACAAAGGTAATGGGGTAAAAAATCTTCCCACACTGGGGACTAATTTTCTTAATCTACTTGTGTCCACATACGTAGGGTTCTTTTCCTGCAACTTGTCGATAATGATAGCATGACGCACCAATCTTTCTACATCGGCAAAAATCTCTCCGTATCTCTTTTGGCATTCTAATGCAATTTCGTGCTCTCTTGATAAAAGATAATCTTCATATGCTTCCGGATCCTCGTAGTACTTGGTGAAATCGGTATCATAATTCTCCACATCGGCATGGAGCACAAATGGTACCGCCAACAAACCCTTAATCCACTCAATGAACTCATCCCTACGATGGCTCTTCAATGCATATTCAACTCTATATCTAGATGTCATAATTGTAAGTTCTAGTGCTTATTTCTGTAGAAGATAAGAAGTGAGCAATGTGGACTTTCAATGCGGTGCATAAATATGGCCCATGAGGCCAAAATGTGCAATTTACAAGTTTAAGACTATTATTCATACACTTCTATTATACAATTTCCTATTTATTTATTATCCAATAGATAATCTATATGCTTTTTTGAAACCTATTCTATCCTATTTTTCAACGATAGATAATTTAATCCTTTCATGAAAAATGATTAAAGTTGTTGTTGGTTTCTTCTTCTGTCACGTTCTTCAGAGATAGATAATTTGATACCCTTACCCTTTGGTAAAGAAATATGTGGCTTACCAGCTTCAGTACCAACGACGAAAACGTTAGTCAATCTGGTGACGAAAGTGTTTTCTAAGGAATCCTTGATGTGGACTAAATCGAAACCACCTTCGTGCTTTTCTCTGTGGGTGATAACACCAACTCTACCCATGTTACGACCACCAGTAACCATAACTAATCTACCAGTGTCGAAGCTGATGAAGTCAGTGATTTTACCGGTAGCTAAATCAACCTTGACGGAATCGTTAGCTCTGATCAATGGATCTGGGTATCTGATAGTTCTACCATCGTGGGTAACAACGTATGGAATACCTCTCTTACCTAATTGAACCTTCTTAACCTTAGCTAACTTGTAAGAAGCTTCTTCGGCGGTGATTCTGTGGACAGTGAATCTACCCTTGACGTCATAGATTAATCTGAAGTGTTCGTTGGTGGCTTCTAAAGTGATGACATCCATGAAACCGGCTGGGAAGGTAGCATCAGTTCTAACCTTTCCGTCAACCTTGACATGTTCTTGCATCAAAATAGCCTTGACTTCTCTACCGTTTAAGGCATACTTAAGTCTGTTTCTCAAGAAAATAACTAATGGTAAAGATTCTCTCAATTTGTGAGGACCGGCAGATGGTCTTGGTGCGTAAGTACCAGACAACTTGTCCAACATCCAGTGGGATGGGGCTGCTAATCTCTTTAAGTGCTTCTTTCTATAAAATAGTTAGTATGTCATTCAATAACGACACATGAATAAACTTAGGGTGACATGACTAATCGATAGACTTGACATTCAGACCCTGCTACGGATTCAAACTACACAATCCCCATCATAAATTGATGAAAATTTGCGAGCAATTTCCTTCACCAAAGCAAGTAAAGTAGAACCGTAACCGGTATGAATGTCAACTCTAACGAATTATCATGACAAGGCTCCCTTCCGAATCTTCAAAGAAGATTGGTGACCGTTAATACCATTGCACAGTTCAGTAAAAACTTTCATTGCGAAATAGTATCGGTATAGATTCAAGTGACCTTGCGGTACACTTGTTGCCTTTCCCAAGTCTTAATACTCATGAGAATTAAGATGGATTTAGACTTACGGGCCTCTTGCCATTTTTGATAATTTGTTATAAGTTAATTTAATAAGAAAGAAACAAGAAAAACTGAAAAATAACCCTTCTATATATATAAAAGTTTTCAGTATCGCGAAAGTGAAAAATTTTTACAACAGGTGTTTGGATGTTAACAAATAGCCAGTCACTTAATTAGGGCTAAACCCACTCATACTAGATGCAGAATGACAGAATTATTCGAATAGTCGAATACGAGATATTATCAAAAGGTGGAGAAAGAGTGATGTTAGTAGTAATCCAGCGTATGAATGTAGACCAAAACTGGGGTAATTGAAAGATTTAAATGGATTAATGAGAAATTGAACCCACATTTTGAATTGGAGAAAGGAACAATAAGCATATGTATTGATGACAATTTGTACTATTAACTATAAACGCACATAACTAAAATTGCTCAACCTAGATTGCAGAGATCAAACTTCCAGTCAGAATTGAGTGAATGCAGGCTTATGTTTCTCGTAGGACTGAAAGTATGAATCATTAGTAAAACAGCCAATGGAATAGGTGATACCAACGTTGTAGACTGCCCTTTGTCACTAAGTATTGAGCTGTAAGATCTGCTAGGTTCTAGCAGTCATTATATAACAGTAAGCGCAAGCTTGCCGCAATAGTAGCGTATAAATTAGAAGACAGTGTTCTTAGGGTCTTCGTTGCCCTGGGATCCAAGAGCAGCACTGATATGAGGTTCAGTCGAAACATCACCACCACCGCGATGCGATTCGGGTCCGTGAATGGCCAGTTTCTCTTGTCTGGCCTTTCTGGTCTCTTTTTCAACTTCCGTACCTGTCATGACTTTCGCCCAGTCAATGTAAAGGGAATAAGGTCCGTATTGTTTATCCAACAAGCCAATTCCAATGGTCTTCACCTCTGACTTGTTCAACTCACCTCCATCTTGGATAACTCCCCAGTTGGTCATGACAAAATCGTTCAATGGTATAACCACTGTTTCCCATTCGCCAGGATGATGCAAAAATAACCGGTGCTGAAACAAATCAGTCACCAATGGTGTGTTAGCTTGGATGTTCACAAGGTACTTTCTTCTGTCTCCCTTAACTCTCATTACCAATGCCTGGTACTGCGACCAGTCCCAGTAACTGTTTCCAGAGAGCCACGAATCCTTCTGATCCCGGGTTCTAAACATAGCGTATCCGGATCTTGTGGCTTCAGGGTGGTCCTTTGGCACATCCAAATTCAAATATCCGTAAAAATGGCCCGCTTTTGAAACCGGATCGACATTGAAATTTACCGAAGAAAATCCTCCCATTTCTTGGTCACATCTAGTCATGATGGAATCTAAAGATGCTTGTGCATTGTTTTTAAAGTCCAATACCGTCAGCACGGTTTTAGTGAGATCAGCAGGTTTATTAAAAAGACGACTGAATGTGGAGTTCAATCCCAAAGTTCTTAATGACATTTATATTGCTTGTGTAGAATTGACGATTGTAATGTATTATTGGGAGTGTTTGCTTGAATATATATATGAACTTGTAATTGTACCTATTCCCAATACAATTAATAATCAATTAGTCTAAATTATCTAAAGTAAATATTTTCCGGCTAATCTCCCCTTTTATAGTAATATATCTACTGGAAGATAGAGCATCGCCTAATCAGTGAAATTTCCCACCACTTATATAATTACACAAAACCACCCCTCTGTAGTACGATTAAACCAAATGTATAGGCCCAATCCCGTATCATGTACAAATCACATCATCATCAATAGACTGGCATGAGATTTGTGTGGTACGGAATCGGAGTAGTACTACGATTGCCATCAATCTAGCGAGTGGGGCCGCCACTGCACCGTATATTTCAATTGTCTTGCTATCGTACTACATACTGCGGCCCCCAACTGATAAGATAAAGATGCAACCCAACCTTATTAATAAGCTCTTAAGAAAAAGGGGTGCATATTATTTGAGACTTCCAGTGGAAGGAATTTGTGGAGAGTTCCTTATCATGCTCGTTTTAAGTGACGCCATCGCATAGGGGTGACTTAGCACGATGGTCATTCAAATGATTAGAGGAGAATATCCTATGATTCAGTGAAGAAGAAAAACTATTGGTCTATATGCATATGGAAGCAGCTAGTTATCAAGACCCAGAAGTTGGAGAGATTGAAGAACAGTGGAAGTAAAATTGTAAATTATAGCAATTGTAAGGCATGTAGGATTTAACAAAAAGTGGGTACTTTTGGTGAGGGTATGAAAAATCAGCAAAATTTGACAAAATTAGCGAAAACTCTCCAGATTCTGCTTAACTTCACTACACTACAAAGACACAGACAATGCAGTTCGATCAGACGTAACAAAATTGTATCACACCCTATTGTGCTCTAAACGAAGTCACAATCAGGATAAAAGTTAGAAGCAATGGGGGTGATGTTTCTCCACAAAAAAAGTATAACACTTAGGACCTACAAGTCCGTTGCAATTGATTAGACTACAAAGGTGGTTCCAGACGCTAGGAGTGCTTGCTTGAAGCAGGGATGACAAATAGACATTGTTCCCGCATATGTGTGGAATGGAAGGTTGCGTAGACGGCCACAAGTTTAAAAAGTGGAGCTACACTAGGTGCTAGTCGAGAACGACGGAGATGTCGGAGGACTCGGGGATTGCCGCGTGTTCCCAACCCGTAATAGATACACAAAAAAACCATAGTGACACAAATGAAAAAAAAATGATTTCCGATACCGGGAGTCGAACCCGGGTCTGCTCGGTGAAAGCGAACCGTGCTAGCCGTTACACTATATCGGATAATTCGTTGAAGGAACTCATAGTTGAGTGAATATATGGACTATATCATGGTACGTACGTACCCATGGTCATCGAAGCCTGCACCCTGCACGATGCACGGTTCAAAACATAGCAAAACCGAGGACCCAGCCATCGACTGTAACCAGTGATTGTCTCGAAGAGTCTTCAAAATCGTAAAGGATTCTAAATACTCCAACAATCTTGTAACAATACCTACAAGTACATGGTACTCTCTGTGTGCTAGTAATGGTTGTAGGGGATACCTACTACGAATTCTGGTGATGACCTGGCTTGGAAACGTGATCATCATGACGAATTTGGAAAGAGAGCAAAAATTCGCAATCATCTCACATGGAACACAATAAGCCCTTTACAGCCGTTTATTATGAAGTTTAACTGGTCCTAAAGGTGAAATTCGGAAGATATTTTTTTACTCTTTAATAAGTTTATTCTGTTTATTGAATATAGGTTATTTAATTGAACTATAATAATGAGTAACAATAATTACCCACCTCCTCCAAACCCCCCTAATTACCAAGGGCAGGAACAGGTGCACAATGTTCAACTAGACTTGGAAAACAACCAGGAGAAATATTATGCAGAACAACCACAACCATCACAACAATTTGAGGACTCATTTAAGATTGATAAGCCTAAATGGAACGATTGGCCTTTTGCTGTATTCTTTTTGTTGACTGTGGCCGGATTTATTGCCATTGCTGGGATTACTTTGAATGCATTGAAGAAGACCTATGGGTTGCAGGGGTCATCAATTTACAATTCCGCTAACACATTTACTTTGAACACTAATACAATTATTTTGTTCGGATTCATTATCGTTGTTGGTGTTGTTTTGTCGGCATTGATTATTGTGTATGCCAGAATGGCACCAAGGATTTTCATTACCACCGGGTTAATTTTGAATATTATTCTTGGATTGGGTACATGTATCTACTATTTTGTGTCCCATTACTACTCTGCTGCCATTGTGTTCTTAGTGTTTACGTTGTTTACGGCCTGGTGCTACTGGTCTTGTAGACATAGAATTCCTTTCAGTGCTACAGTATTGGAAATTACTATTGATGTGATGAGACGTTACCCATCGACTTTGATAACGTCACTCATTGGTATCATTGTGTCGGGATTATTCAGTACGTTGTTTTCGGTAGTAATTGTCGCTACATACGTCAAATACGACCCAGACTCAGAAGGATGTAGTGTAGCTGGAGGAGGATGTACCAAGTCCAAATTGATTGGTGTATTGGTATTTGTATTTTTCGCCGGTTATTACATTTCTGAAGTTATCAGGAACATTATTCACGTATGTATTGCAGGTATCTACGGTACTTGGTACTATTTGGCCAATTCTGACCAGGGTGAACCTAAGCACCCAGCTTTGGGAGCATTCAAGAGAGCAATGACTTATTGTTTTGGCTCAATTTGTTTTGGTTCATTAATCGTGTCTTTAATTCAATTGTTAAGATCATTTATTCAAATTTTGAAGCAAAACGCTTTTGGCTCTGGGGACTACTGTGCTGGATGCGGTTTCTTGATTTTGGATTTTATTATTGGCATCATTGACTGGATGGTCCGTTATTTCAACCATTATGCTTACTGTTACGTTGCGTTATATGGTAAATCTTACATTAGATCTGCTAGAGATACTTTTGACTTGATAAGATTCAAGGGTATGGACGCATTGATCAACGATTGTTTTATCAACACTTCATTGAGTTTATACTCCTTGTTTGTCGGTTATATTGTTGCTTTACTCGCATATTTCTACTTGAAGTTCACGGACCCATCTTACAACTCTGACGGTACTTTCTATGCCCCAGTTGTCGCCTTCTCTTTCTTAATTTCGGGTCAAATTACTCGTATTGCTTTAACTGTTATCGAATCTGGTGTCTCGACTTTCTTTGTTGCCTTAGCTAAGGATCCAGAAGTATTCCAGATGACCAATAGAGACAGATTTGATGAAGTTTTCAGAAACTACCCACAAGTGTTACAAAAAATTACTTCAGATCACTAAGTCAACTATTCCTTTATCTTAATCATTTTCTTATTGTTAGACATTTATTTAATTCATTTAATTATAATTGATGTAGTGCGCGAACTTCGAAATTTATCTGAATATATCAATTCCACTATCATTTTGGGGAGATAATCATCCTAAAATACCCATTTAATAATGTTGACATTAGCTATAGGAGATATATACATTCCTGATAGGGCTTTTGAGCTTCCTCAAAAGTTTCGTAAATTGCTTTGTCCAAATCCCAATACAATTCCAACTAATAATAAACTTTCGAAAGTTCTATGCTTAGGGAACGTAATTAACTCATATGACACATTAAAATTCCTATATGACTTATCTCCATCATTTAATATGGTAAGGGGCGAGTTTGATAGTCCACAGATATTATCACAGCAAATTGCATCATTAAATGGTAAGGAACCTCAAATCCCCACGTATAACATAATCCAGCACGACAACCTCAAGATTGGGTTCACAAATGGCTATTTAGTTGTTCCCAAGAATGATCCTCTCGCTTTACTGACATTTGCGAGAGAAATAGATGTTGATATTTTGATCTGGGGTGGCACGCATAAAGTAGAAGCCTATACTTTGGATGGGAAGTTTTTTATAAATCCAGGAAGTGCTACAGGAGCATACAACTTTGACTGGCCTGAAAAGGAAGAAGCTAGTGAAGATGAAGGAGAAGGTCCCGAAGATTCTAAGGAGGAGAATCCTGAATCGTTAAAGGTCGAAAACAAAGAGAAAGAAACAGACAACACAATAAAAAAAAATGATGAAAATAATATCGATAAGAAGGATGAGACAGAGAATAATGAACTGGAAAATAAACAAGATATGAGCAAAGAAGTAAATGAATCTAAGGAAAAAGGCGATGCTGACTCAAAGGATGAGGAAGCTGAAACGAACAAGGAAGATTCTAAAGATGCAAGTGAAAATGATATAAACTTAATAGAAGAAGTAAAAGAGTTGACATCCGCTATTCCTTCGTTCTGCTTATTAGATACACATGATTCAACTTGTACATTGTATATTTACACATATTTTCATGGGGAAGTCAAGGTTGACAAAGTTACGTACCAAAAGGAATAAATTACACCTATATAATTCTATTACTATTATTGTCAAACATTACGCTTGCACAGAAGAATAATGTAGAACAAACTCTTTCTTAATCTTCTCCCAGTTATGTGGGTCAAAGAATATATACACACCCTTTTCAACATCCTGGCTAATAAGTACTGGCTCAACATTACTATCTTTAGTTAACCATACTTGTATGTCTTTATGATATCTCCAGTTTCTCGCTACTAACTCGCGTGCAGCATATTCCTGTAATGTGTCTCTAGGCTTCATGTAGAAAATGTAAAATAACGTTTCGTCGGAAAACGATTGTATCTTACTGTCACAAGGCTCTGGAAGTGGTATGATATTTTCTGAACGGATAGATTCCGGCAACGTGAAATAAGGCTCCACTTCCGATCTAGAGGTTTCTGCCCATGGAGATGGTAACTTCTTTAAAATTTGTGAGTCGGTCGATAAGTCCAATCCAAGTAAATTTATGTCTTGTCCTATCGCAAATACAGTTTGGTCTGTTTGTTCCATTTTCACGAGAGACAGTAGCCCATTCAATCCAAATCTATCCATATCATCACCAGACTCATGTACTGACGTATTCGGCGATAATCCAGGGGGTAAAATAGCTATTGTAACTTGTTAGTATTAGTGCTTGCTGAAGATATATAATTAACTACTTACGCATTATGCTTTGCTAATATGTTGTATTAATGTACCAAAATTTCCAATTTCAAACTAAGAAACACAAAGAATTGTAATAAACAAATGATATATTCGTCAACTAATATATTATGCCTTTTAAATAATTGCAAATCGGGTGTTTCAACCTTGATGTTTAGCTATATTCATTAACCTAATTGAACCTTCATGATATTGACGAGTCTACACGACTTAACTACGATCACGTGATCAAGGCATCTACTTTAAATCTCATCTCTATATAACGAAATATAGGTGTCAAGAAGACATAATACACCTTAGTTAAAGAAAAGATAATGTCCAGAAGAGAGTATCCGAATATAATAATCACTGGAACTCCAGGATGCGGAAAAAGTTCGCATGCAGCCAACTTGGTTTCGCAATTAAAAAGCCCATACAAGCATTTTTCCATCAGTGATATAGCAAAGGAACGTAAATGTATTGAAAGCTACGATGAAAGGTTAGACACATCTGTTGTGGACGAAGACAAATTGTTAGATTCATTAGAGCCAGATTTAGAGAAAGGAGGTATTTTAGTAGACTGGCATTGTTGTGACATTTTCCCTGAAAGATTGATTGATTTAGTGGTGGTTTTGAGAACCGACAACAAGATATTGTACGAAAGATTGAATAAGAGAGGATATAAAGAAAATAAGATCCAAGAAAACTTGGACTGTGAAATCATGGAGGTTATTTTGCAAGATGCGAGGGAATCTTATATTCCCGAAATCGTGATAGAGCTTACATCCAATTCAGCAGAAGAAATGGATGAAAATGTTGACCGATTAATTGCGTGGGCTGAAAATTGGAAGAAGGACCATCCTGATGGGGTGACAAACGAATTGGATCCTGAAGCTGCCGTTGAAGCTGGAGAGGAGTCTGCAGACGAAGAATCTGAAACTGAAGAAGAGGCAGAGGAGGAAAGCGAATAATTTCAATGAAATATAGTATTAATAAATGTAAATTCTAATTAGAATGTTTGGTATAGTATACAAATAAAAGAAAATAGCCCGGAATCGTATCCTGGGTTTTCTAGGGAACAGAATTAAAATAAGTGTAAGATTATTCTTCTAACGTAGAATAAAACCAACAATGCAGCTAAAACCATGATCGCATAATAACCCTTGGTTGCAGCGATATAAGCCCATTTTTTGGACATTCTGGCGATGTTGTGTTGTTCAATTTCAGAGACACATTTGGCATTTTGAGCAAATATGTACTTGGATTCTTCAATAATTTCAACCTTTTGTTCTTCGGTCAAGTTAGGTCTGGTAACAAGTTCGTAATCTCTTTTGTAAAGTAATCTGAACGCGTCTTCATCGGCCACGTCAAAGGTATAGAAGTTAGCTCCTAATCTGATAATATCTTCATGCTTCAAACCGTCCTTTTGTGGGAACAACCCAGTAGCTTTCGAGATAGACGACCTCATAATTCTACCCCCGGCAAATAATGCTAAGTACATCACGTGTAAGTATGCTAACAATAAGTATGGCTTCTCGGCCGTTACTGTCTTAATGTGTTCCACAAATTTAATCTGTTCACTCATGATAGGGTTTTCGAATTTTTCTCTTCTGTCGTCGTAGTAGAACATCAAATCTTGTTCACATTTGTCGGTTCTGGCCATTTCTGGTTTCCACACTTGCTTCAAAATGTCAGTCCATTCGTCGTTCTTTTCAAATTGACTCATCAAGCATCTTTCCACTGTAGCAAAGACGTGATAGAAACTCTGTAATCCCTGACGGTATATTCTTGCATCTCTGTATGCTAATGCCAACTTTAATGTTATCATCTTGTCGATCTTATTGTGTAATGCCTTGGTTTCGAGGTTTATTCTGTTAGCCAATGCTCCTACATCGGTAGGGGATGGCAATATTTCGTGTTGATTTAATTTGGTAGTAGCTCCGACTGTTTGAACTGCTGACATGTTTATTTTTATTTGTTGTTTCTTATCGATAAGCAAATATTTAATAAATGGGCAGCGATGTGTTCATTCTTATATGAATAGGCCAATTTTAGCGATATGTCCGTAGAGCGATATGTCCGAAATTGCGATTTCGGGCTCATCTTGGAGTTTGTGGAATGTTCTTCGCAGATATCGGCCTTGGGGTGTCGCGTCCAGAATATACGAGAAATGTTGCAGAGTGTATATTATAATGTACATGTAACGAAGAAAATGAGACGTTAGTGAAAACGGTAAGAAGAATGCTATCTAATCGAAGCAGAAAATCAAGACCTTCTTCCAGAAAGGCGCATTTTTGAAGCGCTGCTTGTTTTCAAGATTTTCTAATTCCAAGATTTCGGGGTCGTAGATGGTCCTGTCGGCGTCGATATCAATATCTTGTACCTTGATATAGAAGCTCCAGTTTCTGGTATAGAGCTTATGACCTACGTAAAAGACTAGTAATACGACTGCACCCAAGTAGTTCTGGAAGAATGAAAGGGCGTTAGGAGAGCCATCACCGCCAATAGGGAATAATGAGACCCAAAACTGACACACAAGAATTAAAATGTTGAGGATGAAGGAGATATAGGAGCCAATGGTACCGGTACTAGACACATAACCCAAGGAGCTCAACGGTATGTTGTTGTATTTTAAGGCTGCCCTGAATCTGATATGGCAGACATCGATACAGGCCCAGGTAAAGATAAAACTCAAAGCAGAGATAGACAACAACCAGGTGAAGACAGCCTCTTCATCCTCGTAAGTGGCAATGAATGCAAAAAGTGATGCAAATATGGTGACGATCCAACACCTTAACGGTCTACCGGCACGATCGATGTAATTGAGATACTTCGGGGCGTAACCTTGCTCGGCCAACGATTGCAATAACCGTGTAGATGAGTACATTGCAGCTGTAGCCACAGATGTGACCGACACCAAGATGACAGCATTAAATATATGAGGAATGACTTTCACTCCATGCATTTGTGCTGCAATGACATATGGGGATGTACCGGAATCTCCGGAACCCATTAACTTGTCAGAGTTGTATGGGACTAACAATCCAACCAATGCTAATGAACCAAGGAAGAAAACAGTGATTCTGAAAAACACCAACTTACATGCAGCTGGAATGGATTGTCTGGGATTTTCTTGTTCTGCGGCTGATAAAGAGATGAATTCGGTACCACCTAATGAGAATGCCGAGGTGACAAAAACACTACACAACCCTTTGAAACTGGTATATGCACCAGGATTATGCCAGTATCTACCTCCAATATACCCTTGGGGTCCTCCACCACAATCAATAATGATACCGAATATTACGAAACCTCCCAACATGAGCAACTTTACACTATTCATGTAAAATTCAGCTTCACCGTAACCTTTGGCTCCGGCTAAATTAATCAACACAACTATTGTTAGGAATATCAACACGAAAACGTCGGGATTGATAGATGTGGTCCAAAACTTGATAGTCATCCCAGCAGTGACAAGCTCTAAGGAAATGACTGTAGCCCATTGGAAACAATAATTCCAACCGACCGCGAATGCAATACTTTCATCCATAAACTTTCTATAGTATGACTGAAACCCACCAGGTAAATTGTTATAGGCAACCGATAATTCTCCAACAGCATTTATACAGGGAATCAACATGAAATAGCCCACCACGGCATATCCAACAAGAAGAAATAATGGACCTGCAGTAGCCAATTTTGCTCCTGCTGCCACTAATAACCCGGTACCGAGACCAGTAGATAATGCCATTAACCTTAAATGTCTTTTACTGATGGATTTTTTCATCTGTGTTCCACTGGACCCTTTGGCCTCGTCCTCCGGAACCTGTCTTTTGAACGAATCCTTGAATTCTGTCCAGCGACTTCCCTTCGTAGACTCAGAGTAATACGGTTCGATCTCTGAGACCACCGCCTCTAAATTATTTGATTTCTCTGTTCTCAACTTAGACATTGTATTTTATTCATAAATAATATAACAACAGCCAGTTTAAGTTGTCTGCTGCTCCGAAAAAAATTATATAGAATTAGCCCAGTATTTATAAAATTAGTATGCCAGATTCGTCTAAGTAAAAGTCCACTCTTTGTGGAGAACATTATATCTGCAGTTTCAGTATACATGACAATCATATAAAGATAACGTAGTTGAATTGATGAATCGTTGGTAGGTTGAGAGGGCGTGATCTGAGTTTTGATTGTCTTTTGCGCCAAAATTCACGGCGATTCATACATCTATCAGTTGCGTCTTTACGCGCCTACATACTGGTCAATCTTTAAGTACATACAAAATTACGTTTTTCCTTATATTAGCTTTCAAGCCAAATAAAAGCTACTTGAATCTTACCTCTGTCATCTTTTGATCCGTTTCGTTGCTCAAACTGAAGCCTTTCCTACACAATTTTAAGACAAGTTTCTACCTAAATTTTATTCTTTTTCGCCAGGAAAAACCGCAATGAGGTTTGGGGTTTGTTAGCGGAGGTGCGCAAAAACTTTTTTTTTCAGTAACCGCTAGGGCAAACTCAAGCGAAAGTGCCCTGTTTCGGGCATTGTTCTTTAGCGGTTGCGGCTCGCTATGGGTTACAAGTTTCTAGTGCTCGCTAGCAACTGCGACTCGATTCTATTTACAGGTTATCTTATTACTTTGCATGTTAAATATCGGCCGAAACTATATTCAAAATTCGGGGGAAATTTGCATGTTAGTGGTTTTGTGTCATCGAAATTTTTCACACCAATTAGCAGGAGGTTTAATTCCATGACGTTATGGATTAATCATCTGATGATACCATTCAACCCGTACTAAATATAACGATTATTTTGGCAGATATTACCGGATATTACAAAGAAGAGTAATTTGGAGTAAATGGTTCAAGTATTTGAGAATGCCCATGTGTTTAACCATGATTTCCCCACGGTTAGTCTCGCATATTTAAATAGGTACCCCAATCCATACGCAAAGCATGTCTTGAGTATTGATACGCTTGAAAGATATGTGGATTCAGATGGATGTCTCAGGACTACAAAGATCATTGTGAAAACGGGAAGATTGCCCAAGTTCATCAAGCCATTTTTAGGGACTCATTTAGACTCGTGGATCATCGAGAAAACCATCATCAACCCCAAAACAAATAAGATGCTCTCATACACGTCCAATGTGGACCACAGAAAATTCATCAGAGTCGAGGAGTACTTGAAGTATTCAGCAGACAGTCCGTTCAGTACATTGGTGGAGAGTAAGGTGAGGTTTTCGTCCAATTTGTTTGGATTCAAACAGAAAATTGAAGAATGGAGCCGGAATAAGTTCTCGTCTAACTTGGCCAATTCTAGGGAAGGCTTGAAGTATGTGGTTGACAAATTAAACGAAAGAAAAGAAGTATGGATGAGAAGAAGTACATAGGTACTTTGAAAAGCCACATTTGGTTACGATTTATGATTTTATAGAGTTATTAGGTCTTGCATTTGCTTGTAAATAAGATATGGAGTATTCAGTACACTTTGCCAAATATTCGTAGACAGCACCTTCTTATCCGACTCTTCCAGATGGCTGTTATCAGCATTGCCCTCTATAGTAGTTATAGTAACTTACTCTAATCAGTAGTTGCGAAGCACGTGATATTTTGATACCCTTATCGATTTAGTCACTTCAGTACAATTGGATCATAACTACTTGACTCACAAGACACTTAGGTTATTAATTAAAGCAAGTGACGAAGCTATAAGGCATTAGAAAAAATACTATATTGAGAAAAAATGATGACAGATTCAACCAGTGGTTATTCGTCATCAAGTTCATTGCAAGTAAAGCAGAATTCTGCTTCCAAACGACAGGATTCATATCCAAGAGATACGTTCCGAAATCAACAAGGCATTAGTAAAAGACGTAGCTCTTCATTCACATCTACATCGTCGCCCTGGTTTAGGCGTAACTCGTTGCTATCACCCGCAATGGTACAGAATGAGAATATTTCGGTTTACGACTCTCCCAATTATTATTCACATAGCTCTAGCTATAATATTATTTCGTTGAAGGAATGTCAGGGGTTTATATTCAACCAGGATTTATTCGCATCACCTTACCAACAGCAGAAATCGCTTGCAAACGAGAAGAAGATGAGGGCTATGAGCGGATCTAAGTCATCATCTAACTCAGCTCTGGGTTCTCGATCAGCTTCGAGGTCTTGTTCACAATCACAGGCAAGTTCTGCTGCTAATACACCATTGTATTCACGAATGGCATCGCCAAAATCACAACAGAGAAGACATACTTCGTATCATGATCCAAGGCCGTCCCTTTTATGTGACTCGACCACAGATGATAATGTGATGATAGAGGACGACGATAATGATGAAAATGATGATGGAGAAGAAGAATTTGTATTTGAGAATACTTCCATGGACCTAAATGAAATAGAAGATCATGAGGATGTTGTCATTGATGAATATGAAGAATTTGAGCTGATGGGCGAATATGGTGACTCTACGAATAGAACGTACAAAGTTCATGTTACTGAGATCACTGTTAACGAGAATGACAATAGCATTTTTCCAAGTTAGTTTATCTTGCTGGTTTCATGGTACTTGGTTGTTCGTCTGTATTGCAGAAAATTGTGAATAGAATAATTTGTTCTTGTTTTAATTTCGATTTGCCATTGCAGTCTACTTTTTTAATTTAATTCTTTTTTTATCGGTTGGGAATCAGTTCGATTTGTTTCTATATAGTTTTGGTTTAGGTTGGTTAGTTTTCAATAAAGGTACATAAGTAACAAGTTTTCATAAGTTTTTGATTTTGTGAAACTTTTCTTCATATATGATTTTCGAAGATTTTGGAAAGTAATCTGGATGAACAGTAACTAAATCATTACACAGATCAAGATGGCGGACACTAAACAAGACTTTGAAAAGATCTCCTTGGAGTTCAGCAATGCTCAAAGAAATCTCAATGAGTTGATGACAGCTCGTTCCACATTAGAAACACAATACCAGGAAAACAAAATTGTTTTAAGTGAATTCGACCATTTAAATGAAGATTCCAAAATTTACAAGCTAACGGGCCCTATATTAATGCCACAAGATTACAGTGAAGCTAAATTGAATGTTAACAAAAGAATTGAATTTATTGAAGGCGAAATCAAAAGAGTAGAGACTAAAATCGGAGATGAAGAAAAGAAGATTGAAGCTTACAGAGAAAAATTGATAGCTATTAGAACCAAAATGAATTCGTAATAACGTATCTATCAATATAAATAGCATATATGTATATTAGCAGTCTTTAAATATAATTTTCTATATAATATAATAATAGTAAAAAAAACTTAATTTAATTTAACCTCTAGCTAATTGACTCTTGATCAAGTTGACTAAACTGATAGCATTAAACGTACCCCATTGCTCAACATCATTATACGCTCCACCTAAGTTGCTGAATGCCTGCACCTTATCTTCGACAAACTTCTTAGTATGTTGAAAATCTTCACTTGTATCCTGCAACATGAAAACCTCGGAACTGACATAAATAGAAGAGAATCCCAATCTTTTAGAGTACCAGGCAAAGTCATTAGAAGTATCTCCCGCATAAAATGCTATATCGTCACTCAAATTGTGCAATTCGTCTAAAGATTGATTTATGTTGTACGGCGCAATCAACTGCGATAAACCTGACGATAATTTGTCTATGATAGGTTGATTATATTCTAATCTCTTATTAATTAAATATATGACTCTTTCATACTCATCATTTATAGTGTTGAACTGGCTTTTAGGATCTAATACATGATCTTGTAAGGTTTGTCTCTGAATTTTAAGCCAGTGTAACATTAATTGGAACTCTAATGAATTTCCTGAAGGAGCACTAGACAAAGCTGACTGTAAAGAATCTGGGTATTTCAAGTCCCTGATCGCATGGGTTATACATAACGAATCAAATCCGAATTTTGGAAGGTACGTAAGCGATTTCGTCAATATTATTGATTCCATCGATTTTGGATTAACGATTATATTTGAGCTTGGATGATCTATTGAATGGTATGCACGTCTGGTCATGTATGACGGCTTAACCGCTGGTCTTATTATGGATTTGAACATGGCTATAGCTTATCTTCTATACTTTTTATTTTACCTTTTCTCTGAAATGACTATAGCTAATGGAAAATCGTAAGTTTTGATAATGTCCAACCTGCGGAACTGAAAAATTATGTTTGCAGGTTAATTTACTATATATAGTGGCGCTAGATATTGATCTCTTATAGCATACCAAATAAAGTAGCTTTAACTGAAAGAATGTTGGTAAGTATATCTGTTGATTCAATTGGTTGGAGTATGTACTAATAAGACTTTAGATCAAACCATGGAATGAAGTACCAGCGCCTCGTCATACACTTGATGACGAAGTAGACGAAGCAACATCACCACCTATACCTAAGATATCAGTTGAATTGGATCATAATATCACATCAACGGATTATATCGTTATATCTCCAAATACATTAAAGGTTTTGGTTGAAAATTTGCCTAATGGTAAGACGGTGGGATCTATAAAAATTGAATATCCACAGTTAACAGACTTCCAAGCGAAAGATGAAGACGACTCCGATTATGACGAAGACGAACAGTTGTATTCTGCAGTTATGAGAAAGTCGTTGATTGATAAATATGGAAAACTAGAATTACCAATTGTACAACACGACGACGCATACTTGAGTATCAATATACCCCATTTCCAAAACATAATAGTGAATAATATATTGGCCCGTAAACTTACGGAAGAATTAGACTCGAAAATCAACAAGTCGTGGATTACTTTGTCTCCTTCACTCATTAGTAGTAATGAGACTATTAACAAGTTAGAAGTCGATTCGAATGTTCAGACACCGAATATATATTCAGCTATTCCAAGTTTAAAGCCACCACATTTCATTACAGGCATAGGGGCATCTTTGAACTCACAAATATCCTCTATGGAGAAACCTAGGTTGATGTCATTGGTGTTGAGATCTGAAGGACAATTGGGTTTTGAAAAAATTGATACTGATGCGTTTATTGATGCATGCTTTGTCTTGAATGAACTCTTGGTTAACACGTCAGACAAAGAAAATTATTTGAAACAAATAAGCTTAGCCGTAAGAAAGATAATGGTAGTTCCAATTCTGGTATGTATATATAGTACGAGTATGTAATGAATAAGCATTTATATATAGCATCTATGCACTTGAATTTCTCATCGATAAGAAACAATTCCATAACACCGAGACAGACGAACTAAACGGTACTTGGAAGTCTCTAGGAACTAATAGAAAATTGAAGAATTGTACGGGAAACCACACAGAATAGTTTATTAATAATGTTTTCAAGTAGATTCTATCCAACTTGGCCTTTACGTCGTTCCAATTACCACTTTCGAGAACAATAGTCCCATATGTGAAAAAGCAAAAAAGCGAAACGGGTGAGAAGCATAACTGATCTGTTAACACTTTTCTAAGAACCTCAATAAATTTTGGATCTTTGGAGTATATTTGTAAGAATTTGTACCACCAGCATTGAACAAATGCCATAATAAAACCCCAGCACATAAACCCAGCTAATCTGTTGAATTGGAAAAATGTTAATTCTATCAGCTCTGATGGCAAGGGCGTCAAATCTGGATTGTAAGGTTGCATAGATGGACCCTCAGACGTAGAATCATCATCCTGAATGTAATCTATAAACCTGTTTAAGACCTCATCATCACTCTCTGCAGCAACGTGTTCATCATCAAGACTGCCATCGCGGCTCTCGTGAACTCTGTAGTTATTAGGATTAAATGAAATGTCCCCAAATCCCGCAGTATTCCTGTGAAATTTAAAACTTAGTCTTGGTTCAGTTGGATTATAACATAGAAGAGACTGTGCCAATGTTTCAGATATACCATATAAAACAAGATTAGTCACAATTATGGTAATTAACGAATTCTTCATATACAATCCGGTATATTTAGTAGTTAATTTAAGCAAAAATGTTCCTAAAATGCCGATGATAACGAAATTCAATGCTGGGATATTGTATATCCGTGGACAATTGATTATTTTTGTAAATACCGAGGGATCTGAACCTATACTATTATAATCTTGAGACTCTATATCAGATAAATCCGGTAACCCCCTCCCATATTCATCTTCAAGCCGTATTGCCATATTTCGTTATTAAACGGTTATCTACTTCTAGTAAATAAAGGCAAAGTGATATAGATATATCATTGGTACTGCACATAGTTTGTACTTATTCATACCTAGGAATATACCGTACATTGTCTGTCACCATGTCACTTTATGAATTAGCGGAATTTGTGAATGAACAATTACGTCTATTGAACGTCGAATTCATCCTATCCTGCAATACATCTTCTGCTCCCAATGTTTCAGAATATTAACCCTGCTGGTAAACTCAGACACAATAGGTATAGTCGCGATCGTTCGCAGCCATACTTAATATACTCAAATATTAGGCAAACAGCGATGCTACAGAATGAAGAGAGTCAACAAAGCTCCACAACCTCTCGTACTGATTCAGTATTGCTGTTTCAACCTCAAAACATTGTGTTCCAAAACATCCCTACACCTTTGACATTGCCTCCATACACCTATGTTTTATATATGGTACATACACGTCACTCCCCGAATTCGCTTCCAATCAAATTTTGCGAATTGAAAATTAGTATGAACGGTATTAAACATTTCAATAGAAGTTTGATTAATTGCAAAACTATAAAGGATGTCCTATAATAAGAACTACGAGCCCGTGAGATCAGATCCACCATACTCTGACTACGAACTTATCGATGTTGATCCACATTTCAAGAGAGTCATTTCATACTTTAGACCATCTGATTATGGATGCTGGGCGGCTACCATGGCAGGGTTCCCATTGGCATTACATCTTTGGGAAAGATTAGAACCAAGTGCCGGTGCATTTAAAGCTCCAAGTAGGGTTCCAGGTGGAGCTTTAAGAGCAGCCTCATTATTGGGATTCTGTGGTGGTTTTTACTTGGCTTATGTTAGATCCTCCAGAAGATTTTTGGGATGGTCCGAAAACGCCAGAGAAGTCAAGAAAGACAGATACGAGATTAAGAAATTGTTATCAGAAGAAAAATTACCATACCACGAAAACGAATCCGTCTTGGATGACAGAATGAAGGATATTGCCAATAGAAACTCGCAATTCTCTTTCACCGTGATGGCCATTATACCATGGTTCAACTTGGCACATCACCCATACCACGGTGTGTCGATCCAAAAATACTACGAAAACAGACCTGGTGAAGAAGAATGGGGTTTCAATAACTTGAAGCCTTTCGAAGACATCAAAGCCAAGTACTCTAAACACATCGAGTAAATGTGGCTCTATCCCACCTAATATCATCCCTACATAGGATCACTACAAACATTATCACGGATTTATTGCAGAATTTGCTCTTTGTGCTTGCTAATACAATACTTTCTAGTGGGGTTAAGTATTAAATTACACGGAATTACCGTGTATCCATCATTTGTCATAATTATCTTTGCTGGTTGACATTTATTCTGCCTTACACAATACATATTTTTATTCCTTCAATAGCCATTATAGGTTGTCTATTTTATATAATACTACTAAAGTTTACTCAATACAAGTTGCATTTTGCCAATTTTACCAATTTTCATCAAGTCAATTGCAACATGCGAGATCTGGATGATCGCAAATGCATCATGACGATTGTATAGTTCGGTAGTGTCATTATTCACCATGAATTACTCGTTAATCTTCTAGTAATCATAGTCTTAAGATTCTTGTCGTGCGCGCTTCATTTGTTTTGTTTACAAAACAAAAAAATCATTTAGACCTGATCCTACACAACTTAGACGTTACGGGAAGCCATACATAGAGCACTACAGTATGTCTGATGAACCTGATTATTCATCGTTGTCCCTAGAGGAAAAATTGGAACACAAATTATGGAAGGCTAGACTCCAGGCGTATGAGGAGATCACCAAACAGTGTCAAAATTCACGTAATGATCAAGATGAATGTTTTGAGAAACTTAATACAAAGCCAGAAATATTTAAAAAGGCAGTGGTTGATGCCAATGTCGTTGCACAAGAATCGGGTATTCAAGCATTATCTAGTTTCTTGGAATTTGGAGGGAATGCATCCAATGCTCAGAGATTGAAATCTTCTGGAGTCGTAACCTCGCTATGTGAGAAAGGGTTGTCCTCGTCTAGGGCAGGAACAAAAGCCAAGGCTAACGAGTGTTTGTTGTGGTTTGTTGAGCTTTCTGAGGATCCTAATAATGTAGTTGAAGACATATTGCCCTTTTTAAAGCACCGTCTACCAAAATTGGTAGCAGCTTGTGTGGGTGCATTACATGTAATAGTGGAGAATTTTGGATGCCATTCAGTGGTATCACCAAAACTAATAATTCCATGTCTAGGAAAACTTTTTGCCCATGCAGATCGAAATGTAAGGGCTGAGACTACCAAATTGACAGTCGAATTATATAAATGGATGGGTGGTGCATTAGAAACGATTTTATTTCCTGACTTAAAGCCTGTGCAACAAAAAGATTTAGCAAAAGCATTCGAGCCATTGCAGAACGTAACACCCGAGCAAAAAAGATTCACTAGAAGCCAACAAATTGATATAAATAGACGCAAAGAAGAAGAGAGCAGAATGGAGGCTGCTGGCAACGAGGATATTGAAATGAAAGACGCACAAGATGATAAGTCTGAAGGGCCACAGTTCGACCCTTTTGATTTGATTGAACCTGTTGAAGTATTGTCAAAATTACCATCTGATTTAAATGCCAGAATATCTTCTACCAAGTGGAAAGATCGTAAAGAAGTATTGGAAGAAGTGCACGCTGTGTTGGAAAAAGCTGCAAAACTATCTACAAAAGATGACTACTTGGAACTTGTAAGAATTTTTGCAAAATGTATGAAGGATGCCAACATTCAAGTGGTTCAATTGGCTGCAAATTGTATAGAGTTTCTAGCAAAAGGTTTGAAAATTGATTTTCAAAGATATCAATCGATTGTTCTTGGACCGATGATTGAAAGAACGAAAGAGAAAAAGGCTTCAGTTGCTGATGCTTTAAACAATGCAATGTTTTCTATATTTGCTTCTTCTACTTTGAGTGATATATTAGATGAGACGCTAGCCGGTATGAAGCATAAAACGCCACAAGTCAAGATTGCATCAACAAGCTTTTTGCAAAAGTGCTTAGCAGCAACTAAGGTGCCACCTAAGGCTTCAGATATCGGAAACATCATGGAATCAGGTGTTAAATTGTTAAGTGACTCACAAGAACCCGTGAGACAAGCCTCCACTGAGATGATTGGAACATTAATGAAAATAACAGGAGAAAGAGAGCTCAATTCATTCTTAGAGAAGGTTGATGATAATAGGAGAGCAAAAGTTACGAAATTCTACGAGGAAGTGGAAGTTAATTCTAAGATGGGAGCTTCTCATACTTCATCCGAGACTAAAAATATAGCCCCTTCACGAGATGGTGGTGTGAATAAATTAACGAGAACTAGAACTGGTCTTTCATCCAGCTCTTCAACTGGTACCAAGAAGCTTAGTTTATTATCTGGCACTACACTTAAAAAGTCCTCGCTAGATCAGCATTCCAACTCAACAATTCCATCCAAACGTCTTGCGACATCACCTGCAAAAAGGTCTGATGAAGCATCGAAAGTGACGTCAATTGGACGAGGGTTGACAGGAAGACCGTTAACATCCAATACACCATCGATGAGCGCTACTTCTACTGCAAAGCCAGTCAATAGCTTATCTTTCAAGGAAAAAGAGGAATTACAAGCTTTGCGTAGAGAGAAACAACAGTGGCTAGAGAAACAAGAGCAGGTGCTACAAGCTCAAGAACGAACCAACGAAGAAAAATTGAACCTAACTCAAGAAATAGCACAACTTAATAGTAAATTCGAAAATATACTGAAAGATCACACCAATGCCTTGCTCATGGTCAAGCAGAAAGAAACCCAAATTCTCCGTTCAAACAGTGACTTAGAAAATGCTAAGTTGAAGATACGAGATCTTGAACAAACCATAGAAATGATGAAATTGCAACAAAACTCTTACACCGGCCAACAGCTGACCCAGCCAGCCAAGCATTCGTATAATTCTGCTTTCAGTTCGTCGTCAACGTCACCATTTGAAACTAAGCAAAGGTATCAGCCATCAGAAGCTCCACCTACAGAAAGTCGCATATCATCCGGTGAACTTAGTACTCGGGTGAATAGATTATCGATAGATGGCAATCCACAGATTGAAACCTCCGGAAACACCTACAATGGTAATTCATACAATCGATTCAGCAGCCCACAAAAAATGGCAGATAATACAAACGTGTATACATCCAGTTTGACTAAAGATTCGATGATAAATACAAATGATGACAGCTGGAGGAGAGCAGCAGAAGTAACCTCGCAGCTAAAGGCAAGAATAGAGAAGATGAAAGCAAGATCTAGAAGCGGAATGTCTAATTTCTCTTAGTTAAGGTTTATATTAATGTATTTAAACATGTTACAGTATCATACTATGTAATTCTTGTAGAAAAAATCACTCGTTGATCAGGTGAAAATATTGATTCCGGTTTCGGCGTAAACATTTCATCAACATTTTCCGGGCAACGACTTACAAGAATCATAGATGCACATACTTGTTTGACAACTTGATATACAATTAAAGGAATATGTCGTCGAAGTTGAAAATTTTGGTACCAGTCAAAAGGGTGATTGATTTTGCAATCAAACCAAGAATTAATAAAGCCCAAACAGGTGTGGAAACTAAGGGAGTTAAATTCAGTATTAATCCATTTTGTGATATTGCATTAGAAGAGTCAATTAGAATCAGAGAAGCTAACAAGGGATTGGTTGAAAAGATTCATGCTGTTTCTATTGGACCAACAAAGGCACAAGATATATTAAGGACTGCATTGGCTAAAGGTGCTGATTCCACCACTTTGATAGACGTAGGTGATGAAGAAGTTGAACCATTGACCGTGGCCAAGCTCTTACAAAAGACTGTTGAAAAGGAAAACTCCAATTTGGTTATCTTAGGAAAACAAGCTATTGATGATGATTCTAATCAAACCGGGCAAATGTTAGCTGGTTTGTTGAACTGGCCACAAGCCACCAATGCTTCAAAAGTTGAAATTGATGGTGATAACGTTACTGTTACCCGTGAAATTGACGGTGGTTCTGATACTTTACGTGCCAAGTTACCAATGATCATCACTACTGATTTAAGATTAAATGAGCCAAGATATGCTTCCTTGCCAAACATCATGAAGGCCAAGAAGAAGCCATTGGAAAAATTGAAGGTCAGTGATTTAGGTATTGAATTATCTAAGAGATTAGAAACCTTAAAAGTTGAAGAGCCACCTCAGAGAGAGGCTGGTATTAAGGTGGATTCAGTTGACGAATTGATTAGTAAATTGAAAGAATTAAAGGCTATTTAATAATTCTAGCGTCAATCATATCCATTTCATTTCATCTCATTTGTTTAAAAGTTATTTATAAATATAATACATTAATCATAATACATAAATCCTTCTCTGTAGCGTATGTCCGTGTAATATGTGCGGTTGTATTTTGTGCCAGTATAAAAGATGAAAATTCGCTACTATAAAACCCTTCAATAAGCCATATTATAAACATGACTACATTAACTAGAAGTATTGAGTACTTGTCCCCTATTATAGACTCTTATGTACGCAGTGTACCTGAAAAAGCTTTGGTTGTTGGAATAAGTGGACCCCAAGGTTCGGGAAAGTCTTATTTGACAAATGAATTGGGTCCTCAGTTGAGGGTATTGTACCCCAAATTAAACATAGTTCTGTTTCTGATGGATGATTTATACCTTACGCATGAAGATCAATTGGAGTTGACTAGTCGTTCTCGCGAATATATGGATGATAACAAGCTATTGCAAGGCCGGGGGCTCCCTGGTACCCATGACATTACCTTGGGGGCTGATCTTTTCTCGAAATTAATGAACAGAAGTCCAGAACTGGCCACGAGAAAGATATCAATTCCTTTCTATGATAAGGGTGCATTCAATGGTGAAGGTGATAGGTCTCCGGAATGTAACTGGAATGTGGTCCAAACTCCAGTAGACGTGATTATCTTTGAGGGATGGTTCAATGGTTTCCAACCTTTGTCATTTGATCAATTACGAGTGAAATATTTAACTTCAGATCTAAATAAATCCGTTCTACAAAGGCATAAGATGTTCCATGTTGAACAGGTGAATGAGAACTTAAAAGAATATGCCAAATTATGGTCATTGTTCGATTATTTCATTTACTTGGAAACAGATTCTTTGCAGAACGTTTACAATTGGAGATTGGAACAGGAGCATTATCTCAAAGCAACTACTCCAGCAGGTACTGGTATGACTGATGAAGAAGTCGTTAGGTTTGTTGATCGATACATGCCAATCTACGAACTATATTATGATACAATGTGTAGTAATGGATGTGTTCCAATAGGGGGCCATAATCTCAAATTAGTTATTGATGCAAAACGTAATATTTTGGATTCTATGATCTATTAAATAATGTACACGTATTAATATAAATTCTATTATATAAATTAACACCAAAACTTGTAAACTCTTACAAAGAATGGCTTTTCGGCAAGTTGAGCTTTTTCTTCAGCAATTTCTTGTTGTAGAACATCGAGATCAATATTAATTCTACCGATGTCAATGTCTAAATCCTTGGCTCTAATGAATAAAGTCCAATCCTTCTTCCAAAGCTTATATCCTAACCAAGATACAAGGATCACTGGTAATCCTAAGTAGGAAAGGAAAAAGTCATAAGCATTTGGGCTACCTCCAAGAGGGAATAATGCTATCCAAAATTGAGCAACTAATACTAAACAATTGAGTGCTAATCCATAATATGATCCCCAGACACCACATTGTGATACGTATGGTAATTCAGCAGTAGTTCTACCTTGGTATGACATGGCCCTTCTGAAACGAATATGAGCAACATTAATTGAGATCCATGTAAAAATAGAACTTAATCCGGATAATGCTAATAACCAGTTAAAAGCTTCAACCTGTTTATCAGATGCAGCAATGAATGCAAAAAGGCCAAAAACATTGGTAATTACAATAGCAACAAGTGGTCTACCGGCTCTATCGACATAACCCGTCCATTTTGGGGCCATACCCTGTTCAGCCAATGAATTTAATGACCTTGAAGTAGCATAGACTGAAGAGTTACCGACTGACAAAACAGCAATTAAAATAACTGCATTAATTACACTAGGTAAACCTTTAATACCTCCGTTACGAATTGCAATAACAAACGGAGATGCAGTAGCATCGACATCAGAAGCTCCTATTAAACTGCTATCAGTGTATGAAACTAAGGTACCTACCATAGTCAATGATACCAAATAGAACAAACAAATTCTCCAGAAAACCTGTTTAATGGCCCTTGGCAAGGTTTTTCTTGGATTTGAGGTTTCAGCTGCTGTTAAACCAATCATTTCAGTACCACCAAAACTAAAGGCAGCAGTTACAAAAACGGAACAAACACCTTTGAAACCATTTGCAAATGGACCAGGCTCTCTCCAATTTCTTCCCCCAATAAATTCATGGCTTGGACCACCACCACAAATCAAGACAATACTTAATATTATGAACCCAATAACTGCAATGACTTTCACCAATGAAAATACGAATTCAGCTTCACCATAACCTTTAACACCGAGCATGGTAATAAACACTACTGAAACCCAAAATATTGCCACAAATATATCTGAATTTAAATCTGAGTTCCAATACTTAATTGTAATCGAAGCCGCTACTAATTCTAAAGGCAACAATACAAAAAATTGCATGAAATAGTTCCATCCGATAGCAAATCCAACAGCTGGTTCTATAAATCTAGTAGCATAAATGTTAAAACCACCACTAACAGGTAATGCAACTGATAACTCACCTAATCCTTGAACAGTAGCGAATACCCCAGTAGAAATAATAGTCCATGCAATAATCAACCCAGCAGAACCACCGTCTCTAAGAGCGCCACCTGACCCTACGAATAAACCTGTTCCGATAGAAGATCCTATGGCAATCATTTGCAAATGTCTAGATTTTAAAGAACGAGACAATTGAGAATTAGCCGACCTCAAAGCTGCCCTCTCAACATCAGTGAGCTTTGCTTCTTCCTCTTCCGAGATATCCTTCGATGTCAATGTACGAGATTGTTCAGCTGGTTTGAATGAGTCCTTGAATGACAGCCAGATTCCCCCGTTATCTGCGCTTTCGAGCGAGTCACTTCTGATATGATCGACCTCAGAGAAACTATTTGATTTCTCACGAGATACTTTGCTATTAACGCTCATGTTTTAATCGTTGCAATGTAAACAATCTTCTACAATATCATTCAAATAAAATATATCTGAAAATTTTTATCTTATATGAATAATGGCTTCATCAGAGCCTTCATCGGATTCGAAATTTTCATGAACACTATTACTTTATATAAAATCGAAGGGCAATGGTGCATGGATGAGTCACATCAGATACAATTGATTCCTAAACGGTTCCGTTCAACCAAGATGAACGGTCAAATTTTGCAGTAAAGTGGTCTCATATGGAAAGAGATCGCGGAAAGGGCATTTTTTTGAAATGCCGTTTCAAAATCGAAGCAGATATGTTCGCTTAATGGTGTTCGATGCAGGAAGAACTATATTATCTTTCGTTTCTTTTGATTCATATTTGTAGAACCCGGAACCGAAGCTTCATCCAAGATTCTCTTGGATGTACTACATACAGTGGAGTCAACTAAAGGATTCTCTGACAGATTGATGTTGTCAAATTTCGTCGGATTCAGGTGTATCTGGGTATTTAAATTTTCTTGGAGTTCATGGTAATCATTAAATAGCTTTTTAGAATTAGTTTCCAAACCTATGATTCTCGGTAAAAGTAATTTTAAATACTGCTTTATGGAAACTATTTCTTGTGAAAGGGACTGATTTGATCCACGATCATTATCACTGATAAATCTCTGCAAAGATAGTAGTTTGTCGAAAGTTGCCTTATCATGGGACTCAAGAATATTGCATATCTTACTATGTTCTTTAGAATTAGCTTTAGTAGACTCGCAAATGGTTTCTTGCAACAACCTTTCTAATTTTTCTAATCTGTGGAACGTTTTGTCTGTATTTTTGATCATCTCTTTTAGCAATTTATTATTCGATAATGTGTAGTCTACTTGCTCCCCTATGAAGGTTTCAATTGACCCCACGCTATTTCTGGTATCTCTTGAGGAACAAGGTTTGAACATTTTTTCGATAGTTGTAACTTTTTCAGATAAAATATTAACAGTCTCTAACAACTTTTCATTTGTATCGTATCCGCTACTCGTCTTCTTCACCTCCTCGATCTGACATGTCATTTGGCTCAATTTCGTCGTCATCTCCTCACAAGCAACCTTCAAAAAATCATAGTTCTGTTTGAATATGTGACCCAAGTTACCAGTAACAATTTCTTTCAAGGATATTGATTCGAGCTCTAACCTTGCAGCCCATGTAATTAATTTATCATCTGCATTCTCCACATGCGATGACGTATGCTTATCTTCTTTGTAGACGTCTTTGGCATTGGTTTTGTCGTTAGTTTGCGAAACAAACTGGAGTGATGTAGCTTGGCTTGGTTCGCCAGTATTCTTCAATTTCTTGTTTTCTTTCATTTCTGAAAATATTATATCAATCTCACTCGAGAGACCATAGTCCGTAGATGGTTCTTCGTTATTCATAGCGTTGCTGTCTTAGTAGATGTTTCGTTAAGTAGACACTTCTATTGATTTGCAACATATGAGAGTACTAAAATTCGCGCTGAGGGAAGTGAAAATAAAATCTTACTGTTGATGCTATTCATTAAAAACCAATCATATAGTATCGAAATGTCTAGCCTTAAAGAGTTCTTAGAAAGTATGTTGAATGCTATAGTATCATATAATATTGAAGGATTTTACTAACATAAATAGAAAAAGTTAGAGTAATAACAACCGATGCCCGTTTATTTGAAGGAACACTCGAAGGATTTGATAATTCAACTAATGTTATCATTAACAATTGCATAGAAAGATTGATTTACCCCGATGAAGAAGACGAGAACCAGGAAATACCGTTAGGCTTATATTTGATGCGAGGAGGAAATATTGTTTGTATTGGAGAGATCGATGATACAATAGATACTACCATAGATTGGACTAAAATCAAAGGAGAGACATTAAAAGGAACAAAAAATCCTTTATAAGCAATTCAGTTTATTTTTATTTGCATTGTTATTGTTTGAATAACTAAACTTGTATACTAGCTACATAGATTAATTATACTATTTATCTTCATTAATTTGATTGGGTGGTTGTAGGAATACCTGATTGCTTCATTTTAACGGCCAACTCTAATAAATAATCCAAGGCTTCATTGTAAACCTTGGCTTTCCATACATCTTCACCCCAGACATATATACCATGTCTTCTGACAAGAACAGCCGTAGTCCCCGGATAGTTTTTGATAGCTTCTTGGAGACTATCTGTCAAGTCCTCTTCGTGGGGAGTATTTTCAATGATTGGAATAACAAGCTTATCAAAGTATTGCATGCTTCCAACCTTCTCAACTTTACCAGTCTTTTCATTCACCGCCAATTTTGGCAATGCTTTGATTTGTTCAATATGGGAAATTTCGAATTCAACCTTATCTCCCCATAACAAACTACACATGACAGCATTCTGAGAATGGGTGTGGATACATGCACCAGCATCTCTCATGGTATAGCAGCTCATGAACAACGGAGTACATGCTGATGGCTTATACTTATATGATTTGGTTAATTCCGTTGGGCAATCATTAGGAGTACGTAAAAGCTTTTCGTCTGGCAATTCTACTACGAACATTTCCCATGGTTGTAATTTCTCCTTCTGAATTCCGGAAGGAGCAATGTATACCAAGTTTGGATTTTTACCCTTCACATCACGAATGGAAATACCACCGCCTGTACCAGTGACCCAATTGTTGTCATAAAACAAGCGACACAATTCACAGATTAAATTTGCCGGATGATTTGGATCATTAGCATCGAGCAAAGAGTCATCTAATTTCGAGATTTCGTCTCTTTTTTTGTTGCAATGGCAAGAAGCAGACATGACAATTTCTTGAAGTATTTATGCGATCTATTAGTTATAGCCGAGTCAAGTGAAAACCTACTAGCATTAGTCTTTTATTGTATTTGCCAGGTGAATTATATACTGAATCAGATAGGGCCACGTGATGGTATATAGCTTACAGTCAATATCAAACTATCAATAAAATATATATTAAAACACTTTCAACCAAGTACTATAGAACAAATGTATGAATGATATAAACACCGCAAGCTAGACTAGCTCACGTATAATAATTGAATACCAATTAAAGTAAGTTTTGGTAAAAAAATGAACAAAATGCAAAATACTAAAAATCTAAACATCTAAATTTTCATCCTGGTCAAACAGTTTATTTCTTTTCCTTCTTCTTTTCTTTCTTTTCCTTCTTGTCTTTCTTTTCTTTCTTATCCTTCTTTTCCTTCTTATCCTTCTTTTCCTTCTTTGATTTCTTAGAATCTTCTTCTTCGTCGTCTTCTTCTCTCTTTCTCTTCTTGTCTTTCTTGTCTTTCTTTTCCTTCTTTTCTTTCTTTTCCTTCTTTGGTTCTTCTTCGGTTTCAGATTCATCATCAGAGTCGGCATCAGCCATTGGAGCATCAGCATCAGCGTTGTAAGCACGGGCTTCGGTGATATCAACCTTTGGTTGTTCTCTGATAACCTTAGCAGTAGTTCTTAAATCACGTCCTTCTAAAGCACTTAATCTGGATTCGACCTTAGTTCTAACAGATAAACCGAAATCACCGGAGTCATCACGTTCTTCAGCTAAAGAATCATATCTTAAGGCAACGGCAGCCTTGGCAGCTAAAACTCTAGCAATCTTACCCTTGTTCTTACCAGAAGCTTGACCAACTAAAGAAGCGTGGTATAATAAACCATACTTTGGTGTGTCATGCTTAGTCTTTAAGGCTCTGAATAAGGCCTTTTCAGCACCTAATATTTGGATAGTTGAAGCAGGAGCCTTTGCTAAAGAAGTTAAAGAACCAGCGTGAGCAATTAATCTAGCACCAACTAATTCACCGACTAAAGCAGTTAAATTTGGAGCAATAGCCTTCATACGAGATGATAAATAGTTAGATAATTGTTCTCTGTAAGCAGCAAAGTCAACAATTTGTTCAGCTAAAGCCTTAATGTTTTCTAAATCAATATCAGTGATTTCAGTACCCATTGAAACTTCTGCGGCGGATTTAACTTGTTCTTCAGCTTCTTCTGGTAAAATTTCTGATAAGTCGGTATCAGCTGCATTGGATCTAATACCCATGGTCAAAATGATTCTTGCGTATGCAACGGAGTCAGTGATCATCTTGGCCAATTCTGGGAAATGCCATCCGTACCATTCCTTACAACGCATAGCATAAGTATTTAATTCCTTGTCTAAGTCATCTAATAAAGCAATGGCTTGAACGATCATGGTATCAACCTTATCAGCGGAGAACTTCAATTTGTGACGACCCATGGAGTGGGCTAACCCTAAGGACATTTGCTTTAAGGCAGAGTCATCTAAACCTGGCAATAATTCAGGTAAAAATTCCTTGATAGCTCTGTGCAAGTCTAAAGAAGCAGCGTCTGAAACAACAGAGAAGTTTAATCCTAACTTGTTAATAGCATTACCCAACTTGGCTTCTGACACAATTAAAGTTGCCTTCTTGTCGTTCTTAACGTCTTCCAACATTTTTTTCAAGTTGTCAGTAATACGTCCTTCGATAATAGCATTGGCTTCTTCCAAAGCGTTGGCAGCAGACTGGAACTTCTCGAAACGATGAATTTTGAATTGTTCTGTCACTTTTTCAACTGTGTTCAAGTCTTCGATCAACGACGAAGACTTGTAGATTTTTTTGTCCGATGCTTTCAATAAAGCATAACCGGCAGCGGTTTCTGTTAATACGTAAGCCATTTTACTTTTCCTTCGTTATTGTCTTGTTTCTGAAGTGTAATTACTTGTGCTTAGATAAATTTGTACTTTAATACAATAATCCTCTAATGTTTTATGCAAGAATAAGGAACTTTGGTATACCTGTAATTAGTTTCAGTAACTTCCAAAAAGATCAGATATAATATCCTTGTAACAATTATCTAATAATACGAAGAAATGTTATCTTAAAATCCTAATCTCTTAGTACTTATGATGGGTTGATTGAAATTTTTCAATCGATGAGGTTTAAAATTTTTCCCATCTCTTGGAAAGTTACACAAAATTATCAAATACGACATTTGTCGTTTTGGTGCAAAATAATTTATTTGGAGTGCAACACGTCCTATTCTTTGTATTTGTACATGTAAATAATCAGCCAGTCGTTAGGATAAATACCCCATTATTAGCATATAAAGTGTTTTGATAGATTCTAAAGCGTGTAAGATGACAGATAAGCGGCCGGGGATAGCGCCGGTTTCAATGTCAAACGGTGTAAAAAAAATGAAGACTAACGACACTGGATCAAACTATAAAGAGAACATACATGATCCGAATAAAGTACGAACAAAACCGACCAAGACAACATATTTTTTCCAGCCTACCAATACGCTAGCATATAGAGATAGGGACTCTAAAGAACAGAAGGATGGGGCGACGAATAATGGGACACCAAATGTGTTGAAGGAATCAGACCCGAATGCGGTATCATATACGATCCCGCTGGTGCAACAGATCAAGACCCCGTCAAAAACATATGAAAGCTACGAGAAGTTTATTCAGGAGCAGCAGAGTTCGGATGACAGTTTTGAGGGTATACGATGGAGAACAAGCCCCCGGAAGGGGATCTGCAAAGGCGTGGGTGGAATGCCATCCTCCCCATTGAAAAATACTGTATCACCGAAGAGAAGGGGAGAGGAACTGAAGCTGTCGTCTACATTAGTGAATGAACAAGCCAATTCGGTGTTATCGAAGTATGGAGCCGGATTCCATAACATTCTGTCGCAAACTCCAACGATGAACAGGACGCATTCAGATATCTCATCATCGGAAAGTGTACATAAAAAGTTTATCAATGCACAACAGTCACCTTCATTGACGCGTACGAAGTCTTTTGGAATAGATACTCTTGCTAGCTCAAAGACAAATAAGCTCTACCGGTTTGAGCGGCCAAATTCCAAATCTGCAACGCCTAAAACAACCGCATCCTTATCAAACTCTACCTCGCTTAACAGCTGGATCGATAAGTTTGACAAAAGTAATCTGAAGCTGGGATCCTTTCCATGTGCTATTGATTTGAAGACCATGGCTCCGTCAACTAATGAGATAATAAATTCGGCTCAACACACAAATAATGATAACGAAATTAAGCATATACATGAGCCTAATGCTAGTATACATGAAGATCTTGTTGCTCCAGACGTTTTAAATGGCATTGATTTCAGTGATGATTTCAGTGACTCTGGCTTGATGACTTCTCCCAATAAACCTGAAGACCGTGGTAAAATCGAGCCAGTGCTGGTTGATTCTGATGATCCATTTTCATCTGATGATGAGATAGTATTGACCGCTATGAGAACGCAATCGAAGAGCTTGGAGACAAAGTCCGAAATTATTGATGAGGATGACTCGGAAGATCCGTTTTCTGATGATGATGTAAAGTTTTCACAACTCGATACGAAAATAGAGACTCGACCTTCATCTTCCTCCCAAAAACATTTGAGTACTCAAGAAAAGTCAGATATTCGTCATGCAGAATCGTTTCAAAATGATATAAAGAGACTAGAAGATCTTCAGTCAATTTGCAAGGGTACTAATGACGGTACTGTAATTAATGACTCAAAGTTATCGTATTCCCGTCCTGATTTACAACGATTTCAAATCAAGTCTATTTTGAATAATACATATAAAGTTCAAAATAGAATTAGAAACCAAGCAATCTTGACTGTTGTTGATGGAAGCTTGGAAGAACTGAAATTAATTCTTAGAGGAGAATACTTACAACTTGATTTTCAAATTCATGATGTAATTCATTTAATCCTCACTGATCCTTCGCATCCAAAACTCGTTGATGATACCCATAATTTGCTAATTTGGAATCCAGATATATTAGTCTCAGCTACAACTGTATCTCAGCAAATGGGGTGTCCTAGAAAGAGTGTTCTAATCAATCGACTAAGCTTTCCCGGTGAATCATCTGTTCCTTTAATTGTAGGTATAATTACTCATGAAATTTTTCAATCTTGTTTCCATAATGAAAATTGGAGTATGGACTACATGAAAGGATTAATGGAATATGAAATTCAATCAAAGCTTCTCCTGATTTATAGCATCGGAAATGAAGTAGAAAAGGTAAGGACTGAGATTCAGAATCAATTACCATATCTAGAGACATGGTTCAAGACCTACTTCAAGAAGCCTTTGTCGTCACATACTTCAATTCCTACAAATCATGGAAATCAAAAAGTAATGTTTGCTGTTAACAAAGCTTTGGATATTGAAGAAAACATTTGGTCACCAATGTTCGGCCTTAAAGGAAAAGTAGATGTAACTCTTGAAGCACAATTATTTGATCAAACTACAAATGGTAAATATTTATTACCGATGGAAATTAAGACTGGTAGGGAATATATTAGTCACCATGCTCAGTCTTCTTTATATTCTTTACTATTCAAAGATAGATACGACATGGATGTTAACATGTTTTTGTTGGTATATACAAAAGAAAGAATATCAAAGAAATATGATATCAGTCGTACCGATTTAAAATCTTTAGTTAATTTGCGTAATCGAATCACAAAATACTTTAAATCAGGAACGAGAGAGCTTCCAGAATTGATAAAGCAATCTCAATGTGATCGTTGTGAAGTCCAGCAGGCTTGTATGACTATTAATAAATTAGTGGAAAATGGAACAGCCGAAGAAAGTGGATTACCAAAAGATGTTTATGAACATTTAACGCTCCATTTGGAGAATGATAAACAATCAAGAGGTTTTTATAACTATTGGGATAATCTTATTACTCAAGAAGAAGGTATAATGACGAACTTAAAAAAAGATTTATGGACTCTTACTGCTAAAGAGCGTGAAAACACTAAAGGCAAAGCTTTATCAGACCTTATTATTAAGGACTCAAATGATAATGATGATTTCCAGGATGAGTTTTTCTATACCTTTGAGAGGCGCAATAATGCAAAGTCTTTACAGAATTCACAATTAATCAAGTATGATAGAATTATTATAAGTGACCAAGAGGGACATTTTGCAATCGCACAAGGGTTTATTATTGCCATCAGGCCTAGCTTTATAAAAGTCTCAGTTAATAGGCGAATTGTTAATTCGAACCTCAAAATGGATGGTTTTAACAAGACGGATAATCAAACATTTCAAAGTGTGCTTCATAAAAACCTGCAGTTCCAAAAACTGAATCAATTGTACCGTATAGATAAAGATGACATGTTTCATGGTATGGGCTTGGCTAGATACAATATTTTGAACTTGTTCCTAAAGGATGGTGACTCACGTAGACGGGAAGCAATTGTAAACTTACAAGAACCAAAGTTTATACCATCAAAGTTACAGTATGATATTTCTTCGGAAAATTTCAATAGCGATCAAATTGGTGCATTTGATAAGATTTTAAGTACGAAGGACTATTCATTAATCTTAGGAATGCCAGGAACTGGGAAAACTACTGTGATAGCACAAATAATTAAACTTTTGGTAGAAAATAAGAAAACCGTTTTGTTAGCCTCCTATACACATTCTGCTGTGGATAATATACTTTTGAAGGTTAAAGACTACGGAATTGACATTTTGAGGATTGGATCACCTTTAAAAGTTCATAAAGATATTAGAAAATATGTTGCAGGCTTTGATGCAAACAAGCAGATCAAAAATTATGATGATTTTATTGCCACTTATATGACACCTTCGGTAGTAGCTACCACATGTTTAGGGATTGGAGACATTGCTTTCAATTTGAGAACGCATTTTGATTATTGCATTATCGACGAAGCCTCTCAAGTATCGCTACCTATTAGTATCGGTCCATTGCGATTTTGCGATAAGTTCGTATTGGTAGGTGATCACAATCAGCTACCTCCATTGGTCCAGCACCCAAACCCTGCTATTAAGCAAGGTTTATCTCGTTCTTTGTTCAAAATATTGAGTGAGACGTACCCACAAAGCGTTGCTGAATTAACTTATCAATACCGAATGTGTGAGGAAATCATGTTGTTATCAAACGTATTGATATATGGCGGACGCTTAAAATGTGGTTCAGAAAAGGTTGCTAAGCAATGTTTATATATTCCAAAGCCGAATATGATAGAAAATCAAATATCCTCACAATATCTTACAAAGTTACGAAAAGAAGATTTATGGATTGACACTATTTTAAAGCCAGAGAATAAGGTAATTTTCATTAACCATGATGATGTTCCAGGAATTGAAAGGACAATAGGTGAAAAAGTTGAAAACTTAGTTGAAGTGAACTTGATTAAACAAATAGTTGAAAGTTTAACTATGTGTGGTGCTAATGAATCGAGTATTGGAGTAATGTCCTTGTACAGATCGCAATTAAGATTATTGCATAGAGGGTTACAGCATAAACCAGATGTGGAAGTATTAACGGCCGATCAATTTCAAGGCAGAGATAAAGATTGTATAATAATTTCGTTAGTGAGATCAAACAAAGAGAATAAGGTTGGTGATCTTCTAAAGGAGTGGAGAAGAGTTAATGTTGCGATAACGAGATCTAAATCAAAACTCATCATATTAGGTTCTAAATCTACTTTAAAAAGTGTCAAAATGTTGGAGGCCTTTATGGCTCTTATTGAAAGTAGAGGGTGGATGTATGATTTACCTCCAAATGCAGACAAATTTTATGAGTTTGCATTCATTGAAAACCTAAGCAACCCAGAAAGAAATGTAAAGCCGAAGGCAAATCAAAATTTAACCAAAAATTCTAGAATTATAAATAACAATCCGCTTATAAGAGATATAATTAATGACATGACAAATTAATGACGTATTAATGACAAACACAATTCACTATATGGATAGATATATAGTCAACAATTTATAGAATGAATTTTACAAAAACGTAAGTAAATATATGTACAAATCAGAGTGCAAAAAAGTGGAATTCGAAATTTCGTCTTCTGAAATGAAACTGATTCCCAACCCATCCATTCTGAGGTTGCTGATCGTCTAGTTGTTGTTGGTTATTATCGTTCTGATTTGGTTGCACATTGTCCTGGTTGGGATTCCTCATCCTTTGCAATTGGCGATATACGTTCTGCACGAAAAATATCATAAAAAACAGTACTGTAAGGAAAATTACTAAATAATCCCCTACATCGGATTCTTCGTCGTCGTAATACAGCCCACCTTCGTGATGAGCTTTTGCTCTTGCATTGGACTTTTCTGAAGCTTCTGATGAATCCTGTTTATTATTATTCCCAATATTCTTAAATGCACTCAACCAGCCAGTGGTTTCACTATTATCGTTTGCACTGAGCTTTTTCTTATTAAATAAGAATTTAAAACGCAACCTTAATAAGGCTAAATTGATGGGAATTTTGTTTGAATTTCTGTCGGTCAGCTCTCGATATTTCAAGCTTAAGTCATAATATCTCTTAGCCATGAAGTAATCTACAGAACTATCGGCTGGTCCTAGGCCATATTCATACATATATGCCAAATTGTAACAGCCGTGAGATGAGTGTTGATGAGCGGCCTTGTTGAAATAGGTGAATGCTTTACTATAATCCGTAGAAAAATTCGATCCAGCAATTCCATTCAAGTAAAGATCACCTAGCAAAACTGTAGCATCAATATTATTTTGCAACGAAGCCCTTTCAAGATATTTAAGAGATGAGTCTATCCTATCCTTTGTAAACGTTTTTCTTTTATGTTTCAGAATGAACGGTTGTAACTGGAAGAGTAAATAGGACGTAGAAACTTGTGCATTCTCTAAACCTTGCTCAGCAGCAATCAGATAACCAATTAAAGCGTTCTTAAAATTACCAAATCGTAATTCATCAAAGGCATATTTTAAATGTGGCATAAAGTATCTCTCTAATCGTTCTACAAATATCTTGTAATACATGGCAGTGTTCTCACAAGTGAACTGTCTATCTTTTTGAACAGCAGCACCAACTCCAGACTGTAAAAACTCTCCCAAGTAGTATAAGGCTTCTGTATTACCTTTGTAAACTGCTTTTTGAACATTTTCGAATATTTGTTCACGATATGGGCTCAGAAATACTACTTCATTTCCACTTTCGTTTATCAATAACTTAGCAAGGTTGAGCCGTGCTTCATGTGAATCAAGTTTTATAGCATCCTTATAATACTCAATAGCAGTTCTTGTGTTTTGTTTTCCTTCAATAAGCCCTTTATCATATATTTGTCCAATGTCATTAAATGCTTCGGACGTATTTCTAAGCTTCGTAGATGCTTCAAGCCAGTGTAAAGCACGGTCGTAATTTTTTTCAGTTCCATGACCCTTAAGATACATATGCCCCAAAAGTCCCTGGCAGCGACTCAAAAAAATTATATTAATTTCATTTGCATTACGATAATTTTTCACACCATAAACCGACTCACCATAATCAACACATTCTCTCAATATCTCAAATGCTCTAGTATGATTTTTGGTTATAAAATAGTCTCCGTCGTATTGTTCCAACGCATCGTAATAATATTCAACTGGCTCGTGGTCAATTTCCAAATTGAATTCATTTAAAACATTCTTCGAAGACGTGTAGCTTTTAGATGTCGAGTATATTGATGTAGGGCTCTCGCTTACTTTGTCTGCGTAAATTCCTCCGTTAAAATCAGGCAACCTTATGTTGTAGAATAGATCATCCTCTTCATTCTCTTCGTCATAATTCTTTAATAAATCGATTCCAATATGTGACACCCTGGTATAATAATAAAGCGCCAAATCACAATTTAAAGGAACTCCACTCCCCACTAAACTTCTATACGCCAAAGCCAAGATGGAATTAGTATCACCATTTGCCAACCCAAACTCATAGTACAAGTTAGCCTTAGATTGGTCTATGGGTAACTCCCCAAACGCTCCTGTAGCATATAAAAACCCAAGCATAAAATATGCATGTCCGTTCGCTTTGATAGATACCGCCCTATGATAGTAATCAAGCGCCTTTGAATAGTTTGCCACAGTCGAATAATTTCCAAACACGTACACATCAGCCGCCGCTACCAATGCTTCAGGATAATTCAACACCACCGCTTCCTCTAGTATCCCTAATGCTCTCTCAAACTCAACTTCTTCGCTTGTTTTGCTCTTTGGCTCATGTTCATAATCATTGATGTCTTCTCTGTATTGGGGAATAAACAAATTATTGTCAATATTGTTGTGATTATACACCGGCTCCCTTAGCTCATACTGTGACGGTAGCTTCTCTATTATATCTATTGCTTTATTATACAACTCAATTCCACTAGCCGCTACTATTGGTTGTACTAAAATGCAAAGAACATATATCGTTCCTGTGAGTATTCTAAGATGATTCTTCATGTATTTTATTCTGCACCAAGTTCCCTATCATCCAATTTCCGATCTTAAACTCGGTCCAACTATACAATGACTCGAATCACTAAATGTGCTATTATACTTCTCTATAAATAGCGTATTGACGCCATGTCAATACTACTTAGTAGATCTACTTGTCATTACGTATTAAAATATAACCTGTAAAATGAGATCTAATCTGTAAAACCGTTACTTAGCCTGAAAGACTGGGCCAACGATCTATCAAAGCGGGTATTATAATACCATTAAGAAACAATTAGTTTACGGTATCGAACGGTGATTTTGGGTCGTTCATTTGAATTCCAAGCTTGGTAGTTTATATCAAAGACAGTTTTTTAAGAGACTAGTTAAAATTAATCAATTCGGAGACACGCTATAGAGATTTAAAATGCTTCCAATAGTGCTGCAACAAGGTCAAGACAACCCCCAGAATGAGGCAATATTCAGGTCAGCACCAATGACATTGGTTCAGTTTTATGTGACTATTGAGCTAGCTCGAGATGTTGTTTATACGTTAGGAAAACTCGGAGATGTTCATTTCAGGGATTTGAACTCGAAGTTGACACCGTTTCAAAGGACATTTGTAAACGAGTTACGGGGCATTGATAAAATAGAATCACACTTATCGTTTTTACGGAGCATGATGGACAAATATGATACTTTAGGAGCAACACCATATCTGAGTTTACAGGCTGATCAAAGACCCTTACCATCTGCATCGGAAATGGACAATACCAGAGCTGAGGTTACTACATTTTATGAAAGAATCAAACATCTTGATAACTCATATAATTCGTTGGACCAGCAAAAGTTCAAATACATTGAAAACCGGTACGTGGTCACCGCTGTCAATCGATTCCATTCATCGTCTTTGGCGAGAGTGGATGACATTGATCAGCGTTTTGCAATTCATGGTGATACAGATGATGAAGATAATGTAGCGTTGTTGAACAATAGAAATAATAGCTTGGAGGATCCAGTAATCGATGCTGCCATTCTCGAAGACTCAGGCTTTAATTCCATTTCCGGATCTATAGCAAGAGAAAAAGTGCCTCTCCTAAGAAATATATTGTGGAGAACATTGAGAGGTAACTTATTCTTTCATGATATACCCATAGAAGACGAAAAAATGTCCAACTTTAGTGTGAAAAATCCCGAATTTATAGACAAAAATGTTTTTATGGTATACATACACGGGGAGTTTTTGAAACAGAGAGTCAGAAGAATTATACAATCTCTAGACGGGATAATTTATGATAATGTAAATGGAGGATCCAGTGCAAGAGCCGAAACCTTGACTGACTTGAATCACAAAATTGAGGATTTAAATAATGTTGTGCTGAGCACAAGAGAACATTTAATAGCTGACTTACTCATTTTCCAAGAAGGCTATCTCGATAGATGTTATTTAGTTCAAAGGGAGAAGTTCATATATCAGACTCTAAACAAGTTTGATATGGATGGTACGAGAAGGTGTCTCGTAGGAGAAGGATGGATTCCTAAATCTGATTTTTCAACCTGCCGACAAACATTGAAAAACTTAATCCACCAAAAGTCCCGTCACGTTATACCAGAAAACAACTCTCAGGAATCAATTTCTTTATCTGCTGAGAATACAGATACACGAACAACCCCTGATCCAGAAAACTCCGATAATTTATTTGCAATTGGTGATGCAAATGTAGATGATACTATAGATGCAGAAAATGAAGATTACAATTCCTTAGTTGCAGTCGTTAATGAACTTTCTACAAACCGTACTCCTCCAACCTATCATAAGACAAATAAGTTCACATCTGCTTTCCAACTGATCATTGATGCATATGGTATTGCTACTTATCAAGAAGTGAATCCAGGACTAGCAACGATTATCACTTTCCCATTTATGTTTGCTATTATGTTTGGTGACTTAGGGCATGGGTTCATTGTATTCTTAATTAGTTTGTATTTGATTAAGAATGAATCTCATTTTGGCCCAATGAAGAACAAGGATGAGATTTTTGAAATGGCTTTCAATGGTAGATACATTGTTTTATTAATGGGATTTTTTTCTATGTACACAGGTTTCATTTATAATGATATTTTCTCGAAATCAATGAGTTTTTTCAAATCTGGCTGGGAATGGGAGTTCCCAAAAGATTATGATTTTGGAAAGGATGGTCCAGTTACTCTTATTGCTAAGAAAATACCAGGACACACTTACATTTTTGGATTAGACTGGGCATGGCATGGATCTGAAAATAATTTGTTGTTTACAAATTCGTATAAGATGAAATTATCTATTTTGATGGGTTTTATACACATGAATTATTCGTTATTTTTCAGCTTAGTAAACTATAGATATTTCAAATCTAGAGTTGATATTATTGGTAATTTTATTCCAGGGTTTTTATTTATGCAAAGTATTTTTGGTTATTTGTCACTTACTATTGTATACAAGTGGTCTGTTGATTGGATAGGTAAAGAGAAGCAGCCACCAGGATTGTTAAACATGTTGATTAATATGTTCTTGGCACCTGGTAATATAGAGGAACAACTTTATCCAGGCCAAAAATTTGTCCAAATTGTTCTTGTATTGATTGCAGCAATTTGTGTCCCTTGGCTTTTACTTTATAAGCCAATGACATTGAAGCGTCAGAATAATAAAGCCGTAGAGCTAGGATATTCCGATTTGCATTCCCAAATGAACCACAGTCTCCAAATGCACGAAGAAGAAGAAGCAATCATGTTGGAAAATCAATTGAACAATGATCCTCCTGATGAAGTAGATATGTTGGATGACAATTTTAGATTCCCTAATGATGTTGAACCATTATTTCATAATTCTGCTGCTCATTCTGATGATCATGATTCATTCAATTTTGGAGATATCGTTATTCATCAAGTTATCCATACAATTGAATTTTGCTTGAATTGTGTTAGTCATACAGCTTCATATCTTAGATTATGGGCTCTATCTTTAGCCCATGCTCAATTGTCAACAGTTTTATGGTCAATGACTATTCAAAATGCATTCGGTACTTACGGTGGTTGGGGTATATTTATGACAGTAGTATTATTTGGTATGTGGTTTATTCTTACAGTTTGTATTTTAGTTTTGATGGAAGGCACTTCGGCTATGTTGCATTCTTTAAGATTACATTGGGTTGAAGCTATGTCAAAGTTTTTTGAAGGTGAAGGTTATGCATATGAACCTTTCACATTTGAGTCGATTGATATATAAATTATAAACTAAGTAGTTTGAAGCACCTGTGCTTTAGAATCCTTCTTGTTCTGGTATATATATAGCTCTTTTTGCTTAGCTATTGACTTGTTTCGTTAAATAGATACTTTTTTTCATAGAGCTTTCCATGCTAAAATTTCCAAGACATTTTTCCCTTCTCCGTTGCCACGATTAGCCTTAATGCCACTAGGCAAACTGCGCTTGATAATAATAGAATTCCATTATAAATAATTGGGTTCCTATAATCACTTGCTTTGAGGCCTTGGTTGGTAATCATCAAACCAGCTAAAGGGGAGCCTAGCATACTTCCGACACCTCTACTGAAATACATTAAACCACTCATCGATTGATAATTTACCACTCCGAATAATTCAACAAGACATGTTGGTAGCAACGATATTATAACACCTGAAAAAACGCCATAGAATATAACAAATGAAATGTAAGCATCTCTTGCTTGCACCATCCATAGTGTAAAAATGGTAATAGCGCTTAAAATGCTACATACAATAATTGTATTCATTCTTCCAAATTTATCACCGACATATCCCAAAAGAATTTTAAAGCATGCATTAATAGCATTATTCAAACCAATAAACAAGGCGCCTTGGTTGTAACTGAAATTTAAGGTTCTTGCATATTTCGACATATAAATTAATGGAATTAAATATCCCGCTGATTGTAGAAGACCGCCTAAAATAATAAGCAATACCTTCCATGAACCTAACTGACGAAGGTTAAATAGCTTGTTGTTAGTTCTAAAATTGCTAACATTAGGCTCCACAACCAAAAAGCTAGCAATCACCGTTAAAATTAAATTCATAAAGCCAAGTGCTCTAACACACCATTGCCAGCCAACAATTTCAATTAAATACCGACTAATATTGGCCATTGCTAATCCCCCAAACCCAGTTCCACTGAATAATATTCCCATGGCAATTGCTCTATGACGATTAAAATAAAATGGTGCACATACAACTGGTGGTAAGTAAAGAAGACTTGAGCCTACGCCAAACAACAAGCCTTGTGCTAAAACAAATTGATAAAGCTCGCTGCAAAATCCCGTAAGAATTAAGCCAAGAGACATCAGTACGCTTCCAATTAACATTATATTGCGTGGTTTCAAATAATACATAATACTCTTGTTAAAAATACCACACAAATATGTAAGTGCTGTACCTAAGGTCCCAACTATTGCAACTTCTGAATCTGAATAATGCTTCAAAGGTCCATCTTTAGAAGTATAGAATTCTTGAAAAACCCCATATGAAAACCCTATCCCAAATGTCATAAAGTTACAAATAAATCCAGCTATTACTACTTTTATACCATCCTTATTGTTAGATATTGTTTCAATAAAATCCCATTGCTTCGATGCTATATCATCGTTGGGTTCTTCTTCGGATCTTATACTATCATTCATTTCAGTGTCATACACTAATTGTTTAGACAATTATCGTCATAAATTCTCAAAATTCCGCAAGTATTTTGGGAGTGAGTGCCAGTTCATGATGATTCATTTTTACAAAACTTGTGAAGTACAAAGTGCTAATGCACAAGTGAATACATATATATAAGCATTAAACTATTAGCAAGAAATAAACTTAAATAAACATTGTAAAAGCAAGACCATATGAATATTAAACCATATACAGAAAAATTAAGATAGTTTTATTTATCTTCTCTTTCTTCATCATTCTCATCGCTTAAGACACCATTTAAAATTAAACCCTTAGAAACTATCAAATCGGATAAATCACATCTCAAATTATAGTCGAGAAATTGCTTTTTGTCATCATTGATCCATAATCTTGTAATTCTTATTAATTTATCCAAAACATTGGAATTTTTAAAATCGTCAAAATCTTCATTTTGATCAATTAACTTGGTAAGAATTTTTAATAATGCTGTGAAAGATAATAAAGATAATGTTGCTTGTTCTGTAGAAAAATTCAAATATTTTAGCAACTCTTTTGAATTTGTTTTATTATTGTGGTGATAATATAGAATTAATGAACTTGCCAAGATGATAAATTGTTCCTCTGAAACTAAACTTAATGAGCTAATTAGAGACTTGCGTGAACTTATCTTCGAATTTATTTGTGTCTCAGTCTCAGCAGAGTAATTGGTTGTCTGGTCTGTTTCATCGTCTTCTTCAGAGAAGTCAGATACATCTTCATTCATTGATTCGCTCTCTTCCGTAGCATTTTCGAAGTTATATAACCTTGCATGAACATCAGTTTCAATTCTTCCTAATAATTTAGGTGCCGACTGTTCCTCAACCACACTTTTGAATAGAGAAAAGTATTTTCTCAAGCTTGTAGTAGACGTATCATTTAACAAAATAGCTTCTATTTTATTAACATCATCCGTTATTTGTTTGAAGACCTTCGATTTTTCTTGAGTATTTGAGGCCATATTTTTCAAATAGGCCAAGTTCAATTCATGTGTGATTTCCAAGATTCTCCAAGTAACAATAGTACTATAGTAATCATGCCTATTTTCTTGGAAAAGCTCAACATACTTAACCTTATTCTGGCCATCGTAGACGTCTTCATTAATATTTTTATGCTCTGCTATATTAATAAGTCTCTTCAATAAAGAAGCGGAGCCTAGCATAGAAATTCCATCTAAATTATGAATCAAGTCATTTAGCTTCATCAATGACTGATTATCACCTTTATATTTGAAATTCAATAAAAGCGAGCCTTTTAAAGTCATGTTGTAATTAATAAACTTGGATATTAACGGAAATTTGATACTTAATATAGTTCCAACAATTAAGTTTAGGAAGCAGAGTTCGAAGGTTGCTTCGCATGATGTTAAATAAATATAATACTTAAGAAGATTAGTCCACGAGAATTCTTCCTCAGATTTTCCAGATAGTAAAAGCAAAATATTATCCACTTTCTCTTGCTCGAAAGAATGTGGTAACTGAAGTCCTAAACTATTCAAAAGCCAAAACTTCAATATCCTAATGGTTCCTTCATCTGATTTTTTATCATTTTGCATTGTAATAAATAAGTTTGGTAGTATTATGCTAGCAAGAGATCCAAAAACCAATAGCACTTTTAATAAGCTCCACAATTGTATAGTCATTTGATTTGGGTGCGTTATGAAATAAGGGAGGAAGCCTGAAAACGGTAAAGCAGATAACCCTTTAAACTCACCACCATTATCAGCCATCAATGAAGTTCCCATAACCGTTGCCAAGCTACCAAGTAAAATTTTATTGTAGTTATAACTTGGATTTGTAGCACCCATACCAGCATTTTGGTTGTTGAAGTTAAAAGAGCCACTACCGAAATCTTGCCCTGGTGTCGAATTGAAGCTTTGCTCATTCTGGGGAGGAACATAGCCAAATCCACCTCTTTGTGAAGGTAACGCTTGCTCTTGGGGTATTGGCTGAGAACGTAAATTAGCCTCTTGGATTAATTTCTGCAATTGAGTATTTTGTTCTTTCAATATATCATTCTTCTGTTCTAGATGTTTAATGTATTCAGTGGCTTTTGTTAAAACACTTGCTTTATTCAATTTCGAAGCTGGAGTCAATCCTTCTAAGTCTGCCATCGAAACATCTTTGTTCCCAGCTACGATTCTTAACGAAGGAACTGCATCTCTCAAAGCCAAAATCTTGGAATTTATATTGGTACGATACTTCTTTTCAATCATATTATGGCTGCTTTTATCTTTTTTATGTGGCTTAGTGACTTTTGCACTCTTCGAAGTAGACAAACTTTTCATTTTCCCACTTGCATCTTCATTTTCTTCAATCTTTACTAGCAGCTCAGGTGAAGTATGTGCCGATGTCAATGAGTGTTGGCTAATTGGAGTCATTCCATTGTTCGTGGAATCTTGCGAGTATGTCCCGCTTGACATAGATGAGGAGATCAAATTATTGGGTGCTTTCATATCTGTTCCTATTTTAGAATCTAAATTGAAGTAAGCATTATCACCATCACCATTATTTATACTTGGATTGCTATATTCTTGGTTTATTATATTAAAATCATCACCACCTTTATTACGAAATATCTCATTTTGGTTAACACCTTCTGACGCCCAGTTGCTATCAACAACGATAGAACTCTTAAACTGCTCATCTTCACTCAAAGGTGAAAGAGATGATACCGCCCCCGATATGTTTTCAAGAAACTCATTAGCGTTATCAAAATTATAAAATTCGTTATCAAACTCGAACGTATTTGTTGTCGTCATAACGCTATCTGAAGATATTACCCCTAAAACCTTAGTTTATATGAATTCTTATTCAAGTTTTTATCCTAGTATGATTGTCTTAGACTAAGAAAATAATCCCATGGAAAAAAAGACCATTATTAAGTCCTTCATAAAAAAAACCACCTGTTTTTCTTTAATCTTATGCAAGTGCCCTGGCTATCATCGTTTAAAAAAAATCAGGCGATTTTTTTGAAAACGAGTGAGCGAGTGTTCATTAGCCTCATTAGCGGAAACAGAGATTTAATTTGAGTCACTAATTGTATATTACTGCTTCTAACATTCTAATAGTAGAGAAATATATAGCAAATAAATGTTTTATAAATCTATATAGGAGGTAAGGCATTCCGACACACCGGACATTGTAGTTTGTATTTCATCCAATCTTCTAAGCAATCAGTATGAAATATATGACGGCATGGGGTTATCATATATTGCTGGCCTCTTAACTTATCCGTATGTTGCCTATTTGGTCTCTTTGATTCGGGGTTTACCCCTATTGGCAACTCTATTTCATTCATACAAATTGTACAATCGACTTTACAAGTTATGATATCCGATTTTGCAGGATCTTCATTTTGAGCTCTAATATTGGATAAAATATCAGAGGCAAATCCATTTTCCAAATCTGATATGTTCAAGAATGGATGGTAATCATATGCCTTTGGTAACCACTTTTCATTAAGCCAGAATCTAGGGCCGAGGATTTGCTGGAGACTTAATAATCCAATTTGGAATGCATACCAGAGGGTTATAACCATGGCCATGATTGGATCGTAATGATGTCTTAGCGGGTTCTGTTCATAAAGACACAAATACCAAATTGGCAGCAATCGAATCAACGACGTCCCGAGGATGAATTCCCAAGAGAACGTCTTTCTTCTATTCTTCAATGTATTTCTTAAAAACTGGGGTATCCAGTACGAACTGATAGCTAGCAAACCAACGTATTCAAATATTTGACGGTACTTTACTCTCCAGGTAAATACGTTTAGGATGAGAAACGTAGCGATAATCGTTAAAGAAAACCCACTTGCAAACAATCCATTTGAATATCTTGCTTCATCATTAGCTCCAGGCATTGGGGCTGCAAGTACAGGTGCCGGTTCATTTGTGTCTTGAGTGTTCTCTTCACTAGCACTATCAGCATTACTATTTCCTCTCTCGTTTCTGCTTACACTTCCTCTTAAAACTTCCCACCAGGTAGTACCTCGCTCATTCCCTTGGTTTACCATCACACTCACAATGAATCTCATTTCAAAAACTCCGCAAGTAATAAAAGATATTACTGCAACACATGAGAACAACAAGTATAAACTCTCTGTTAACGTTGATATTAACAAAAAGAACAATGCAATTAATGAGTCCTGAAATCCAATAATGGATAATGTTGATGTTGAAATGTTGGACAATTGACCTGGAGTAGTGGTATCTTTTATTTGTCTAATAAAGATGAATAACTGTACCAGAACTAAAATCAAAAAAAAGATCAAGATCTTCTTAAACTGCCTATCAGTGACCTCTATTTTGTTTCCTTGGAGCTTGGTATCTGCTTTTAAATTTATCGTTATTCCGCAATCTGGAGAATACAAGAGGGCACTTTTAACTTCAATTTGAGGTATCTGTTGTGGTATTGGTATTCCACTAGGATTCATTAACTCTTCATCAATGTCTTGTAATTGTCTCTTCAGGTATTCTGTTTTTTCAAATTGTAGGAAAGTTAAATACTCACATTGTTGGAGAGACCTAGTGATATCTGAATTCATTTCATCCATATTAATATCTCTGTCAATATCCGTGATATTCAAAAACTGGCTCATAAGTAATTTCGACGTGTTGAAGCTATCTTCGCCCATAGTAAAATGAGGTAATGCATGGAATCCCGAAAACTTCGCTGAGCTTGTGCTTGCAACCAACGATCCTGTTTTCTGAAAATACACTCCCAAAGTGTTTAATTCGTGTCGGTTAATCTCGGGGTGGTCGACTAAATTTAGTTTCACCTCTACCAATACAGCGTCATTTATACTGTCTTTAGTCTTATTATACAAAAATCTGGACATCCCTGGATGCCGATAATTATAATCGAAACTCTTTATGGACAAAGAAAGTTTGCCTGAATCTTCTGTAAAGTTACCAATTTTATCTGGGACAGCTCCAATGTCGTCTGGTGGTGGATTATTTTCAGGATCTTCGTCATATCTTTCTTTTTGTTCCTCCCTTCTTCCTCTGGTATATGAATCAAAGTACTCCTGTAAGTACGAAGGAAGTGGTAGAGTATACTTTTTTAATTGTTTTTTTGGCTTATCTACTTCAAATTCGCCGTGTGCTTTACCAGTTATGTTTAATAAATATGCTGGCGAATTGGTATCGGTTTCATCAATTGGATCATTTCCCCAAAACTCCTTCACCTTACCACTCACTTCGTTCGGAAATAATGAATATTTCTCGTCTTCAGCCCACGGTTTTTTCTTGCTATACTTACGAAATGGCCAATCCAGAACATTTTTGTTATCAAGATTATCAACATAAGACAATTTTAAACCTGTTAAATTTCCATAGCCAGTATGGTATTCTGAGCTTATTAATTCCCGTTGATTTTGCTTTAATGATTCTTGGTATGTTAATAATGTGTTCTTATCTTTTGTTGAATGTGGTTGATCTGCCCCATTCGGCAAAGATAAAAAAATGAACATTATTATAAAGAATAATAATGTTTGACGATCTACCTGCATGCCGTTAGATGTCTCTTATTATTCTATATTTGTATGAAAGTGATATAAGATAAAATATAGTGGCAATTAAATTCAATTAAATGGTTCCGCAATAAAGAACAAAAAGATCACCAAAAAAAAACTCCTCAATAAAACTACAACTCTTTTTAATAATTACAGTTATATATTAACTTTGATACTCTAAACACCATGTAGCATTTGAATAATAGTTTTTAGATAATAAAATAGATTAACAAACAAATAAAAAGAAAGTAATGTCTTAAAAGACACCGAAATAAAGATTAACGATAAACAAGAAATACTAAATTATGAATAATGGTATAAATAAGTCAAATATTATTGAGTACAATGTAATTTGATATATTGGAATTATTTTTTGAGCGAAAATCGCTTGGTATGTTTCTGTAAGAATATAATTGCCCTGCAATCATTCGAAAGAACCATTAATTAATATTTTACATTCGATGTGTATATCACATGAAACCAATGGTAACAAATGCAGTAATCAAAACAACCATACTAGCAGAGATGAACTTCTTGTTACCATTGTTATTGAATTGTTGAACTTCAGCGCTGGCTGTAGAACTGGCAATACTGCTGATGGTCTCAGGTTCACGATTGTTGATGGTAACATATTGAGTAACAGTAGTTGGAACACAATCATCAGGTGAAGTATTAGCATTTACTGCAGTAGAAACACCAGCAATAGTTGTAGGTTCGAAGGATTCAGCGGCAGCAGTAGTTCTTGTGGCAGCGGTAGCATCATCGCTTGAAACATCCGCGTCGCAATCTTCACAATCTTCGCTGTCATCACAGTCATCATCGTCGTCGTCATCATCGTCATCGTCATCTTCATCACAGTCACAGGTTGGATCGCAATCTTCGTCATCATCATCTTCGTCGTCGTCGTCATCTTGACAATCGCCAGATGTAGATGAACCAACGATTGAACCTGAACTTGAACCGGATGAAGAACCGGATGAACCGACATTAGAACCTGATGATCCAGAAGATGATCCGACGTTAGAACCTGATGATCCTGAGGACGATCCTGAAGATGATCCTGAAGATGATCCTGAAGATGATCCTGAAGACGATCCTGAAGATGATCCTGAAGAAACATCTTCTTCATCTTCATCATCATCTTCATCAGTACATTCTTCCTCAGTTGAGCCTGAACCTGAACCTGAACTGGAACCTGAACTAGAACCTGAACCGGTACCTGAACTGGAACCTGAACTGGAACCTGAATTTGAGTCAGAACCAACTTCCTTAACTTCTGGTAATACAGTAGTCGTGACTTCAGAGACTTCACTAGTAATAGTACGACCATTTACCGTAACAGTAGTTGTATGTATGATTGTAGTGTAAGCAGTGCTGTATTCTGTCGTGTATTGGGTGGTTTCATCACAATAGGTTTCTTCATCATCGTCATTGGTGCTACCTCCCGTTGTATGGGTATCAGTGGTTGCAGATGGAATTCCAGTGATCGTACCAGATGGTTCTTGAGTGACAGTTCCAGTAGGACTCGTAATGGTTTGCCCGTCCGAATCAGTTGGCTCATCACAGTACGTCTCATCATCATCGTCGGAATTCGAAGGATTGCTGATGACACTATTACCTGAAGTTATTGATGGAGCGCTTGTCTTTCCTGATGTAGGAAGATTGGTAACGGATCCAGTAGGGTTAGTTATAATAGTTTGGCCGTCCGTATCAGTTTCCTCGTCACAATAAGTTTCGTCATCGTCTGAACTGGATTCACCAGAAGCCAGAGCAATACTAGTAATCGAAGAGCCAACGGTGTCTGACACAGAAACGTTCAAGGAGAGTGATGCAATAGGGATAATAGATTGTCCAGCTACTGTAGATTCCGCTGCAATCGAAGTAGCATCAGTTATAATTGGATCAATTGTTTGACTTGCAGAATCAGTTTCTTCGTCACAATAAGTTTCATCATCATCATCAGAAGATGCAGATGAAGCATTGGATGAAACTGAAGATGCTGTACCAGATGAGTTTCTTGAAGTTGTAGGTAAAATGTCACTAATGTCTAATATATTAGAAGTTTCATCTCCAGTATTAGAATTGATAGAAGGATCAGTACTAGTAGTTCTGAGCGATGTAGTTGGGTTCGTACTGGTAGTTCTCACTGATGATGTAAGTGATGGAGCGCTGATTGCAGTTTCACTCGCAGTATCGGTTTCTTCGTCACAATAGGTTTCATCATCTTCCTCAGTGGAGCCCTCAGAAGAACTGGAATCATCCGCAAGCAAAGCATTCAATCTGAATTTAGAACTACTTGAGCTGGAAGCAGAAGAAGCAGATGTAATAGTATTAGCTCTAGCGGTGGATGCTGTTGATGTTAAACTAGATGATGATATAATTGGATTGGAACTGGAACTAGAACTGGAACTAGAACTTGAAATAAGACTTGATGTTGGGATTCTTATAGCTGATGAAGAACCAGAACTTGCTGATGCCGCAGCAACATTTGCACTTACGCCAACACTGGCCTGGATATCAGCAGCAGAGCTAGCATTAGTCTCTTCATTTGAGCTACTGCTCGAATCAGATGCATCTGAGGAGCTTCCTTTTGAAATAAAAGAGCTAATTGAGTCTAAGAACGAACGTCCGAAAAGTTTTTTGGTTGCTTCATTTTTAGTTGGTACATTTTCAACTGCAGCACTAGCGATGGCCGAGTAGACCAATATGGTACCACAAACTGAAGATACTTTCATTACTTGATTATTTCTTAAGCTATATCGTTAGTCAAAATTGCATTCGATATGAAAGAAAACCACAGAAGAAAAAAAGCTTTTGACCCAAAACAATGAAATGGGCTTAAACCAAGGGTATCTACAAAATATATATGAATGCCTCCAGAAATCCTTAATGAAATTGGGGAAATAACTATACTGCTTTAGGTAATATGCAAAGCATTTCATTAACTTCGTTGATTTGCAATAAATTACTGTATTCATCGCTTATTATACCGTCTATTTTAGTTCCATGTTCGGTAAATTGAAAACTTATATGTGTGTTTACGATGTTTCTTTTACCCAATTAGGGAATAAAAATTGGAACATTAATCATTTCCGAAATAGGAAATTTTTTCAGATCGCATTATGTTCAATAGCCATTGCTATTAATGTTATGTTTCATTATAGAGGAATAATAGAAAGCCATTCGTAAGCCTTGATTGTAACGTATTCTTGTAATTAATTAGTTACCTAAATGTCCGTAACAGGAAATTTAATATTTACTATTTTTACGAAATTAAAGCAGGATACTATTATTAACATCCTCGTTTAATTTGAGTTACAAGTCTATTGACCAAGCTGCAAAGGGTTTAGAGGATTCACGTGAGTAATTATAGGCCTAGGTTTACCATGTCTAGTGGTAAACATGTATTTTACAATTGAGTGTTTATTTTGGTCCAATGAACTAGCCTGTGATTGCAGCATTTGCACCTGTGTGATCCAAATATCGTAATATCAATACAAAGCGATCTTCATATGCAACAGTCCAACTAGTAAATTTGTAAATATTAAACTTAAGCTCCTATTATGGAATAGCTACAATGGATAAACTGTTTAACCACGCGGATATAATAATATAAGAATTATGAATTGAATTTATACAAAAGGTATGCGAAAAGAAAGCGTAAAGCACCGAAACAAGTAATACATAGTAGAAAAGTAATAAATGTATATGACTAAGCGTAGTCAATATATTGGGAATCAGTTAATTCTTGTCTCTTTTTGATAGCAGACGCAATACTTCTCTTGATCTTCTTTTTTAAGGCTCTCTTCTTTGCCTTTCTCTTCTTGCTAGCAGGTGAACAGCAACACTTCTTACCAGAAGAAGAACTGGATGAGCTGCCAAACAACGAAGAACCACTGCTTCCTTTGCTAGTAGATGAGCTAGATGAAGAGCTAGAGTTTCCGTCGAATAAAGCATTCACAAATTCATTGACGATATTGCTTAATAATGAAGAGACACCGCCTTTCGCAGATCCTAACAAATCCTTGATAATCTCTTCGAAAAGGCTACTACCAGACCCCGAAGAACCAAAAATAGCCTCAGATGCTTTAGACAAAAGTTCATCGCCAGAAACGCCTGTTGAATTGGAAACACCAAGGAATGAGCTAAGAAGATCTCCCAAAATGCTACCTCCACTAGAAGACGAGCTAGACGAAGATGAACCACTAAATAATGAAGAAAGCGCGCTTTCAGCAATTGCGAAGATGCTCAGGAATAATCCCTTTCCAGAACCTGAGGAGCCACTATCTGAGAAAATTGACTTGATTGCCTTGGAAGCAAAACTGAAGATATCGTGTAACAAACTTCCACCAGAACTGGACGAAGTGGAGCTAGAAGATGATGTAGAGCCAGAACCCAAGCCATCAATGAAACTACCAATTTTGTTTTCAGCAATCCCTAAGATTTTGTCAATAAAGCTCTCACCAGACGATCCAGAAGAAGCATCACTACCACTGCTAAACAATGACTCAATAGCATGTTCTGCAATAGAAAGAGCTCCACTAATCAAACTTCCACCGGAGATAGATGAGTTAGATCCTTTGTCGAATAAAGATCCAATAGATTTTTCTGCGATTTCAAGAACATCGTCTAAAAGACTGTCACCAGAACCTGATGATGAACTGGATCCTGAGCTAGATGAAGAATTTGAATCAAAAAGATTGTCAATCGCATTCTTTGCTCCACTGATTATTTCATCCAAAAAGTCCCCGCCAGACAGGGAACTGGAAGTTCCATTAGAAGATGAGTCTGAAGAGCTGGAATCTCCTAACAATGAATCAAAAAGATCATCAAAAAGTGAGCCACCAGTTGAACTTGAAGATTTAGTGGTAGCAGTAGTAGTCGAATTAGAATCACTGTCACCACCACTCAAAACAGAATCAAAAATATCATCAAGGATAGAGCCACTTGTTGCAGTGGATGTGGATTTTGAGGTGGCTGAGGTAGCTGAGGTCTTGGTCGAGGAATTTGAATCAGCGTAGTCACCTTCACCTAATAATTTGTCAAAAAGATTATCAAAATAGGAACCAGTTGTCGTTGAACTACTTGTCTTGGTAGACGAAGTTTTCGTCACTGCTGATGACGTAGTGGACTCAGAATCATCTCCTCCTGCCAAAAAGTCGATATAATCCCCAAGTGACGGATCGTTTGAAGTTGCCTCACTTTTGTTGGTAGATGAAGTTTTTGTAGACGAGGTGGTATCATCTGCCAACAAATTTATCGATGTAGCAGTAGATGCAGATCCTCCAAGGGTAACGTCTGGAATAATTTCGGAAAGTGCTGGTGCAGCATTTACGAGCTGGGAAGCAAGTACTGAAGTTATAGCTAAGCTGGAAACCAATTTCATTTCTACTGATATGAAGAATCACTTGTTCCAAGGGTATAACGTAAGATAGAAATTAATATGAGTTTCCTTCAAATTTTCAATATTTCTCTTCCTTTCAAATAGGTGGGATTGTTTCCCCATTTTAAGTCTTAAATCCTAATATCTGAATTAGACGTTTTCTTCATTGTACGGCTACTTTAGTATATGTTTATGTTTTGCGAATGATACTTCCATGCAATTAATGAAATATGTTTCCTAATTAGGAAATGTTATTTGTGGGTCGCATAATACTTTACTTCTTTAGGAACTTTGTTTATGAGTTAAAAACTAATCCTTTTGTAAAGTACAAAATTAATAGGTTAATTGTTTGCAGAAGGCACTCATGTTACTTCATTTAATTTAATCACTAACCCATTTGGTATTTTCATACATCTGAAATTACGGCATTGCATTATTAGGAATATTTATGAAAAATGATGAAAGTTGCGAATAAATTGAAAAATATTAGATGCATAATTAAATTTCACAGCATATTTACAACTCAATAATGAGAGTTAATAACAATAACAATAACAATCATATTTCATAAATGAAGTATATAAGAATTATGAATTCAAAAAGAGTCTATTACTATTCACTGGGCAAAATTGTCCCTAAAATTTTTGTATTAGTCAAATGTTATGGCGGACATTGGATTTTTAAACATATCACCTAGTAATGTAAAAATAGCAAATTGAACTTGACTGAGACGTATATTGCATGTGTTCCATATAATTTTGTTGTACCTGTTATGAACATTTTGCACTGAAATATTTGTTCGCTACAAGACACGCCTACTTAAAAGGGTAACAATTGAATCTCAGTAGCCCAAACACATTTTTATTGTGAAAAATAGTAAACACTATCGATATACCTAGTCAAGACCATAATAGACCCAAATGGGAGGATTTCGACCAATTGTTAAATGTATGATAATAGTTATTTATGTTTCATAGTAGGATCAAAAGAACATCGGGTTGATTTGGTGTTTCACGTGATTTTAATATGAACTTTTTCGATTAGTTATTAGTTATTCGGCCTGAGAGGATTCTTATTCCATTACAATAACTACGCAACTATGAGACCATCATTAGTGAGACTCGTCAGACCCCGTCGTCCTGAACGCAAGACTTCTCCCATATTACCGCCTTTAAAGCTATACAAAGCTTTGTTGAGAGCGCATGCTCAAAAATTACCCGTTGAATTAAGACCGTTGGGAGACCAATACGTTAAAGCAGAATTCAAAGCACATAAAAACATTGATAATCCGTTACATATAGTTGGATTTTTAACGCAGTGGCAGGACTACTTAAAGGGTATCGATGGTGGAGAATGGATTAACGGCAAATTAAGTCAACAAGATCTTGATAAAATGTCCCCGGAACAAATAGGTCAGCTATACGAGCTTATGGAAGAGGCTAAGAGAGTCGGAGCTAGCGAATGATTCAAGTTCAGATTCCTGTAAATATTATACATATCAATATATATATCTTTATACATGTAGTAATAGAATATTATTTCTTATTTATTTATCATTCGTCTTTATCGTCATAGTCTTCTTCTTTTTCCCTTTCTTCTTCTTCCTCTTCATCAGGAGGCTTGTGTTGATTGACAAACTTAAACTTAGGTACAAAGGGAGGTTTTTCTATGTTATGTATTTCGAACCATTTCGGAATACACGAGCTCTTCAACCATGAGGCGTCTTTTTTAGTTTGACAGGTACATCTTCTTTGCTTTCTGATCTCTGGGTCCCAGGGGCAGTCACCGTTTGGTGAATGGAAATATCCTGAGTTATCCATATAAAACAATTCATCTTTACTTAGTAGTAATGAAACACCCATAGAATGAATCGGGGCATCACCCCAACGACTATAGTAGAATCCACCTGCCCTATCAATATGGTCGAAAAATTTTGAATATGCGTCCAGTCTATAAAAATCCATATCTCCTATTTCGAAATTCGACCAAAAATGACACATATTGTAAGTTACTCCTCCATCTTCAGTCAAAAATTCCATATTATTATCTTTGGCAACTAATTTTGGGTTTTTCCGAGAGAAATCCTGAACAGTTTCCCATAAGTTTGTAACAGTAGTGTGTAGCTCTAAAGGAGCCAATGTAAATGCATATTTTTTATTATTTTCTTTCATATATTTAAACCAATCTTGATCAAATATATCACACTGAAATTCAATTTCAGGCTCTACTCTCCAGTAGTATCTATACTTCTTCATTATTGGTAATCTGTAGAAGAAACCTGAGTTGAATCGACACATATGCCTGTATGATTCAGAGTCACCATACTTAACTTTATTTTGTTTCATCGTGTGTCTTGTTTCGTTTGCTTTGTCTTGGTCGATCCAATCTGGGTAGCTCCATATTTCTTGCGGTATTTGAACAAAATGGGCTTTGCCACTTACCAAATTTTCAATGACTTTTATGAATGTCGGATGAAATGGTTCATCATTAGCAAATACCCAATCATAATGATACTTGTTATTGAACCTGTATTCAACTGATTCTATAGCTTCGGCAATACCCCGAAAATCTTCGTTTCTGACCAAAGAGAAAAAAGTAGCGTTCTCCCTCTGATAGTTTAGAACTTCATCTGTAAAATTATTAGTAGATTCCCCCCTTGCAGCCCTTCCGACAAACTTGTCGTTGTAAAAGACCTTGCTTTCTCGAAATGGTATCAATGTATCATACCCCGGGTCCTGGGATAGCAACAGTTCTTGGTTATCTAATAGAAAAACACTCCCACGTTCTTTATCTTTTTTACGGATTGTATCTGTCCTTTCCATTTCTTCAACATTATGTGGATTATTTGCAAGATTTGGCATGGTACTGCTGACTTTGTTCAGTATTTTAAAATACGATATGCTGATTATTAAAAATAAACAAACTAATAATCCCAATCTCCGAAAGGCTAACTTCCTCTTACCATTTTGCAAGCCATGCATATTCTGCCATTGGAGTCTGTTAAAACAGAAATTAAGATAGAAGATGTTATTATTTAAGGACTCTAATGTTTAATATTTTGAGAAGAATCGGATAAGATGTTTAGATTTTTTCTCGCTTAGATTCGTGTGCAAAATTTAACGAGTATATTTCTATCAATGAACAGAGGCTACAGGAAAACGACAAATTAGATGAATTTATCTGTATTAATGTTAAATCTAAAAGTTGCATATATATTGTCTAACCAGTTTTACAAGCCTTTACCGTAGTTACCAGAAACAAAGAAGTCGAGAATAATTTTGACAATATCTTCCAAAGCTTTCAACCAAGCCTTTAATTGTTCTTCGACCTTGGTTTGATCTGCACCAAGCTTTTCAAAGAAGGCTTTTCTGTATGGACAAGCTTTCATTGCTAACTTGAAGATTGGCTTGACCAACATACCGTGATATTGTGACAAAGTTTTGGAGTAGGCATCTGTGAAAGTGACAGTTAATTCCTTAGAAGGATTGTCAATAGTCTCTCTCATGGCTTGACTGGTGAACTGTAAACCACGGGATAACCATAATAAACCTTGAGTAGCAGTTTTGGTCTTAGTGTTGGCTTCAGACAAAACTAAATCTTGCAAAGTACCAGAACCAGCTGGGTCAGCCAATAATTTAGTACGGATTTTAGTAATATTACCAGTCATATCCTTCTGAACAACCTGGAAAGCTGATGAACCTAACAAGTCAAATAATTTGACTAAAGATTCAGATGCTTCTAAAAAGCTGGCAGTATCAATCTTACCGTCAGTAACAGGAACATCCGCAAAGGACTTTTTCATTTCATCAAAGAATGTAGACATTTTTGCACTTGAGTTAAGATTATCGAAAATATGAAGATAAGTATATTATTAATGTCGAAAATACTATCAATAGTAATAATACTTGTTCATTTCTTCTAGACGTGTAGCTTCGTTGGTGTAAATCGAGAACACAAACACGTGACTTTTATTTTGATTTCTTAGTCCTACGGTTTTCTGCAATATAATACAACTAAAATATTAATACATAAGAGAAGAAGAAAATCGTTATCTATAAGTTTCACAGTAATCACCATTCTAACTTTTCTGCCCATCTCACCTTTTGCCTTTTTGGGGACTTTTTATTATTGGAGGTATTGGTTTTATCATTAGGTGAATCAGCTGGTTCGGTTTGGGAGAGTGTGGCTTGATTGACGACTTGTACGCCTAATGTATTTTGTGAAGTCAATTTGTGTTTGTAGTTTTCATATTCTTCTTTGTTGTAGAAACCTGGACGTTTTTGAGAGTTATTGGAAATTTGGGCGTCTGTAGAATAATACTTATTCTGGAATGCTTTTATGATTGCCATTTTTTGTTTCTGTTTCTTGGATGCCGGCCTCTGTGATTCTTCATTGGTTGGAATTTGTACTATTTCGTTTATGTGTTCCGGTAATGGAAATCCTTCACAGTTGGAAGCATTAAGTTCTGTTCCAAATTGGGTTGCATCGTTAATGAGGCCCGTCAGCGAATCAACGAGGTAAATATTAAGTGGTGACTTTTGGTATTTGAGGGAAGGCTTGAATGGTACAATTTCATCCGTATGACTTGGAGTACATATTCTTCTAGGTGAGACTGAACTGTCTTTCCTAACCATGAAATCATTTGCAGGCTTCTTTAATTCGATGTTTGTAACATTAGATAATGGCTTCAATACTGGTATTGACGATTTATTATATCCAGACCTCCTGGGGGCTTTGAAGAACACTTTATTGGATTTTTTAATAGAGTTGGTATCTTTGCTTCTAATAGTTTTCAACGGGTCAGGATAAGGGGTTAAATTTTCTTTGTCATCGTTCATGGCCTTCTTTCCATTAGCCAAGTAATCTGTAAGTAGCAAGTCTATATCGTCTTTATTTTCATCCACATCATGATGGTGCTTTTTGAATCGTCCCTTAAAAATGCCTGTTCTTACTTGATCATCTAATTCAAAATCTATTTCGTCTCCTTTATTTCTTAATCCCAATTCGTTTACTAATTTATCTATCTTATCATTATTTAATCTTTTTCCACAAAAGAGATCGTCATTCTCGTCATCTAAGCCAAAAATATCCGACTGATGATGTTGCTTTCCTGTTCGTAAGTTATTTGTAACTTGAAATAATTCATTGGCCACTATATTTGTATCATTTGCTTCAGGTTTAAGGAAGAGATTTGGTGAATCCAAGGATAGTTTATGATTTCCTTTGTTAGCTGTATTCATTATTAAGTGATTATTTTTTTTCATTGGACTGGTAACATTTAGCTTGCATGGATCACTGTATTCTGATTTATCCCTTAGCTCATCTATAGAAGTTTCCTGTGAAATAGGTATAACAGAATCCTCGTCAAGCAATTCTTGCAAATCTAATTTCAAATCGTCATTGTAGCTTAGGAATTCACCATTAAAACTGTCAAGGGATGAATTGAAGTCAACCTCATTAAATGAATTATCTCCACCCATACAGGCTAATTTGAATAGTCTCTAGCTTTGGTTTTTTTTATTGTTGATTAATATAAGCTGTACTCTTGTGCAGCTTTCGTATCTGTGTGAGGGTGAAGAGCTAGCCAAATATATTGCAATCTATTTTTTAAATTATGAAAGCAATTTCAAAGGCAATATTATAGCGATAAATGGTTATTGTAATTAGTTTTGTCAAAGATTAAGAATATAATATATATAAACGTTAGTGGGTTCACAAGAGTGTTATTCAATGATGTTTACAAAATAACCGAATCAAGTAGCGAAATTTGCAGTGACACAAAACTATAAAATTTTTATGGAACCATATAGCATTAGATTGAGCTACTATAAGAAATTACTGTATACAGCATAGACACATAAATAAACTATAATCCTAACCAATAAAACGTTTTTTCAGTAGTGAACCTTTCCTCAAGTAAGATATTGTCGGAACTGTTTCCAACTTGGACCGTGTAGTCCCCTTTTTCAGAACACCATTTATCTTTGTAAGTGTCCCAGAACGATGTGGCTTCTTTTATTGAAACATTCAATTTAACTGTCTTGGACTCGCCTGGGGCTAAATGGACCTTTCCGAATTCCTTCAATTCCTTAATAGGCCTTATTATGCTTGGGTTTTCTGGTTTGATATACAATTGAACTGTTTCTGAACCTTCAACCTTGCCTGTGTTGGTAATTGTAACTGATGAAGTAAGTAAGTCTTCGGTAGCAGAGACCTTCAAATCTTTAAAGTCAAATGAAGTATAGGATAATCCGTAGCCAAAAGGATATAACACATTACGCTTAACCTTCTCGTAGTATCTGTAACCAACGAAAACATCTTCTCCGTACAATACACGACCGTTAGTAGATGCAAAATTAACAAATGATGGAGTGTCTTCTAATCTCTCTGGGAAGGTCATAGACAATTTACCCGAAGGATTGACATCCCCAAATAAGACATCGGCGATTGAATTACCCAATTCGATACCGCCGTACCAAGCCTGCACCAATGCTGAGACCTTGTTGATCCATGGTGCAATAGTGACCGGAGTACCAGACTGGTTCACAACAATAACATTAGGATTAGCTTCGGAAACAGCTTTAATCAATTGTTCAGAATAGCCAGGAATATCCATGTTTGGACGATCAAAGCCCTCAGTTTCCCAGTCTTTAGTTAACCCAATGCATAAGATCACTTTATCAACTTTTTTAGCCAATTCTACAGCTCTTGAGATCTTCTCTTCTGGGGTAGTCTTCAAACGGGCTCCAAAATAAACACCGCCAGTTTCCAAGAATTGTCCACTAACAGATGAGGTTGGACAAGTTCCAAATTCAACTCTAACTTTATAATCATTTCCCTTCTTTAATTCAATTTCGGAAACCACTTCGTCTGTACCCATACCCAAGAAGAATGCGTTACCAGCTTTTTGTTTGGTCTTATTATCAACCACTAACTTATTATTAATAAAAAGTTGGGCAGTACCTAAACACGAACAGCCGAACTCATATGTACCTGTTTCTTCTGGTGAGAAGGTACCTTCAAAATCGATGTAAAATAAAAGCTGACCTGGTTTTAATTTGTCACTCTTAAAGTCAGCCAAGAAGACCTTAGAACTGTCCATATGCATTTTTTCGAACGGTTTTCTAGACTTTACACTTGGGTCTTCTTCATAAAAGGTGGCAGTCAACCCGGATTCTCCTGATTCAGTCTTCAAGAGATGACCAATGTCTGGTAAGGTTTTATCTAAAGAAGCACCAAGCTCATATTCTAATGAAACAGAGTTTCCGGCTTCTTCCAACTTTTCTTTGATTCCTTCGTATGGGGTTGTTTTGTAACGAGCATTTAAAGAAGCAGAGCCACCTCCTGAATCTTGAGAAGTTTTTGCATTTGGACCAATAATGGCAAATTTCTCGTTACCCTTGGATGATTGGTTAGATAACGGTAAAATATTAGATTCATTCTTCAACAATACTATTGATTCACCCCCAATTTTTCTTATAAAAGCAGAAGCTTCCTGACTTTCATTTGCAACTTCTGGTGCGTTTTCTGGAATTCCACTTTTTATAGCTTCGTTTACCATTTTTAAGATATAACGGACATTTTCATCAATCACATCAATGTGAATCTCATTAGAGTATACTTTATGGGAAGTAGGAATATCTTCACGAAATCTCGTAGGACCAGGCATTTCCAAATTAAGGCCCGCATCCAAAGACTCTTTAATTGAATAGGTACCAAACCAATCTGACATAACAGTACCTTCGTAGCCCCACTCCTTCCTTAAAATATCTTGCAACAATTTCTTTGATTGCGAAACATGAATACCATTGACCTTATTGTAGGCAGTCATCATTGATTTTGGGTTTGAGTCACGAAGAGCAATTTGGAATGGTTTCAAGTATATTTCTCTCAATGCTCTTTCTGTTATAATGGTGTCTACAGACTTTCGCTCATCTTCCAAGTCGTTACATACGTAATGTTTAATACAAGCAAGAATCTTTTCCTTGTTTTGAATACCTTGAATAACATGCGAAGCAGCATGACCAGATAACAAAGGATCTTCAGAATACGATTCAAAACCTCTTCCTCCTAATGGAGAACGAACAATATTACACGTCGGACCTAAAACGACATGAGTTCCTTTCATTCTAGCTTCCTTTCCCATTAGTTCACCGGCTTCTTCCAATAGCTCCTTATTAAATGTAGACGCCATAGCTGTCCCACAAGGGAATGAATTAGATGGAACACCATTGAAAAATTTGGTGCCCCTAATCCCATTTGGACCATCTGAGGTTCTAATTGAAGGTATGCCTAATCTTTTCACGGGCACCGTGTGCCAGAAGTCATTTCCCGCTAGAAGGGAGATCTTTTCCGATAATGTTAGTTCTTGAATCAATTGTTCAATATCTAACTCTGTAGTTGTGTCTCTGTCTTTTGTCATGTTGTACTTTTTCTTTATAATACAATAATTTTTTCATTAAACCAGTGGAAGAGTTATCAATTTATATTGCAATTTAATTAATAAAAGTTGTTGGTTATCTTGCGGGGGGCATTCAGTAATTGAATACGTATGTATATAATCGTGCTACAAGATCTATTGTGGGGATAATTTTTTACTCTGAGGCTCCGTTAAGGTTCCGTTTCCTATTCAGCTATAATCCCCCACTTTCTCGGTTGCCTTCCTCAAACAAGAAATTGACAGATCGGCTATACTTCTTAATTTAGAAAACACCATTTCGGAAAAACTGGGGCAAGTGCTCATTTATTAATTGTAGTCCGAATACCAAGAAACTTGGATTATGGATATCGATACAACTGAAAGGCAGAGGAAAAATTAATTAGACATATATTGAGCAAATGAAAACTAAATATTCGTATGTATTAGTCCAAACTAACTTTTATTAACTATTATCTCTGTAATGTAACTATTTAAGTTTCTTGAGGATAAATAAGGCCCCCTTGTCTTCTGATTTCGTCTAAAGTCCTGAGAATCAATAAACTCTCATCCAAGGGAAGAAGATCATTTTGGATTTTCCCTTGTGAAATATCCTCTGCGATAGCATCTGCCTCGTACTGAAATCCTAATCCATAGTCACCCTGAGATGGAAATTCCTTTTCAATTGGTTTGGATTCTTTATTCTTGAAGGTGATTTTATATTTCGTAGGCATTGATCCACCAATTCCGCCTATTTCGATCGATCCAAGTTCACCATCGATCTTGACAAAATTCTCCTGCGAATTGTTATACATAGTTGATGTAATAATTGCTTGCTTGCCATCTTCATATTTGAGCACTGCACTCGACATGCTGTCTATGTTATTCCTGAGGGTTTGTAATCCAACAACGTCAAATTTCTTGTGATTATCACCTAATCTTTCATCAAGAAATAATCTTGCGTACGTCAAAGGATAAATTCCAATATCTAAAAGAGAACCAGCACCAAGATTAGCATTTTTCAATCTGGAATTATCGGATAAGTTGTCCAACTTTTTATCAATTCCAAAATCCGCAAACATTCTATACACATCACCAATTATTTTTTCTTTCATAATCAAGTGTTGTAGTTCCAATATAATGGGCTTAAATCTTACCCAGACACCTTCCATCAAGAACACATTCTTAGATTTAGCTGCTTTGATTAGCACTTCAAAGTCTTTAGCATTAATAGTAGCTGGTTTTTCTACTAGGACATGCTTTCCCTGATCAATGGCCTTCAAAGCTTGTTCCTTATGAAATACATGCGGCAAGCCAATATAAATGATGTCAACGTCCTGTCTTGCATAAACTTCATCATATGATCCAATAAATGGTCTGTTCCTTTGTAATTTGTCAAATTTGTTAACAAAATCGTTCCCTTTCAATTCATTAGAAGAACCAATTGCATGAATTTCATGAATTCCTTTAGCGTCCTCTCTATTGAGCAAAATATCTCTTACAAACCAAGTGCTAATCAACCCGGTTCCTATAATCCCCCATTTCAAGGTTGGTAGTTGTTTATTCGATCCCATAATATATTAATAACAGTAGTACCTGATTGCATTGTGAATTCCAACTTTTTAACTGTTGGAAATAACCCCTTATATCTTTTGCGGAAATGTGTTTTTCGTTTCTTCTCTTGGTGGGGGTTGTCGTGACTCAAAGGCCTATAGTTTGAAAAAGAGGGTAGAAATAAACGCGCACTACGTTTTGATAGTAGGCTGCGAAAATTAACTCTGGACAATGGCTCCTTAGAACTTGTAACAACACTTATTTCAAGTCTTTGGTGACAATTTAGAATTAAACGGTAGCCAGCAGCAATAGTATACTCGAATGAGTCACAGAGCATATCCAAGATATCTACTTGATAATTCGGTATATTCGAACTACTGTCTCACCGTTTAAGAGAAAACTGTGTAGCCTCGATTAAGGTCATAGCTTTCATTCCTGACGACAAATGAGACACAAGAAGCTTACTATTCCATGCTAAATTATTTGCGATATTCTTTTTTTTTTCAACATATGCAATATCTCACACTCAAACCATTCACTATAGTAAAATGATCACTAAAAAAGCACTTTTTTACTTGAGCTTTTCTTAGGGATTAACTAATAACCCTTCTATCAACTCGGTAACCACTATTGTAGAAGGTACCGAAGACGATATTATAGATGTGCAAGCTTTAGCTTCAAGTGAAATATACAAGCGAACTTTAACTACAAAGTTCTTGGCAAGTAAAATTCTAACAACTCCTCAAGTGGAATGTATCATATTCCGGCTACGGAACTATTTTATGGAAACATGAAATATTTTGTATTCCGTTCCCATTATTATGTTGGTTATTATTCAATTGTGCAGTGACTAGTGGCCTAATTCCGCATTGGGAATGATTTCCGAGATATAAACCTATGTTCACGTTAATTTCGAAGCAAATTCTGATAGGGATTGCATGTTGTGTTCGGAGGCGGTCCTTGTTACATAGTATTCTCCAATAGGCATCATGTACGAATATACTTTAATTGTTCAATGTTCCTTCAACATAGTGATTTTGTTTATATCAACTTTTGAAAAACGACATCTTGGCTGAGCTCTCTAACTACCATGGCCAATCGATGATACCCCTTTTTACAAAGAATAAAAACGAATGTAGAAGTTTCAGGATAGATGTACTATCCAAGAAAAATCGTTAGATTATTCGACAACTAAAATGTTGACCGTTGGTTGTTATAATTGAGGAGAAAGATGTACAAGCCTAAATCTGCGATATAATTGAACTCATGGTTAAAATATCAATTAGTAAGTCATAGCAATTGTTGGCTAAGTAGAGATACAGATAATAGTACTCGAGGTACCAATTTAATCTTGTCGTATCTCATTGTTCTCGAATCTAAAACAAGCTGGAAAAATCAGGGACGTTTTGAGAATATTGACCGGTCGATATTTTATTGCTAGTAATCTATATTGTTTCGCACTTAACACCGCCATGCAATCTTCCCAGGTATAATTTAGGTTTATTTTTGGGGTAAATGACCTGTTGGGAAGTTTATCCGTGAAAGGAACAACAACTCATAAATCCGTCTGTGTTATTAGGAAGAAGTTGCAAATCATGATAATTTGCAAATGTGGAGGAAAAGGATATATAAATATTAAGTAAAAGAGACGATTGCAACTTAAATAATTGTTCTGTAGGAAATTTCTCTATAGTTGCATTAATATTGGGTACAGCTTTAATTCTAGTAATATAATTCTAAGTTGATAATATCTTTTTAGCAGCCAATCAAAAAAGAGGGCAAGAAGTTTCGATAGAGTATTTCAACGAAAATAATGAAGACAGAAGACAAGGAATTTGGAGTCTTAAAAGTAGAAACTTCGAAGCTATCCGAGAAGATAGAAGAACAAAAACAAATACTTCCTAAAGAGGGATCAATCGATGACTATTTGTATGAGGAACGACCATGGTGGAAGGTAAACTACTTGGTACAGTTGAATTTTTGTATATTTTTGATAACCCTTACTTCTACTAATAATGGCTATGATGGTTCTATGTTAAACGGGTTGCAATCAGTTCTGTATTGGCCTGATAAGATGGGTAATCCGCAAGGGAGTCATTTAGGTGCGTTGTCCAACGGTAATGTTTTTGGAATTGTACTATCCTTTGTGTGTGCATCTTGGTTGGCTGACAAGTTCGGCAGATGGCGTTGCATCTTTTTTGGTCAATCTATTACTATTATTGGATCTATTTTACAAGGTATTTCAACGAATTATGGATTCTTCTTAGGTTCCCGAATCATTCTTGGTTTCGGAGTTGGTGTTGCAACCGTTTCCAGTCCTTCATTAATCTCTGAATTAGCATATCCAACACATAGAGCTACAGCTACTACATTTTATAATGTTTGTTGGTACTTGGGTTCAATAATTGCTGCTTGGGTCACATATGGAACTTTGAACATAGAAAATGATTATAGTTGGAGAATTCCATCTTATTTGCAAGCTGCACTCCCACTCCTTCAACTTATCTTCTTTTGGATGGTCCCTGAATCTCCTCGTTACTTAATCGATAAAGATAGAGTCGCTGATGCTGAAAAGGTCTTGAGAAAGGCCCACACAGGTGGCGAATCACACGAAAGAGCAAATATGTTGATTAGTTTCGAAATTCAAGAAATTCAAGCAACGCTTGAGTTAGAAAAATTATCAAATAATTCCAAATATTCTGATTTTATTATCATTCCAGCATTTAGAAAGAGATTATTTTTGACAGTTTTTGTTGCAGTCATTATGCAATTATCTGGTAATGGATTGGTTTCGTATTACCTTAATAAGGTTTTGAATTCTATTGGAATTACGGATCCACATGAACAATTAGAAATTAATGGTTGTTTAATGATTTACAATCTTGTTATCTCTTCGGTAGTTGCTGCAGTCGCCGGTAAATTTAAAAGAAGAACAATGTTCATGACTTGTACTCTGTTGATGTTAGTCTTTTATGTGATTTGGACAATACTATCAGCTGTTAACCAACAAAGAGGGTTTGAACAGAAGTCGTTAGGCAATGGGGTTATTGCCATGATTTTTTTCTATTACTTGGCTTATGATATTGGTGCTAACGGCTTACCATTCTTGTATATAACCGAAATCATGCCCTATAGTCATAGAGCAAAGGGCTTGAATATTTTCACGGTGAGTCAAAATATTATTATTATTTTTAATGGTTTTGTTAATCCTATTGCCATGGATTCTATTGAATGGAAATACTATATTGTCTATTGCTGTATTCTAGCAGTTGAAGTTATTACTGTTTTCTTTACATTTGTTGAAACTTCAGGCTATACTTTGGAAGAAGTAGCTAAAGTTTTTGGAGATGACCCAGGCCAAATCTTGACGCATCTTTCATCGGCACAGCCAAAGCCCGAAGTTAAGTACATAGAAAATGCTTAGACTTTTCACTCTCTATTTCAATTCTAATAAATTTAAAACTCGTTTTGTTATTGCAAACGTAAGACTTTATTGTATATTGTTTACGAACCGTAGTAAGAGCAATAAGCAAGGGAGATAAAGGCGTATGAACCACCATATATGGTCTTGGTAGTGTGCCAAAAATCCACTCCAGCTAAAAAGGAGATTTTTTCGGATAGTGTTAAATCTTGAATCAATTGTTCAATATCTAGCTCAGTCATAGTGACAAGTTTACTGAGTTTAAAGTTAACAAGTAGAAGGCTATGATGTTTGTGAAACAATAAGCTTTTATGTCAAGTGCTGCGATTTCGAACGTTGAATGAAGATATTTTCCATGATTTTATAGTTACAATATAATGTGGGGATAATGTATGAATTAAATGTCTTGATTTAATGTTATGTTTCCCCATTTAACTGAAGTCTCTAACCGATTCACCTTCATGTTTTATAAATAGTTTAGGAAGGAACTATTTCGTTATTGAGAAAAGAAGAACGGAACCTGGTTTCTCCTTGATATATTTTTCGCACTTCATGGTCAATATTCGAATTTTCTTCTACATAGGCTTGTTAGACTGAAAAAACCATGGATTTTGTCATTAGAATATAAAGGTTTCTAAGATTATCTAATGCAAGTCTAACTTAAAGCAAAATGAAAGCAAGTTTCATTTTATAAGATGGTATCGAATATGATCAAAATAGTTTGTTAGATTAAAAAGGTAAGCGATATTCAAAACACGTATCAAGTATGATTCTTCATAACATGATAAGGAAACTTCTAGATATTAACTTTCAAATCTTACTATGTACGAACCGGTTATCCACAAAGGGGCTGTAAATGTATAATATGAGATTTGCAACAAAAAATAAAGGTTTCTGTTTGAAAGTTGTTGAGAAGTTCATGAGTTATATTATAATAGAAGACATAGCTTAGATTCACAAGGTCGAGCTTTTATGCTCTATTCATTTTAATTAGATCTTTCTTGGTTGCAATTTACTTAAAGATATTATTCTGCAAAATGGCTACTTATAAAATTCATAAAACGGCTTATTTTAAAAATGAAGAAGGTACTACTTAGAGGTCTCGTTTAAAAAACTATATTACATATCTTCCATAATGTTGGGTAGGTTACTGTTGTTTTCATTGTAAATATCATGAGTTTTTCCACGTTATGGCGCAGATTCAAATCCTGGATCCACTTCCAATTGTGGAAGAACTTTCGTATTCACTTACTAAAACTTGCTGTATGCTCTCCGGATTTTTAAACAATGCAATACGCTTGGCCATTTCAATTTTGCACTATATTTTTTCCTGTGCCCATTTCCGAAATATAACTATTTTGTATACACGCTGGCGTGCAAAAGATGGGGTTTCCTTTGTATAGATCTGCCTGGTGTCACTAGCGCGTTCATTCTACATTCACTAGACGCATCAGGAGATTATAGACTGAATATATTTTCTTGATTTTGAATAGAATCTTCAAAAAAATACTCGATTTCTTTTTACCTTGCAATTATATTTTTTTTACTTCTATTCTTTTAATTGCTTGAGATATTAACACGAATTTTTTTCTTTCTTAAGTTCCGAAAATAAATGAGTGAAAATGAAAATGCAATATAATACGAAACATTTTCAATTTTTGTGGCCGAGAGTTGTTTGATGCCGGCCTGATTCATCACTCCTAACCTAATGCGTTGATGGATTAATTACAAGCGCGCGAGGTTTTCCAAAATAGGGATGGTTTCCGAGAAGTTTATAATTCGACAGTCTTGAAGTTAATCCATGGTGGGGCACAAATTGACAAAGTAGAGGAGCAAATGCACCAACTTTAAATACATAGGATATCCGAATTATTATGATCTACTATATAAATAATAGATTTGCACCCAAAAATAAACGAAGAATAATTTGAGAAGCATTCCAAAAGACTATGAGTATTGATATTAAAAATACAGCCGCTGAACAGCTCACCACAGAAGAGAATTCAGAAAAGGATATTTACTCTGTGACAGGAAGTAATAAAGATGGTGTTAGTTATAACGACATACCATGGTATAAAGTTCCACACTTACGCCAACTTAATTTCTGCGTACTATTAATTTCGTTGTCATCTGCCACGTTAGGGTATGACAGTTCTATGTTGAATGGCTTGCAATCATTAGCATATTGGAGAGACTACTTGGGAAACCCCACTGGTACAACGTTAGGTGCATTAACGAACGGAACAATTTTTGGTTTTATTATAGGGAATACAATAGCGCCCTATGTTGCAGACAAATTTGGAAGGAGAATTGCTATTATTTCTGGTCAAATTATTATTATCATTGGTTCAGTTCTTCAAGGTGTTTCGACCAATTATGCATTCTTTTTAGTATCGAGAGTAATCTTGGGTTTTGGATCTATACTTACAATGGTCTCGTCTCCGTCACTCATATCCGAGATTTCTTATCCCACTCATAGACACGTCACCACAACTTTCTATAACACAAACTATTATGTTGGCGCAGCTATTGCTGCCTGGGTTACATTTGGAACTAGCACTATTGCCAGTAACTATTCTTGGAGAATTCCTTCGTATTTGCAAGGAGCCATAGCACTCATTCAAATTTCATTATTTTGGATGGTTCCAGAATCACCTAGATACTACATAAGCAAAGGAAAAGTTGATAAGGCACAGGAAGTTTTGATGAAAAACCACATAGGAAATTCTCAAGATCCTGGAGATATTGGACTCGTCAAGTTTGAGGTAGAAGAGATTCAGGCTGCTTTAGAAATGGAGAAAATATCCGCAAACACAAGCTACATTGACTTTTTGAGAACTCCAGCCAACCGCAAGCGTCTTTTCATTTGTATTTTCATTGCTATTTTAATGCAGCTTTCTGGTAATGGTCTAGTTTCCTTTTATTTAAGTAAGGTGTTGAACTCAATTGGTATTAGCGATGAAAAAGAACAGTTAAAGATTAACGGGTGTTTGATGATTTACAACTGGGCTACAGCCGTCGCTGTTTCTTTTTTCGTTAATAGATTTAGAAGAAGAACATTGTTCATGACTTCAACAATTTTGATGTTGTTGACATATGTTATCTGGACAGTATTATCAGCGATTAACGAACAGCGTGACTTTAAAGAAGCTTCCTTAGGTAAAGGAGTTCTTGCTATGATATTTTTCTATTACTTAGGATACAACATGGGAGCAAATGGATTACCTTACTTGTACTTAACAGAAATTTTACCTTATAATCAAAGAGCTAAAGGTATCAATCTCATGATGTTTTTTTATAACATCATTTTGATATACAATGGTTTTGTAAACCCAGTTGCTATGGATGCAATTTCTTGGAAGTACTACATTGTATATTGTTGTGTTATAGTATTTGAAATAGTTGTTGTTTACTTGTTTTTGCCAGAAACCTCTGGATACACATTAGAAGAAGTTTGCCAAGTTTTTGGCGACAACCCACAAATGGTTGCAATCCCAAAGGCACACATCCCCAAAGTAACTACTGAGCATATCGATGTAGTATAGAAATCGTTTCCATATATTTAATTAGATAGATCATGAGGATTTCCGCTTCATAAAAATATAAATAGAGATAATTATTTTAGTAAATAGACAATGGATACCTTCAACATGAAGAAATATATTTACCTGAGATAAAACGCTCCGATACAGGTCTCTACTTAAAATTATAAATTCATGATAATGAATAGCTAAACAAAGAAAATTAAAATTTAATAGTCACTTAAAATGCTGTTCAATTCTTCTCTTTTTTGAACGTTTTCGAATTTAAAACAAGCTGCTAATTCATCTAATTCATCGAAATTTAAATCTTTAAAGTGATCTGCATATTCGTGTTGCGCATATTGACTAAACAACATTTCATTGGTAACTCTGGCAAGATAGTCTCTTATTGTCCAATGATGCGGGTAAAGTGCCTTATGGTGTTTTTCAGGAATATTGGACAATATATGGTTTTCTAAGTCAGTATATAACTTGGCATTCTTTGGATCAATATCATTTCCCCATCTATCAAGACCTAAATCTTTCTTCTTTGCGAGCCACTTCCCAAAAAGTTTGTACCACTTTGAGTCTGGGGATACATATGTCATACCCTGAAACCCAATATCCTTATACAACCAGATAGACCAACTAATGGGAGAATTATCCCCTGAAGGATCTCCAGTTTTATATACTTCTAGTTGATCCTTTAGAACTTGATAGCGTGCTGAATTAATCGAGTCAGGATTTTTGTCTCCTCTAAAATCAGACGCATATACTGGACCGAACTCTCCATTCCAAACAGGGACATTACGATCTCTCATATACTCAATTTTACGTTCAAATTGACTTTTGAGCTTTTCTTTTTGTTCCTTATTTCCTTTGTATAAATCCTCGTCGTTTGAAGGGAAACCAAAGAGAGAATAATCGTGAATAGCATATACCGTATTTGGTAGAACCTCCTTGGGGAATTGACGGAAATCCATGGCATAGGTATTACCATCGAGAAATAAAATATGGTTCAGATCAACTTTTCTTACTTCTCTTTCCAATCTTTCGTAGTATTTGACCAACTTGCTGTGATCTGAGACTGCAGGTTCATTTAAGAAATTATACCCTGCAACATATTCATGATGTTGATAATAGGTTGCAATTTTGATCCAAAGATTGACTATAGCATCTTGAAAAATTTTAAACTCCCAGAAAAGAGATTTATGGATTCCTGAATCACTATGCCAGTCCTGGTTTTGGCCTCCAGGAGTTGAGTGCAAGTCTAAAATTGTATAGATGCCATGTTTGGAGCATGTATCAATTATTGCATCTAGTCTTTTGAATCCTATGCTCTTCACATCAAACAAGTCCCCTTCATCATCAAGAAAATGTCTGTAATTGAAGGGAATTCTCAAACAATTCAATCCCAATTGTTTGAAAAACTTAGCATCATCTTCAGTCCAGAAGTATTCATAGAATTTATCAAAGAAAAAATCACATTTCTCCTTACCAATTGTATCTTCTATAACCTTTTTATGTTCGGTTTCATGCCCAGGATAACCAGTAATGAAGTTCTCCATATTAAGGTGGCCACCAGTAGCTGCACCTTTGAGAACTACTAGCTCTTCGTTCTCATCAACAATTTTCGTTCCTTTGACTTTTAAGAATCCCATTTTTTATTTTGAATTTTAATCTACTAAGTAATTGCAACTAAAAAAAAGGTGGTTTTTATGGTTTTTAAGTAGGCGATTCTATTCTCCCAATGATTGTTACCCATTTCTTGATAACATTCTTATTATACAATATGTGAGCTAGCTGTAATTTCTAACTGGAGTAAATAAGCCGGGGGATGCCAAATTTAAGGTTATACATCCATTTTGGGAACAATTACTGTTGAATGTATCTTAAATCTACTTTCCCCGCGATTATCGAGATTGGAGTTTAAGTTTGGAGTTCGGCTTAATATTCTAAGTCGATCAGGTTAAAAATAGTATACATGGCAAAATATACTGGATTACATACCATCATTAGGAAATCTATCCGAAAAATATCGAAAGTTAAAATTTGTATGCTCGAAAATAATAACATGTAGATCTGCGGGGGGATATAAACCTGAAGGATGGCTAATAGATTTGCTATGTATATGTTCAAAGCCTTTATGATTCGTAGGAAAAAATTATAAAATTCAAAAATCAATTTAATGATTGAATTAAGGAAGGTTAATGGTTTATGTTGTAAAGCTTAATTCGAAAATTTTTGAATTCTAGATTTTTTTGTGAAGATGCTATCGACGTATGGTATATAAATACCGTATCTATATGATCAAGAAAAAGAGTAAATGTTAATATTACCACTCATCAGGTGGGCTTTAAGAAATTATAGGTGTATAATACCAAGATTTCCAATACATCGTAGTTCCATGGTATTAATTCTACATGCAAGAGGAATAGCTGATATTTGCGTATTATGATTTTTGCGTATTATGAAATTAGATTCAATCAGTATTTCAAATCCGCTGTGCTAAAGGACAATCGTTCAAACTACTAAGGTATCGATGTGACAATATGCTTGAATATATTTCTACATTTAATAGTAGCATTTGTACCAACCTTGGCAAAAATCTTCAACATTTACTAATAGACCCTCTTCGAATATATAGATGCAAGGAGGCAGCAGTAAAGAAATGCAATGTATGTTATATCCTCTAAACTCAAATAACCTTGAAGACTAGTCTTGTTTCAGGGGGTATATACTTTACAAGCTTCAGTCGCCATTTTGTTCCATTTTCGGTATTGAAATATCTTGTATTTACGCTCTATCTCTCACAAGTGAATGCAAAGGGAGCCTCAATTCCTTATTCAAGTTCCAATCCCCGTGGAAAACAGATATACATATATTGATTTCTTGATTTCCACCAGAGATCTCAACTTAATATTACCACATAATAAATGATGATATATACAACAAGGTTGTAACAAAATTTACCATGAATTAGCTGAAAGTATTACCTTAATTGCATCTACAAATACGAGATTAAATGTTGAGTCAACTCGACTTGACTTCATTAGTTTGTTTTAAGACCTTTCTTCTGCCCAACTTACTTACGATAGCTATATAACAATAAAATATCATATTCTACGATATAACTTTATTGTTTATTAGCATCACGGTTACATAAAATAATATCGTTCCTGTACCGGAAAATTCTTGGAGTGGTTATTATGCCAGATATTTTTTAGAATTTTGTGGAGGCACTATTGTAATTTACGTTCACATCTGGGGTAGCTGACGAATTGGGAAGAAGTTCCGAAACCGGTCAACAGGATTATTAAAGGTATTTAGCATTATATCGTAGAGAGGGGGGAAATGGCACCACGCCCAAGATGGCATGAATGATGAATAAGATATTGTAAGAGGAGATGGTACTAAGCATGTATGCTAGCATTCGATTATGCATGTTTAGCTGAATACATATAAATAGACACGAAAAATTTGATAAAAATACGATTGATCAATTTATTTCCGTAAGTATCAATAGATAATTAACGTAATATGGGAGACCAAACAAAGACAGAACAAACAGTAGAAGCTGTATCCATCGATGAGCAATGGGAACAAGATGACGATGCAGTAGCAAGAGGTATTATTAAATACAACGACACTCCATGGTACAAGGTTCCTCACTTAAGATATCTTAATTTTTGTATTTTTTTGATTTCTTTAACATCAACCAACAATGGATATGATGGATCTATGTTGAACGGGTTGCAGTCATTATCATACTGGCAAACATATATGGGAGAACCAACAGGTCATGTTTTAGGTGCCTTGTCCAACGGTACTATTTTTGGTAGTCTTTTGACAATTTGGGTTGGCCCATACATTAGTGATAAATTTGGAAGGAGATTAGGTATCGTAATCGGCCAAACTTTAACCATTGTGGGAGCTATATTACAGGGAGCTTCTACCAACTACGCTTTTTTTTTAATTTCCAGAATTATTATTGGTTTTGGTAGTTGTACTGCTGTGATTTCATCACCTTCTTTAATTTCGGAAATTGCATACCCAACGCATAGACATGTTGCAACAACATTCTACAATACTTGTTGGTACCTTGGAGCGGTTATTGCCGCATGGGTCACCTACGGAACAAGACTCATCGAGAATGAATATTGTTGGAGAATCCCTTCGTATCTTCAAGGTGCTTTAGCTGTTGTACAACTTGCATTATTCTGGATGGTTCCAGAATCTCCAAGATACTTAATTAATAAGGGTAAAATTGAACAAGCTGAAGCTATCTTAATGAAGCACCACGTTGGGAATGCGCAAGATGCTGACTCTGTTGCATTAGTCAAGTTTGAAGTCCAAGAAATCCGTGCTGCCCTTGAAATGGAAAAGATTTCTGCCCACACCCGCTATACCGATTTCTTCAAGACAGCTGCCAACCGTAAACGTTTATTCATCTGTATATTTGTTCCAACAATTATGCAACTTTCAGGTAATGGTTTGGTGTCGTATTATTTAAGTAAGGTTTTAAATTCTATCGGGATCACTGGTGAAACCGAACAATTAGAGATTAATGGTGGATTAATGGTTTATAATATGGTAACTGCCATGACTGTTGCGGCTTTTGTTAATAGATTTAAAAGAAGAACTTTATTTTTAACATCTATTTCTTTCATGCTTGTCAGTTATGTTATCTGGACTATATTGTCTGCTATCAACCAACAACGTAATTTTGAACAAAAATCGCTCGGCAATGGTGTACTTGCTATGATATTTTTCTACTACTTGGCCTATAATATTGGTGCTAATGGTTTGCCTTACTTGTATTTGACCGAAATTTTACCATATAATCAAAGAGCAAAAGGTATTAATATTATGCAAATAACTAATAATATAGTATTGATCTACAATGGGTTTGTCAATCCAATTGCTATGGATGCTATTGAATGGAAATACTATATCGTTTACTGTTGTATTCTTGCAGTAGAGTTGATTCTTGTATTCTTCTTTTTCCCTGAAACATCAGGATATACTTTGGAAGAGGTTTGCAAGGTTTTTGGTGATGAACCACCTGAATTGATTGCCATCGCCGAACCAAAATCTAAACTTTCTTTTGATCATATCGAAAATGTTTAATATTTGTTTCATTAATTATAAATAGTTCTTTATATGTTGACCATAGAGGCTATATTACGACTAAATAAAAATGTACGATTCATCTGTCACAATAGTAATTTCATGTGTAGAATTTTTTCAATAGTCATACTAATAATAGCGCGTTGCAACAAAATTGAAACACTCCACTAAATTGATACCGATTTTGCAACAAATCAAAAACTGCAAGATCTTGGACAAATTTGAAACCAGATATCAGTAACTACATAAATATGAATGTTTTCTGCAATACTTGTATTTAGTGATGTATATTAACTAAATTACTATTACAAAATCACGTATGAGTGTCAGTAAAATTATCAAGTCTCTTGAAGAGATAAATTCGCAATATGGAACTAGCTATGTTTTAATTACAAAAAATATCGATTTACATTCGAAATTCCAAATATTTAATTCTTCTAACTTCGAGCGGGAGAAGATAAGCCATTTGCGTTCAATTATTGTTGATGGAAATGAAAGGTACGAAGAAAACATCTGTGAGATTAAACCTGTTTTAAAGGAATGCTATTTATTGGAAATCTCAAAGAAATCGACACTACAATTATTTGACCAGTACTATGACTTAATGAGCTCATTGAGCCAGGCTGTTTGCAAAACAATTGCCAAAGAGTGGATTAAAGTTGCAGAGCCAAAAAAACAGGCTCTTTATCCTTACAAATTTTATAACACTTCCAAACCTCCCTGGTGGCCAGCGAAAGTGAATCACATAGAGCCAGATCATTTGGACAAAGATAGTAGGATTAATGTGCTTATAAACATCTTGCGCAATCCATCTTTCGATATACAAGCTTTGAAATTACGTACAAGTGTTTTGGAATTCAAATACCCCATTACGTTAAGAATTTTGAATGAAATATACTATTTGGCTATATACGATAGGTTGTTTTTTGGAAAGGGGAGGGAAAACCAAGTCCAGGCCGCAATTTTATCCAAGCTAGCTAATGAGGAAAAGGATAAGATCAATTCAGATAAAATAGGTGTTGTTGTCAGTGATATTAGGAGTGCAAGTGCGGGAATCAGGCATAGGGGCTTAATAATGGTAAGACAAATAAGGGAAAGCTGGCTCAATAATGAAATCTACCTTCTCAATACTCTTCCAAATATAACTGGGAATACCCATGAAGATGTTGGAATCAAAGAAATCACTGCAATGAGAACTCCCGAAGTGGATGATAGAAAAAGAAAGTCCAGTCATATAAGCGAAGAAGAAAAGTATGCTACAGAGGATTTGAAAAGACATCAGACAAGCGAAAGTAGTTTGGGAAACTCACCTGGAATTATTCATGTAAAACAAGACCCTGATTATTTGAATCATTTCAAAGAATTTGAATACGAATCAATGAGTCAAGAAATAGTCAATCACCTTGACTCGGCTATGGAAAACTATACAAGTTCCCCTTCATCAGATGATTTCTATATTTGATCAGCTAGAAAAAGAATATATTATTTAGGTAATAAATTGGTGTCTCTATCCTTGCATTAGATTCATGCATGAAGTTACATATTTGATTAATAAATTGCGTCCTAGCATATCAAAGGGTATTAATAACTGAAATGTGCAATTATCACAAATTCAGAAGACCAATAAAGATCGATATATTTAACGATGAAAGAGGTTGATGGTTGTCTTAAGTATGCTCTGGATCAGAGAGCACAAGAAAGAGAAATAGAAGAGGGTCTAGGAAATGAGAGATTGAACCAAATGATGATATTTCTTCAATCACGTTTCAATCGGATAGAAGAGAAATTTGATAAGATGGATGAGAAATTTGATAAGATGGATGAGAAATTTGATAAGATGGATGAGAGAATT